AACCCTAAACCCTAAACCCTAAACCCTAAAAACCCTAACCCTAAACCCTAACCCTAAACCCTAAACCCTAAACCCTAAAAGCCCTAACCCTAAAAGCCCTAACCCTAAAGATAATAAGTTAATAGTTAACTAGCTAGTCGGTTAACTAGTTCGTAAATAGACTTAGAGTATAGAGTTAGTTAGATAAGTTAACTAGTTAGTTACTATAAACTAGTAAGTTTACTAACTAATTAGTTAGCCGACTAGCGAGTTAGTATTAACTAGTAGGTTAGTTAGCTAGTTAATAGATATAGACTTAGGGAGTTAAGGAGGAGATTATATAATTAATATTTACGTTTATAAGATTAGATATTTACCTACTTATTATTAATAGAAGTCTTACGCGTGTATATACGCTAGAGCCTAAGGATTATTTACCTTTCGGTTTACTTCTATAGAGGAACCTTCTATCTAGGACTTTCTATAAGGATTCTGCTACCTTACTATAGCCCCGCCTACGATAGGTATTTAAGGTAGTACTTTACCTTCCTTATTTCTTCCTTTCCTTTTTCCCCTTCGTTTTAGTTTTCTTCGTTATATAGGACACAGTTACTTTACCTTCCTTCTTCTATACGTAGGTTATCGTAGCTATACTACCTAGGAGTTATAGTCGCGAAAGATAGGACTCGTCTACTATTATTAATAAGTTAGATATTCTATTCGGTCGGGATTAGTAGCGCGCGTACCGATTAATTTAAGAGTAGCGCGATCGGATAAGATAGGCCTATCTTCGGTATTTCTAGATAATAGTATAAGAAGAATAGGCGTAGTTTAGTATATATTCCTATTTTCTACGGAAAGAGAAAGGACTATTAGTAACGCCGTAGTTTATATAGACTAATAAACCTTTATAAGACTCTTAGAATAGCTAGTAAAATCCTCGAAGGATATAGAAAATTTACTAAGGGACGGTAAATTTCTAGGGGGTGGTATATAGTAGGGAATCCGGTTATATATATATAGAGTAGATAGTCTATTAAGGTATATATACCTAATAGTAGCCTTACGGTTAGGAGAGGCTATTTAGATATAAGGAGAGGGAGTTAATTAACTTAATAACTATAAAGATACGGATAACTATACGGATACGAAGGATATAATATAACTATCGGATTAAACGGCTTTAAGGGAGTTTAGTATAGTCTTTATAGTCGGATTCTTTTGTATTATAATAATATACTCTTTTTGATCTTCCTCTTTACCTTCGGATATCCTACGGATAGGTATTATACGGTCGGGCTAGGAGATCTCTGGACGTGCGTGCTAGTGGTTATGGTTTGGTTCCTCTATGACTCGACCTATCTGGTGAGATCAGACTACCTTAAGCATTCCCCTCTATAATATATATTACTCTTTCCTCTATAGAAAGTAAGTATATAGCTATATCTTTAGCTATATAAGAGGTATTATAGCTATAGCTTTTCCTTAAGAAACTTAATATAGAGTCCCTTTTATAACTCCCTACTATAATCTATAAGGATAACTAAGACGCTATTTACCTTACTAAAAGCTATAATTTATACTAACGAACGAAGTATATTAACGTTAAATACTATTATATTAGAGACTAGGTCTCTAGGGGGATATATAAATTCGTTAAAATCTCTACTATAGAGTAGGCCGTAGATAGCTTTACTAAGCCGTTATAGCGAGTCTAATTCGAGAGGTTTCTATACCTTTTAGGCATAAAAAAGCTCTAATTCAATAGCTATTTAACGGCTTTTTAATAGCCTTTATAGCGAGCTTAATTCTAAGGGTTTAAACACATTTTTGAGCTTAAAAAGCTATATTAAGGCGTTATTAACATATTTATATAATTACTTTTCATGTTTTTCATGTTTTGAGTAAGATTAGTAGATCGAGGTCCAGGGGGGTGTTGAGATAGCTTAGTGGTTTAGCGCGTCTCACCAGCGTGGTACACGCCCACGCACACCACCTTCGTAGCTTAGATAGGCACCTCTCACCAGATACAATCTCACCATTCCTTTCTCCCCTCTTTTGGGTCTGCTACGTTCTCCCAGTAGCATTCAACACTTCCTATGCTGTACGTGATAGGTACCAAGTGTCGGGAGCCGCTGATCCGCCGTGAAGCTGTTCAGATCTTGCGCGACAACCTAATTCAGGAGGCTGTTTAGGATAGCCCTTCCAGTACCAGGATTATTGAGCGGGTCATCGACATTGAAGAGAGCGGGTCTCAGGCCCATGATGGAATGAAACATAGGGGGCAAATTACAGCAGCCCGGAGGGTTGAGGCATTACGTTTCTTGAGATTTCCATCTGAACGTCCTGGCGGCAGAGTGGACATCACGTATAATTTCTGCGGCCGGGCAAAGACATTCAGCGAGTCGCTATACTTTCCATGATAGGCGAACAGACCTTGATACTAAAGCGCCCAATTTCCCTCTGAAAAAGGGATTGAAACATGTACCTAGACAAATTTCTTGGCTAGCCCAATCTCAAAATAAAGATGAATTGAAGTTCCAGTTGCCCCTACCACCTGGCTATGACCACTTCTTATCACTGACGGTAGCGTGACCTTCAGCGTGTTCTCGGGCTCTGCTGGCACATCAAATCACTACGTACCTAGGTAGGCATTTATTGATTCTACCAAGGTTCCAACTTGAAGCATGCCTGGAGAACAAGCTTAAGCTGTGATATACTTCGACGCTAGATCCTATATTGCGAATGGGTACTCAACGTCTTCCATTCGGATTCCCTGAGTTCGTCAATAGAACGTGGTCCTTCAGAATTGCAAGCACCTTAATATAGTTTGAAAAGGCTTATACTTAGGTATTTCAAGATAGAATGCGATTTGCTCGATTCGCCACTTGCATCGACATACTAGGTGGGCAGTAAAACTCAATTGAAGGATTGGTACTCAATCAGACAGTCATTCAAAACATTGAACAAAAACAAAAGTATCAGGCAAGATGGAGCGTTATTCAGCAAGAACAAATATCAGCATAGTAGAGGCCAATCCATCACTGCTTCGTGCAAGCCGAGTAGGCACCCCCCACAGTGGCGCCAGTGTGCTGCATCACTCCGCGGAAATCACCACGGTTATCCTTGTAGTCGGTCACGACACGGTAAGCGCCAGGTTGGCCTAGCAGATTCGTCAATTACGTTTCCTTTCAATCGAAACCGACTATCGGGGACTTACCACCATTGTATGTTCCGCCAATGACAATAGGGAACTCTCGCAAGTCGGTACCGTCGGGGATGTTGCTGAAAACCTTGCCGGTGCCGGCCTGGTTGCCAAAGTACTTGGGGTATGAGCCGTAGGTACGATCATCCACCCTGCGGCACTCGTGGTATGCCTCTCGGACGTCTTTCTCCTCAATAAGGGTGCCATCGGGGCACAGGAAGTCACCGAGCTTTGCACGCTTACTGAACTCCGCCACGGGAGAAGCCGAAGTCAGGGCGATCAGTCCGTAGAGGACAATAGACTTGGTGCTGAAGAACATGTTAAAGGGTTTTGAGAGTAGGAAGATTTTGCGATGTAGGCTTGAAGCTGAAGCTGAAGACTGTTTGTCTTGAGACTGTTTCTGATGGATTGTGGTCGAATGCTATTGATGAATGGTTCAGGTTTGGGGGGAAATCTCGCGCCTTTTTATCTTGAAGGATGAGATGCTCTGCGCGGGTTCTATTTCGACCCCATTTACGAGCAGTATAAAGCTTCGACAACATCCCACCTTTAGTGAGCGTCAAGCTGAGTGAGATGCAGTCAAACTTGATGATCTCTATGGACCATCGTGGCGCTCGGCCCCAAAGGGCCACTTATTCAAGTCGCCAGTTTAGACATAACATAGGGGTTATCGAGGCCAAATCCGAAACGGCCCCAGGTGATTCCATCCGGTGCCCGCGTCAACTATCTGCAAGAGCTTAGATTGTGCTGCTATTCTTGGCTGGTGTCAGAGCTTCTGAAACGGCCCCGGACAATCACTCGTTAAGGGCCAGGGACATCAACAGAGGGCCCATGACTCGCTATTTTTCATGCCTTGCCCTACGGGTGGAAGCTTGTTAGGTGGGGCGAGAGGCAAACGGGCCGTCGATCAGAGTTGGGGCCGTCCCGTCGACTCTTGGAGCCTTATGGAAACTCCCTGCAGTTTCTATTTGTTCTGCTTTAGGCGGTGTATTTTAGATCGGAGGATCGACAACTGGGCTCTCATGGCCGATGACATCATACAAGCTCGATCTCCGGGGTTTTGGTAGCTTTCCCATCCATAGCAGACGTCGTGTTTCATGTTTCATGTTTCACGTTTTTTATTGGCGTTGGGGCTAACGACATGATCGACGACTCGACACTACTGGTACTACCTAGAGAGGCGACAATTTGGACCCTCTCCCGTGTGATTTCTCCTTCGCCCCGCCCCTGTGGTCCCGATCTGTCAACCCTAGCAGTGGCTGGAGTAACGAACACCGGGGTACCTTAGATGGTAGCAAACTATTCTCGGTTTGGTGAGTGATTTCCCTTGGCATTGTGGCCCCATTCCATCCATCATGCACATGGGGCTGTGGCGACTCGTCCCGGTACCTGGGGCGGGGGCCGAATCCAGCACCCCCACCTCAGCTGCATCGCGTCATGCTGTCAGCTGCAGTGGGCTTCCTAGGTAGTAGCCCGCGCTGTGACCACCTGCACTCGATATAATTCATCCTTGTCCGCCCGCACGCTGAAAACGAACGTCCTCCTTATTTACACCACTTTTCTTACTACTCTACTCAACATCCAAGCCCAAGATGGCGAATCAGAACTTTATCCGTCAGATCGAGAACTCTGACGAGTTCAAGCTGCTCGATGCCGTGGTCAAGGATGAGACAACAGTGCAAGATGCAGTCCAAAAGATGGTTGACAAAACCATGGAGGCATTGGCCCTCCATGGGCCAACCAAGCACAACGGAGTCGGGCTGCCTGATTACAACATCTCCCTCGCAGTCTTAGAGCTCGCCCAGCGCCTCGACCCATCAGACCACACCAAGCTCGTCGAATTCACCACTCATCTGCAACAACAACAGGCCATCGACTCATCCACAAAGGAGCCCCTCAAGGTTCAGGGGAGAATCCTGTGGACTGACATGCCATCTTTCGGCTACACAGAGCTGGAGACATGGTACGAATTTGGTGGTGCTCATAAGAGTGAGTAGTGTACCCGAAAGACTTGGCTTGGCACGCAAAGTGCTGACACACACAGATCCCTGTGATTCCGCACTGGGTCCAGAACAGCGCGATCGTTGGGTCAAATTGAACGCTTTCCTCGCTCAGCTGACCCAGGCGGCTCCAGTTGGCTACCCTTCCCCCGGGGAAGAGGCCCGGTTTTTGCCCTTGGATGAATCTCTCCGTGCGGTCTGGGCAATCTCAATGGCACTGGAGAATGAATCTTCACCAGCCACCCTGAACAACACAGCAGCCATGGAGGCTGCATGTCAATGGTTCGTTTTCGCAGCCGACCGGCTTTGGGCCAATGTGGTCAACAACCGCCAATATCCCAAGCAGGCCGGTGCCGGACCGGGCAAACGCTACAGTGAGAAGGAGTGGACTGGGTACTCGAGGGAGCGATGGGCAATCTGGGAAAATGCGCTGAAAGAGGCCCAGGAGGCATGTCAAGATCCGCGGATGGCCAAGCTGATTAGGCATGCATTGGAAAAACTCATAAAGAGCACTCGGGCGATCAATGGAGATTAGCGGACGTTTCAATCGGACGGGTTCGCGCGAGATCCACATCTGATGTATATTAGGTCTCAAACCACGATCATTTAATTTTCTCATCGCCACGATCCTGCTGAACGCCTCCTCAGTCTCCATAGTGTGTTCTCCATGCATAGGTACCTCCAACGCCTAGTCCTCTTCGGCCTACAACTATTGTCAGTAAGAGGGCTTCTCTTCCGATCACACCCGTGCTCTGCTGCTTCTAAACTGCCCCCTCGGTGCCCAACATTGGAGTAGCTGTCCTGAGCTGGCTCAAGTTAGTAGGCTTTGGACTTTCGAGTGATGCAGGTGACTGGCGCGCCTTGTGGACACAGACTTCGGCATCTCAAAAGGTACCTACCAACCTTACAAAAGAGGTTTCTGTGTCAGAAACTCACGTGCCATGTTTGATTGAATATGGGCATTCTTTAACGTGTGGCACTACATGTGTCTGGTACATCCACGAGGTGTAGGTGTGGATTGTGAGCAAACTTGGAAATTCTCACCTAGCTACCAACAGCTCAGTACCTAGGCACCGTGCAATCTGCGATGCTATTTCCCGAGTCAAGTGGCCCGGAACCCTTGACATCAGTGGGTGGGGTGTATGGACACGCGGAAATCCAAAGACATATTTTCGCCGGCGTCATGGAGGTCAACCAGTCTACCGGTTACACCCCCGGCCACAATGTTGAATGTCGACTCAGATTTCGCGATACTCACCTAGCCACCCCCTCCTAGCGTTATCTATCTCTCAGTGAAAGTGAGCCTGAGTCGCGATTGTCTGTCCCACTCATCTAGAAGTTCTCTGGCCCCCCATCTCTGTGTCACTTCGATGAAGGGACTGAGAAAACTCGCTGAAATTGAGTCATAGCGGACTTCCCGTGCGGCAGCTTTGTGTGGTTGTGTGGGGGCGGGGCCGACCGTGCCTGAAAGAAGTGGACAGTATCTACAAAGTATCCCACTGATCTACATACGTCTATACGAGTACTGCTGCGCTGAAGTCTATGTGCATACACTTCTTTTTTGCTATAACAACCGCTGCCACATACGTCGGATCCAAGCACGCGCGCAGTTTCGCGTACATACTTCGGGGCCAGAGGCGGGACCTAAGCCCCTGTGGACCTTGGAATGTCAACGTGTCAGACAGATCAGGCAAATGGACGGGCTGCCCCTCTCGCTGATGACAGGAATGGAATGCTTGGAGGAGACGCGGTGGATCTGGTGAGGTTTCAGCCTGGTGCTTGTCTTGCTTCCACCAACACCCAAGGGTCGTCCTCATTGGTTTCGTTGACGGTCGATCATGGCCCGCTGCCGTCAAGTGGCGGAGCGCCTGCGCAGATCACCCAAGGAGATGCCCAAAATGGACAGCACGGATGAATGGCCCCCAAAGTCATCCTCGCCTTATCTATCGCCCGCTCCCTGGCCTAGGGAGCTCTGTTCGTCTAGCGAGAAGAGCCACGCTGTCACAGAAAACCGTTTCTCAACAGTGGCAATTTCTGCTCACAATGACCGACTCCATCTCTGTCGCTACCTGTGCAATCTACGCAGTGTTCGCGATCCCGGTGTTATATCTGCTGGTCCGACACGGTCGCTTTGGCCTCTTGGGATGGCTCTTCCTGTTTTTGTTCTGTACGATCCGGATCGTCGGCGGAGCGCTAGCAGTCAAGGACCACTCGAGCATCGCCGCCAACACCATTTCAAGTGTTGGTCTTTCTCCTCTTCTTCTAGCTACAGCGGGTCTATTACACGAGGCGTAAGTACACCGTTCACATGTCAGAGCTCCGATCTAATCGTTTCATCAGGCGAGAGTATCGAATTCAACACATTGATCAAAAGCTGGAATGGGTCGCCGTCCTCGCTTACCACATGCTTGTAGTCGCAGGCGTGGCTCTCACGGCCGCCGGATCCGTGAAACTTCAACAACACCAGGCGCCAAATGACAAGGCCGAGAATATTGTCAAAGCGGGAATCTCAATCTTAGTCGTCGCTTGGGGAGTCCTAGTTGGTTGGACCGGACTGTCTTTCCTCGCCCCTCGCGGGAGAACCTCCCAGCTAGCAAAAGCAGGAACAATCGTGAGTTTCGTACCCCCCTTGAGGAGATATATCCTGAATCACTAATTTTGCGGCCTTCAGCTGTTGAGTGCTATCGCCTTCTCCCTGGTGTTCATCGGCGTGAGGGTGTTCTACAGTCTGGTAGCTCTATGCACGCAGAAACGCTCATTGAACCCAATCACGGGATCGCTCACCATCCGTGTGGTCCTGAGCTTTCTGCCCGAAATTATTGTCACCGTGGTTTACATTCTCGCAGGTTGTCAGACACAGGGCGCAGCACATCTCGTGAACGATCGAGAAGAGGCTCATTCCTCGGACTCTCAAAAGAGACGTGCCGAAGCTTGGATTTAAAGGCCTTTGAAACGACTGTATCACTATTCGTCAATGTCACCTAGTGTAAGCGAACTCTTATGGAGTTCTAAATACTTCGTTGGTGCCAACCATTCTCAACGTTTTGACCAGAGCGGATATTTCCCTAATGTATAGCTTTCGAGATCGACGCACGCATCAGAACATTATCATTTATTGGACAACGCCATTCTTCGGTAGTCATCTTCTTAGAATTGAAGAGAATGCCTGAATTCAACATCGAACTGGAGCCTTCTACATGATGTGCCCGACAGTTTGCGTTGCTGCAGGCGGAGCCGGGCCGAGGGTTATGCGGATCTGCGGTCTAAGTGATAGTATTCAGCAAACCTACCTGGGTAGGCCACCATGAGCGATATCAGCGTCCGGCACTTTAGAGGATGAAACCGGTATTGGACAGGTGGAAAACTTTTTCCCCAGATAGAACTCTCCAAGATAGCCGTATAGTTTGATTTAATTCGATTATTTTCAGCCAGTTTGCTTTTTCTTTGTCTGTGACTTGATCCCAATGGTCACATTACGATCTAATTATAAACTGCCAGGAGGGCCGACGCGATGAGTACATAAGTTGGGCGATATATCTCCACTAATTCTACTGTCTAGTGTCTACTGTAGACACTGTATTAATATGAACCTTGATCCAATCGTTCAGGGCGGATGCAGGGAGACGCCCCCAAGTTACCCCCACTCCTCCCATGCCCAGCAGTGGTAACGTCACTGGGGGCCACTCGAAGAGCCAACCTCATATGGTATACATCCAGTGACCGACCTAGGCCATGTGTTCATTCATGTTCAATAATCACCGTATCAATTGCCCCATAACCGCCCCGGGCGGAAGCCCAGCCTGGACATATTCCAGTAAATCTAGCAAGCACACCACTTGCCTACCTACTACGTCCGTCCTTCTGAACAGAACTGAATACTTGTATCCTTGGGCAACCGTCCCCCCCTCCCCATCCTGTTGGTCTAAGTCTTTACCTACGAACAGCTATAATTACCCCAAGTGGGCGGGCATTGAGTGCTCCAAATTGAATTCGTATCCGGATGGAAACCGATAGAATGGATGTCAATACACCTACTTTATCACCCTTGCGGTTTCCCACCAGCTACCGATTACCATGTCCGTTCCATACATAAATTACAGTGACTAACCAACTAGTGGGCACTGAGCGGGTATGGACTGTATACTGGTAGTTAGGCCTTAGTACCTTGAAGCCGCTATGGGTACTAGCATTAGCCCTGGTAGATGGGCCTGGCACGGTAGGCACCTGTAACATGCGAATAAATACTTACTTTTAATTCCGTAACTCTCATAAATTCTATCATCTCATTGGAAACAGAACGTGATCCCAGGACGGCGGCGGACTTCGGGTGAAGAGTCACAAAGCAGAAGTTTTCAATTGTAACGAATTTCCACGAACACCGCGATATAAATACCTTATCTCGCTAACTCGGATAAGCAAAAAGGAAGAGCAAATATTCAAACAAAGCCGGATGAACCATCGGGGTACCGAGTAATTAATCACCTCAACGTGACCCGAGTCGGCAACCCTAACGACGGTTTAGCTGTCACATCCAAGACCTGGTACATGAAAGTACCATCTTCATAGACAATTTCAAAGCCAAAAGTTCTCAAAGTCATCACCAAGGCAATCTTAAGTTGTATCAATGCCAATGTCTGACCAAGGCACATGCGAGGGCCCTTTTCGAATGGCCTCCACGCATCACGGGGAACAAAGTACGGATCTTCCACATCGGTGATAAGATGACGTTCCGGGTAGAACTTTTCAGCATCTTTAAAGAGATCCTCGCGACGCATGGTGGCGCAATTGTTGACGAGGACAGCAAATGGATACGTTGGCCAGTCTTTTCCATCGACCTGTAGAACCTGTCCTGGCTCCCCATGACGGAGACTGACACCTGTCGGGGGCCACAGGCGGAGAGCCTCTTTGATCACAGCCAATGTGTAGGGCAGATTATTCACCAGATTGGGATCACGTCGGAGATGATCGGCTGCGTCTGACGGGTTGGTACCAAACACGGAATCATGCTCCGCCCGAAGGCGTTGAAGAACTTCAGGGTGCTTGCTCAATGCAGCGTATGTATACTAAGTTCTGGTCAGTACTAGGATCGCAAGGAGCTGGCGTTGCGGTCGACTTACACAAAGCGTGCTCGCTGATGTGTCGTGCCCAGCAAAGATCAGAGTCTTGACTGACGCAATGAGCATCTCACGAGTGTCCTTGTCAATGGACGAAGTAGGGCTCATTGTCTTGCTCAGTGTGCGGCTACAGATGATAGCGTCGTCAAGGGCAAATTGCTGGGCTTTTTCGCCCAAAGCACTAGCTGAGCTTGTGACTCCGCGTTGATCAACGAGGCGACCGACAAAACGATCGAGTGCACGCCCGTTGCTCCACTTTCGATAGTATCTGCGCGGGTTGATATCATACAGGTACCGGGACCAGAAATCTTGAGGGGCCATAGCGGCTTGTTTGCGGAAGAGCTCAAGAAACTCATCGTCGTCCCTCTGTGCGTTGCACTTGATGCCCCTGCATACGGTCAGTGTTTTGAATGAAGTAATACCAACCGGTAGTTACTTACAGTATGACCCACGTGGAGATGTTGAAGATCATTCTGGCACTGATATCTTCCATTTTAAAAATGTCGCCCTTGTTGGCATGCTCTCGCAGAACATTTGCAAACATGAGCGCTTCTTCAACAATGTTCGGAACGTGTTGTAGCAGCTTGCGCGGTTGGAAACCCGGCGTAAATGATTTGCGTGCCAGGAACCAATCGTGTCCGTTTGCCGAAACCATGGACTTCTCCCCCAAGATAGGCCCAGTCCACTTCTGCATCACGGCTGACTCCTTGGGAAGATTCATTTTGTGGACGATTTGAGTGGCCAGTGTCGGATGAGCGATCACAAGCTGTGGCGGAGCCAACGGCCACAGATCAAGATAGAAGAAGTCTCCAAGCCCGTACTTCTCACGCATCAAGTGCGCGAATAGCTGGGGGGTGGCATCAGCGGGTAGACTGCCTGCGATGTCCCGCATAACCAAGAAGTGTCCCCAGATAGCGTGATGGGGCGGCCCAGGAAGATTTTTGAACATGCTGCGCTGTCGATACAGTCTCACGACAAAGTAGCTCGCGAGAGCGATCGGAACTAGTAGAGCGAGCATAGCTGCGTTCAACTTTGGAAGCGTCGTCACTATCAGAGTGGATGCAAAACTGAAGAGGTGACGATATAGCGAGGTAGGCGAGGTATTCGACATCAAACATACTGTTAAAAGCTGAAATCTGGCCTTGTTGGGGGATTAATCGTCCTCACATCTCTTGGGCTCTTATAGATTTCTTCGTGAGGGGTCAATGTGATATTGTGGCGAGTTTTCCACATGGTCAGACTATGTTGGCTCGACGGCCCCGGGGGGGCTAAATTCGAGGCTTGGAGTATGATTTGCGTTGCCGCACCATCTGAAACTGGCCCCTGGAGATCATTCCGTGAGCGACCGTGCCTGCTGGCGGTTTATTGTCTGACTAGGTGGCGCAAATACGTCTGAGGTGGGTACCAAATCGTGCGCCATGCCTGCACTTTGAATGGACGACCTGTAAAGCAGAGAGAAACCAACACATCACCTCTTTGACCTTTGTGCAAGGTGAAACTCGAGATCTTGAAGATCACTGAAAATAGACTATCTTTGGTGAATGCACGGAAGAGTTGGTTTGCTTCTACTTATCGCGTGTGGCGACCTCTCTCTCTTTCTCTCTGTCTCTCTACGAATGCCGCAGAGCGGCACGTGGGGGCCATGGGATGGGGGCCATTGAGAAGCCACGATCTGATACGAAGGCTCAAGTCAGTATGTTCACTTATACAAGACGAATACTATAAACCTCTTGGAAGGCTTCCGAATCTCAACAAAAGCGTTCACTGACCACACTTGGATTCGAGTGGCAAACATCAACTACTTTCGCGGTATACATTTCTGCCGGCTTGCCCATTTATCTCTGAGTATCAAACTTCCTACTCGGCTGGTTCGAGATTGCTTCGTCTTTCCTCTTCTTCCTTCCACATATCTGTCTGGAATTCATCATGTTTGACCTTTCAGGGGCAATCTACCTCATCGAGCTGGCGTTCTACGCCCCCATCATTCCTGCCATAGTGTTTATCGTTCTCCTTCACGGAACCAAGCATCCTTACACATGGCGCCCCATTGTTATTCCGCTCATTATGATCGCCGGCTTGAGAATCGCCGCAGCGGGTGTTGGTCTAGCAGCAATGAGCTCTAGAGATACGGGTCTCCAGGCGACAGCTACTCTTCTCGACACGATCGGCCTCGCACCTGTCTTATGCCTCCTCATAGGACTTTTGATTCGAGCGTAAGTGAACATGCTTCTCTATTTCATTGCTTCTGTGCTAAAGGATTTTGCAGCAATGCTCCCGTGTATAAAGGTCTGCCCGTGTGGGCTTTTTTACCGCTACAAATGATTGTTATAGCGGCAACAGTGATGACTGCCTACGGCGGACGAGATCTATATACCAGCCAGAATCGGCAAGAGCAAGACCTCCGGCTGATGCGCGCCGGGATAGTCATCTTCATCGCCATATTTGTCGGTGTTATTGTTCTCGCGCTCTTCACGATGCTCAAAGTCCGGGTCAAGTTTTACCGGACTGAACGGGCAGCAGTGGTGTGCGCGTTACTGTGTGTACCTTTCTTGAGCGTGCGACTGGTCTACTCGGCTGGGTCTGTCTTCTCAGACGCAAACACAGTGCTTAATCCCATGTCCAAAGACGGAAATTCTATCTGGCTGCATTTTCTCATGGTCATCGTTATGGAATACATGGTCACGCTGTCCTCAACTGCAGTCGCATTGACTGCAAGAAAGGTGGTGATTTTGACGGCAGGGAGCGCGAATTCGCTCAAGGATGAGGAGACCTGAGTGATATCTTTTAGATCACCCCCAGGGCTGGTGATAGAGCGCCTTGGTATTTGAAGGTTTCTTCTGACGTGCATGTATCTATTCGTCGTTTTTGACCGCGGCGTTATACAACCTATGTCATTTCCTAGATCGATCTGAGATTTCCTCCACTCCTGCGACATGTAGGGTCACAAGACCGATATGGATGTACCTTCGGTAGGACACTACATAGACAAAGGTCAGGTTGATATTCAAACAATGAAAGAGTCAATTCCTGCCTGATCGTAAAAGCTACGTGCATTTAGACCCGTTGCGGCCGCGCATAGGTATGAAATAGGAGATTATCATGTCAGGGCTTTGCCTCGTATCAAATGCTCACTTTTGACGGAGTCGAACAGGTGCTGAGTGCATCAGGACTGTTTGCCTTCCACGAGCGAAGACATGCTATATCCGATCTCGAAATGCAAATCGAATCACCAGACAGGGTCCATCATACTGAAACCTCCGAGTCAGATACAGCCATATTGAACCTCAGCAACTGGCTTTGAAGTGATTGCCACAGTATTGTTAGGATGCATATCTATCGGCGGGCGATTTACAGAGCCCCCAAATTCAGTCTGCCCCCAAACACTGTTTGATTGAGAACAGAAGCCAACCTGACCGGGCTCAGTAGGATACCACTTGCCACCATATTCTAAGATCCGAAAATAGAAAACTGTTGGGGTGTCCGCGGAGATTTTCGTTGATCGGTGGTCTGCCGTTCGGGTGTAGCTGACGGGTACGTGGTGAAGCAGTATAATGTTTGACTGATTAAATTTGGCCCCAGAGACGTTTGAAGTTAGCACTTGTTCCTTTGAGAATCTGAAACGTCGACACCAAGTCTTTAGACCGACCCAAAACGCGGTTCCTTCGAAATGTAAAATAAGCAATTGCAAGTGCTTGTTCCCACAGTGGGTCTCTTCTCGTGGCCACAAGGTCGCAGACAGGCGCGTTAACAATGGGGCTAAAATCAGAGAATTGGAGAAACGCAAAGGGAACAAGAAAAGAATCAATTTGGACATCCTCGGACTTGAAACAAAGCTGGAATCCAATGGCTGCGGCTCTCTCAGTAGCACTTGCTTGCCTCGATAAGGTTGCCACTGGCCCCCTGTCCCGGTATAGATTTTAGGTTCCCTGACCCGACCCAGAGTGGGGCTTGCCTCAGATGCGCCAGGGACAGTGAGGATACTGTCTGAGCAGCAACCGTGTCATTGGCGATGATTGTCATTGTGCCTGGTGAGTCGATGGGGGCGGGGCCGCGATACACATGATCCTCAATCACAGGCCATCCCAACCCACGGCCTACTTATACCGCACGTTCAACCATTCTTCTGGTCAGTCGATCACTTCACTCCGCGCCAGAATCTCCTCCACATCAACGTGAAGCACAAGGTTCCTTCACAATGGAAACCACAAAGCTTCAGCTGGATATGCACAAGAACAACTCTTGGCTCTACTGTAAGCTTGGAATCCAAACGTTGGGCCTTGTCCTTCGATCTGGCATCACCATCACCAGTCCGGACCCCAAAGCGGATAGCCGTCTCCAGACTTCCTGGGACGCACACGAGAAAGGAACCATCAAGGTCATCGTGGTACGTATCGTTTCTCATCTTGCATGATTTTCAAACAAACTTCAGTATCACTCACATCTTGGATAACCCTTTTAGGCCGGATTACCCCGAACCGGCACGATCAGCATGAAAAAGGCACTTGAAGAACTAGGCTATGGCCCTTGCTTTCACCTCGCAGAGCCTCTTTGCCAATTCGACAATCTGCGACAAAGTGCCGCTATCATGAACACAAAGGACACGACCTTGCGCCGCATCAAACTTGCCAAGCTGTTACAAGGCTGCGAGGTCACTCTGGAAGTCCCAGGAAGCGCGTGTCTGCCCGACCTTCTCGAGATGTATCCTGATGCCAAGGTCATCTTGACTGAGCGCACGTCCGCCGCTGTTTGGCTACGCTCGTGGCGCGGGTTTGGTATCGATCTGCGATCGGACTGCTGGCGCTGGGTTGGATACTGGGTCCCCGGTGTCGTGGCCGCCAATGACCTCTACCGTAGCTGGATGGACCTTTCAGCAAAGCGATTCGGCATTCGGCCGGAGCCATCAGAAGAATTGTACCATGCTCATGGTGCTTGGGTGAAGCGTATTGTACCTCGTGAGAGACTGCTCGTCTTCAAGTGCCAAGATGGATGGGCACCCCTTTGCGGGTTCCTTGGAAGACAACGGCCGAACCCTTTCCCACACGGCAACGAGGCTGGTTACCTGCGGTACTACAAACGGGTTGCGATGGTTCTGGGAATCCTCTTGTGGATCCTCGTTGTCTCCTTCGCGATCCTCTTGCTATTTGCGACGATCGCAATCGAGTAAAACACGCGCAGGCGCACTGTTTTCACAATTTTTCTTTTTTCGGAGCCTTATACCTCGGTGTTTGACGGATCTTGGACATTGTATTTATTTTTGATTCATTCTAGAGGCCTCGATTTCTCTGACAAGCCATTTGGCGTTCCTTTCATCGCTTGATTTCTTCTACTGGATTACTCAGGTCAGTATTCTCTGTGAGAGTAGCTGTCGATCAATCCATCAAGATGCCGCAGAAAGCAATTAGACAATTACGTGAGTACCAAATGAGAAGGTCCATCTTGCACGAAAGACCGGTAATAGAGAACGCTATAGGCGTCGAACCGATTTCATTCAATAGCACCGCCTCCGCAATAGCATCAATCCTCTCTGCTCGAAAATTCAGAAGCCGCACAAACTTTAGTACGAGGTAGCCCATCTGAATACTTTATCCTGCTGCAAACGTTCCATAGCGCCGCGCTCAAGGACAACTGGAAGCTCAGATGGTTCTGATTCCGACCCGCTCTTCAGATCACGCAACGGCAGTAACCAACACACGCCTTTAACTTTAGTCTCTGGAATTTCGTAGCGTTCAACTTTCCCCAAGGGTCCAAAATCCAGGTAAAATTCCATCCATCGCAGATTAGCAATAATAATGCTTTTACCATAGGCGGGATAAATGGAGAAGAAACTAGAGGCTTACGAGATTGTGCGCAGGATACCGCGCAAGTAGTCCTCCGAGATTGAACTAATTCGTTCTCGTAATGCCAGGGCAAAGCCACATATCTACTCGAGATCCTGTAGGCGCAGGTCTCTAAGACCATCTGGGATTAATAGTCAGATAGATCACGCGTGATTGGACCTATAGCCTCGGCTGTCAAAAGTACATTTCCGATATAGTTTAGTGGCAATTGGCATAGTCTCCGCACGTTTGCCGCAATGATCACCCTAGGCGCCGAGCCACATTCCGGTATAATCTCGTGGCGCGCTTTGTTACCACAGACCCCGACCAACGCCGAGACCACATCGTTCGACGCAGTAATAAGTTTTGCCAGGGCCAACATAGCTCCCATCAACTAGCTCGGGATTGCAGACTTGTTTTAGTAGCGCGATCTTCCTGATATTAAGATTGAATCGGCGACCAACCGCCTCTTGTGAGGGGTCTAAGGCCGGATCTGCGTCCAAAGAAAGTAAGAATAGTCTCCACCCTAGCGGCACTGGCTCAACTGTTGCTAAGCTTCTGATGTGCTGCCGAATAGAAGCCTCGACACTTTCGCCAGTGGACAGACTTTCAAGTTGTTAATTTGAGCTTTTGCAATATCCTGCCAGGATCTTGAGGACGATCGACACACCCGTGCTGTCCAACGCGCGGTGGCTGTATGCAACGCACAACCCGATTCCTCGTGTTTTCACATTGGCTTGAAAACGCACCAGCGGCATAGGTTCAGTTTGGGGCGTGAAGAATGCAATGGGGAGATGTTCCTGTTGGATGAAGTTGTCTTGTACTATTTCATCCATCTTCGAGCTGAATGTCACTTCGAGCTGAATGCCATCTTGAGCATTGGATACCGCTGAAGGAAGGCTGAATCTGCTGGCTGGACATGGAAGGCATCGTCCTCACTACCAGAATTTCCGGATGGCAGAGAAACTCCAGTGAGAAACTGCAGAGACTTACTCAACCGTTTGACACCCCGTCGAAGCGCATCGATGCCCTCGATTGAGGCTTTGCCAAAGGAGAGGAAGATGAACATATGGCACGGTGGCAAGATATGATCAAGGAAAGTCAACTCATAAACGGGGTATGGGTGGGGGTAGGGAGGGTCTGGAGATGACACAGTTCCATCTTTCGAGTCAGGCTTAATATCAGTGGCCACTGAAATCTCGGGACTCGACTCCCTCTGGCTTTTCACTTGCTCTATGGTGCGTGAGATGATGCCAGGGTTCTGATGGGATGTGGCTACTGTAGGGTCAGCAGTATCGATGTGTGAGAGGGATGAGGAGTGAGATTGCTATGGGGGAGATATTCTACCTAAGCTATGGACTGTGGTGAGCGGCAGAATCACATGTCATGCGAACAGGTTCATGAGCTGCAGATGTGTTATTAGTCGGAGAACCCCAAGTACATTCCCAGTATTCAGGTAATATACAGTAGAGATGTCACCAAACTGCTGGGTTTCGCCTTCCAGTATATTCCTCAGTATGCATCGCATGATCTTGCCCGATCACGTTTTTGAGAGATCATCAACAATAAAGAGGGCTTTGGGTACCGCAAACCTCCCAATCGCCTTCCCAACATATTCTTTTGCGGATTTGCTCACATCTACACTATCAGTTCCGGCGCATAGACTCTTCAGAACGAGAAACACGTTCAGCGCCTGGCCGGTGATCTGGTCCTCCACGCCGACCACTCCAACTTCGGCGAAAGAACCTGCTTCTGATCAGTAGTATACCTGTACCCATTTGTGCCCGCTGGGTGGGAATTACCATGATTCAAAAGAGCTGTTTCCATCGGTCTCTCCAGTCGACAGACGATGTCCCGGAACGTTGACCACGTGGTATACCCTACCCAGAATCAGGGATTATCCGTCTCGATTGCGACTGGCGCTTTCACCAGTCATCTCGATAGAATTTTAGCGAGTTTGGACATGGAGGCGGAGCGGGGAGCTCAGGCTTACAAATTATTCTCTAGGATCGTCAAAATAAGTTCTGATATACCTGGCATAAAAGCCCTTGGAAGAAATTTGGGTCAATGAAGGCCTGACATCACATGCAAAGGTCAGTGAACTGGACATAAACGACGTCAGCATCATGGTGAAAAAGCCAACTTCTGACCTACCAATTTTTTCAGTGTGGTCTAGGCAGTCAGATGCTCTAGTCGAATTACAATACCAGATCCTGCATCACAGGTTGGTAAACATTTTGTTTTCATCGAGCTTATCACGAAAACCGACTTTATTGGAAGGCCATCGGGGACTGTTGACGTGTGCTAGAACAGGCACTGACCTCGCCCTCCTTTGTGCAAGGTTTTGACAGGTTTTAGGAGACACCGATGTCTCGAACATTCACAAGATAATTTCATCCATGGATTGATTCCACATTCAATCCTTGAACATTTTCCCTACTCGACGGAATTAGTGGTATTCTTCATTGACCGACCATTTACCTTCTGCACCATAGTGGCAACTGAGTCCCTGCTGTATTCATATAGCCCTTGCAATTCAATTCAAGATGACTGATAGGAACACCCTACAAACATTCCCGCCGTCTATTTTGACCGATTCGAAGCTCAGCTCAGCAGTAGCGGTGTCCCTGGCGAACTTGTGGGAAAATTCATCAGTGTGGGTTCTTCCTACTGACTCAAATTGTGTTCGTCCAATACTTTTAGGGAACTGACACTGTACTCAGTGTGCAAAATACAATATGGAAGGTGGAAAGCTCAACCGCGCTTGCATTGTGTTGAGTACCGGTCGACTTACCTCAGCCCAGCTTCTCAGCACGCTCGAGACTTGGCATCTCAGCATTGTTGGATTGCTCACAGAAATCATCCAGGCTGGTGACCTGATTTGGGACGACATCATGTACGCCTCAGAGCACCGTCGCGGGCGACCTTGCTGGTACCGCCCGGAGGGCATTGGGCTTAGTGCTGTTAATGATGCATGTTTGATCAAATCATCCACTATGGCGCTTTTAACGCATTACTTCCAAGACCATCCGAGTCGCAATAAGCTGAAAGCGCTGTCTCATGAGGCATCCTTTCGGACAGAACTTGGTCAACTTGCCGATATGTCGACCAGCGACCATTGCCATCTCGTCGATATGAATACAGAGCGCTATTCCTTTATCTCAGAGAACAAGATTGCGTATTGCAGTTTCTGTATTCCAGTTATGCTGGCACTGCATTCTCTTCAACTGGCAGGTCCAAGAACCGTTGAGATTGCACAAAGCATTCTCCTTCGCGTGGAAGAATACTTCCAGGTACAGGATGATTACCTCGACGTGTTCGGAGATCCAAAGGTCACGGGACAGTTTGGTACGGACATACGAGACAACAAGTGCTCATGGATTGCTATCAAGGCTTTTGAGCTCTGAAATTCCGAGCAGAAGGCTGTTCTTAGTCTGTGTTACGGAAGGGCAAGCGTTGAATTGGAGGACAGGGTCAAACAGCTCTTTCGCCACGTCGAGCTTCAGAACGTCTTACGAAGGGTGGAGACTGCAGAAGGGGGTCGACCTGAAGAACAAATTTAAGGAATCGAAGCTGGGCGCGGAGGCTTGAAATTCGGACTTTGGTCGATTCTCGAGACAATTTCGCGGCGAAATAACCTTAATAGACAAAGTATAGCAGGCAACAGAAATCTTCCGATACCAAAGATGAAGAAGCCTTCAACTATATTAAACTCTTCCTTCTCCGCCCGACGCCGACAAGTTTTCCTCCGTCTCCTCAATCTCATAAAACTGAGCACTGTTGCAATTGGCGTCTGCTATTGATTTAAAGTCTCCTTTGGGTCAATGGTCACTCTTCTCGTTCAAGGAATAGCTGTATTGAAAGCAGAGTTAAGGGTTTAGTCCCCAGCGCGACCGCAAATCGTTCAAAATCATTATTCAACCTCAAAATTCAAGTAGCAGGAGCTGTGGGGCTTTATTGACATCGTTTATTCATGTGAAACGCGGTCCACGCCAATAGGCAGGTCTAGTTATAAAATATCCCTGGTGTTGCCGAGTCAGTGTATCCGCTTGTTGCGCCTCGAGGCGATCAACAAGATCTCGCATAACACTTGAGCTCATATGCCTACAGTCGAAGGCTGCTAAGTGATGGGTGTAGTGCAGTGCACTAGACTCAACATGACAGACCATACGTACCTGCAAAACTAAGTCATTCATAACAAAGTCAGGGCGGTTGGATATGGAAATTGGACATGTGGTAAAGTGGCACTAAATGCTAACGTTATGTGAATCACGCCGCTACCACCATATGCTTTTGATGGATGGCTTGTCTCGCTCACAGATGTTGTCATTCCTGCGGAGAAGTGGAAACTACACAAGGACTTGGAAGTCCATGGTATGGAGCGAGGGGCAATACGCTACGTAATAGAAACGCGCTAGTCTGTCTTGGTCTTTGCTTTGTGATTTTGTCTGAAAGCAGTAGATTTTTGTCCAAAGAACGAGCGCCTTCTATAGTGTTACTGCTTTTCTCATTCAAACCTAGTCGGGTTTGACACAGTCACCATGCTAGCCAGTGTTCCATCCAATTCCATTTATCACCCGCGTTCAAGTGCGCATTCTGTCAGCACTCTTTAAAAATCGTATTGGAAAATGATGACCGTAGCTTGCAAATCTGCTTTCACGGCGTAATTACCGCTTCGCGACCCAGCTGCTTTACTTTGTGGACGTCGCCTGCTACCCGAAATATGCTACTGATCTTTCAACCACGTGGGTGAGTTCATGCGGCTGTAAGACGCCACGGCTCGATTCGTCGCATGAACAGACTTACCGACCAGCTCGTTTTTCACCCTGATCCAGATTGCTGCAACTCTAATCACGGCGCAGTAAGAGTATGCGAGCGACTGCACCCTAGCTTGGTCTTAGAGTTAAGACTTTGTTCAATATGACCTAGGTCTCGAGGCTGCATCTCCATGTAGAGCTTTGAAAAAATGTGGCTGTGGTGGGAACAGGCCCGTGCTGTCCTCCGAACGCAAAATCGGCTGCAGATTATCGAAGGATATCATGATTTAAGCTTCACGTGATTCATATCACCAGAAACACAAGCTGACCTGAAAGACCAGATCGAGTAAGGTTCTGGACATCCCGTCTACGATAGGTCAATGATGGTACATCGTCACCTTGACATTCCCGATCATGACCCCGACGGCCATTCAAGCCAGACCAGGGAAAGCTCTTTTGGTATTTTGTCAGCTCACGTCGATCTTCTACCGTACAGAACTTGCGAGAATAAAGAATGGTGATCAAGTAAACATGGGAGTGAGACTATTTCGAATGGGAGCTGGGGCGCTTATGCTCGTCAACACGATTGGCATCAAAGCAGGCGAAAAAGAGCCAATCTGGAATATTCTAATCCCCTACCGTAGTCAACCCTCATCGTGGATTCCGATAAGTGCTTACCTATGAGAGAATTTTGATCACATAATTGTCAGGTTGGCGGTAGTTAGACCAGGTCACAACAATCAAATCCACTCGGAAAGTCAAACTCATAATTGAAGGTATTAGACAATCATGACCAGAAATGTTCCCAAATTTCCAACCCGTTTGTGAAAAAATCTCCGCCAGTGTTCATGAGCCAATAAGAGCAACACCGAACTTCCAGAGCTCGAATGTAGAAATCTCCACACCGTCAAATGACCACTGGGCCCTGCATCCTGGTGGCCACGGTCTTCTTGTACTCCTGGGGCGGATGTGAAATATCTCTCGCTACAGTCTTCGGAAAAGCAACAAGGTTCACCTTAACACGGGTAATACTAGCTCCGTCACAGTGATGAGTATCATCAATGAATTGGCGCAGGGGAATGCTACGGCTGCTTCAAGTAGAAAGAATGTCATCGCATGCTCGTTTACCCTGAGAATGACCATGGAAATGGCTGGCATGTCAAGAGCTGGAAACTAACGCGATATCAGAAATCAGCGTCCCTACTGAATAGGCCCCTGTGACAGACTTCCCAAGAGGCTAAGAATTACGTCGCGCCGGCATGTAGTCGCTCCATATAGATACTGTGGGGTTACTAAGCAACATCCTTGGCTTCTCGCACTTCCACATGAGAAGCTGCTCCTTTCTTCTCATCTGAATGATCAATTTCTTTGTGGACCGCAGCAGCGACTTGATCCGCCTTGCTTTTTTCTTCGAACACTGTCACTCATAGGGTTAGATGCAGTTCTTTGAAGTGACAGGCAGTGTAATGTTTTGAAAAGCCGACTTACAAAATGATAGTTCCTCCAGCGTGCGGCCCGAGGTTTCCGGGAAGAAAAGATAAATGAAGATCAATTCAAATGCCAGCCAGCAGCAGTAAACAAGAAGCCACTTCCATCTAATTCTATCGAGACCGATAGGGTTCACATAGGTGGCAAAAAAGCTTGCACCGCGGCCGTAGAATTGGAACCAAGAGAGACCACGTGAGCGACCCATATAAGGGAACAGTTCGATAAGATACGCTGGTTCATTGTCAATAACACGCCCGGTTCGCCATGTGATAAGGTACGTACTGTAAGTCAGAGCATTATATCCGAGGTTATATGCAGGTGTGTAGGCAAAAATAAAAAAGATTGTGAGAATGGCTGATGCTTGAGATTTGGTATTGATGGAACGTTCCATGGAAATTGTCCATGCAATGTAAACGCAAAGCAGGCTTCCTGCGCAGATGAGATACGTCGGACGTCGCTTCCAACGAGGTGCCAACACCGCATATGTTGTCCCAACAATCAAAGACCAGCATGCAAGACCAATGTTGATCTTGGACTTCCTCGTGCCGTTGGTAATTCCCACCATGTTCAACAGGTCACTCAGGTAATAGCTGTCAAATACTTGAGTTAATTGTAATCCCACTCGGATTGTTAAACCAGAACTTACGAGATCAAAGTGTTTCCCGACCATTGGGTAAACAGCCCCAGGAAAGCCGAGATGAATAGTCGACGACGCATACCAGAAGTACGGAACATATCCATCCATGATTGTTTTGACTCTTCAAGCTCCAACTTGATTGTTTGCTCGATCTGCGAGATTTCCGCTTTCACAAGAACCGAGTTTCGGTCACCCTCGGCATGATACTTCGTGAGGATATCGAAAGCTTCCTCTCGTCGATCCTTGCTGATCAGGTATCTGGGACTCTCCGGCAGTAGCCTGAAGCTGAATGTCAGTCGGGCACTACTAAAGTCATAAACCAAGGCATTGTACATCACTGTCATTATTTGGATCATGGCAGGCGCAATTTGCAGCAAGGATGGGATCCGCCACGCCCAGTCACTGGCTATGTTCACCGTGGCCAATCCCACGGACGCGGCGATGATCTGACCCATGTAGTAAGAGGAATTGAATAGCGAGGTCAGAATTGGTCGTTCTCTAGGGTGTCCCAGCTCTCCTAATAAAGACGAGCCTGCAACGATACAGAACGGGATTCCAAATCCGAGGATCATACGTGCAACAACATACATAGCCACTTGGGTTCATCAGCTCTTTCGCGATCTTCTGCAGGACATCAGCGGGAAGACTGAAGCATACCTCCATTGGAGAAACCTTGGAGAAGAGCTCCAACCAGGCTCACGCACGAGCCAAACATAATTGTCCATCGTCGACCCACCAGCTGATTCAGATAGGGCACGAATGGAAGCGAGATGATCGCCCCGAGGGAGTATGAAGCGCCCAGGAAGCCTTTCAAGTTGGACCCAATGATCCACTGAGGACGACCATCGACAATCTTGCCCGATTCATGACCAAAGTCTACGACAGCTTCAGTTTTGATGCAGGCGCTAACACTCCAGGGAGCAGGAGACTCACATTTGCTCCAAGTGTAGACAATCTGCACGGTATTAATAATCTGAGAATCAAACCCAGAGGTGATCTCAATACCCATGCAAGCAGCGAATAGAATGACATAGAGGCGTCTCAAGTTCGGTTTCTTGAACCATGGCGTGCGATCGTCAGCGATGAGTTCCTCCAGCACTGGCTCGGCAACATTTTCCTCTCGCTGTTTGCCGACCAAAACCATGTTGTGTGAGGTGCAAGTGGTAATTTGCTAGCAAAATCAAAGATTGTCCTGACTGAACAAAGTCTCTGATGTCGAGAGCTTCATCAGTTCCGACTAGGTTCGTCCCACTCTTTTATATATCGCGTTCTACAGACGCGACATCCGTCCTGCCTGCGCAATCGACCCCCAGCTGCGGCGGAATGATATCCAGCCCTGCCACCCTGCGTAAGCAATAACCCGTTCTTCATGCCAAGCTCTCGAAACAGAGCTCCGGAGCCTGTCGCGACTTCCTGTCCACCGGCCCAGTGCCAGTTCTGGCGATGTGGCTGCGCGTATGATCCCCGGCGGAGGGATTTCACAACTGGTACTTCACATCGCCCCACGGGGTAGCCGTGGAACAGGGCTTGGTGGAGAAGCAACCGCTAAGCCTAGTAGAGTAATCATAGGCCTACATGACCCACCCATCTTGAAACTTACCACGCACGTTGCTGCATTCGATGCGATTGTCTCACGAGCGCCAAGAATCTCACGCGAGATTGAGAAGCCATGCTCGGAACGAAGAAGGCTAGTCGCTTGCAGAGCCGTCGCGGAGTCTCCCCGAGTGCAAAGATCATGGTTAGTGCAGAACACCTGATCACTATGCGCTCTGTGCGCGCTGTGGGCTTTGATAGGGCCGCGGCCGCTATTGTACGAGCGTTGAGACGGTGGAAAGAAAAAGATATCGTGAGATCTTTGATCTTCTTTAGCACCTCTTGAAATTCAAGCTTGGCACAGAGTGGCTGGGACTAGAGGATGCGTGGGGGCACTACAATCCCAAGAAGCTATGGATTGTCATGAGCCATTCCAGTAGCTCGCTAAGTTCCTTGATCCCGCCGCCCTCGTTACCCCAAATCTTGAGTCGCGTTATCACCTCCCGCACGCAATCAGCCCAGTCAGGGGGGATTTCCACGTATTCAGCCGAAGGACACCGCATCAGCTTGGCACGAAATCCTGCAATCAGGCAAAGTGCATGGTTGAAGCGTACCCGACACGCGCCCCAAGACCCCGGATGCCTAAAGAAGGGCACCTCGTGTCGAATGCGATACACTGACAGCTGAAGCGATTCGCTTGCTTTGGCTCCATACAAAGATGCCATTTCTGGCTCCAGGGACACGTGGATACACAGGTACAAGTACACGCGACAGAGCAGTTCACGGACCTCGACATATCGCTCTCGAGCCAGCTTCATGAGTTCCTCCTCGTGAAGCCGTGGTGGGGATTCCAACGGCATGTCAAATCGAAGGGAAGGTGGAAGGCAATCTACCCATTGCCGCAGTTGGCCTTCCAGTTGTGTCAATGTATTCACTAAGGCCTGAACAGATGAGCCATCAATCTCCGGAGAGAGCACGCAGACTGCATTACGGATTCTGTTCAGCAGTCGGCGTAAGAAGATCTCCGACAAAAAATAGTAGGAGGAGGTTGCCTCGGAGTCCGTGGTTGGCAAGCTCGAAGTGGTCCATCCGTGAGTATTACTGGCTGGGTGCCTCACGGGGAAGCTGGGAAGAGCATGAGGGAAGTCGGCGAGGCTTAGCTCGCACGGTGGAAGGTCTGTCAGCTCATAACGGACCTCGCTATAGCCGGTTAGTTGCTGCACCTTGGACGTCCAGATGTGTCGAACCGCCCATGTGTGGGGAAACGCACCATTCTGACTTGAGACACGTCCAATAAAGTCTTTGCTCCAAACCTGTTCTGCATTAGAAAAAGGCGTTTGAATGCATATACGAGGCGTCGAGTACTGACTCTCTTCTTGCGCGCTCCTGTCAGGTCTTGCTTCTTGATACTTCAGGCGATATGTCTGCCAGAGCATAGACGCTGCTCGAAACATTTTCCAGCCCTCAATGGGCTCAATGTTATACTGGTACCAGATGCTGTGCGAATTTCAGGAATCTGTGGTCTGCAAGTACACATCGAATGGAGGAAGCCTCACCCAAATAAGCAAAGACATTGCACGCCCAACAAGGAGTCATCCAGAAAGGCCGTGTATAGACGTTGTCGTGCCATTGAGACGAACGCCAGCGATTCTTTCATTCGCTCTTCCGGCACTGCAATGGTCACATATGCTATTGGCTGACCGAAGGTCGCCTCGTTGTATGGAACTTCACGAGTCTCGTCATCCGGGTAGTTCCCCCAAATGGCTGCGAGAGCAAAGACGAGCAACAACAAACACGACGACGCTGACCAGTCGAATCCTTTTCCTAGCACTCGATTGATGTAATAATCAAGTTGCTCCACGTCTATGATTGGGTTTTTGGTCCAGACTTTGGTCATAAAGATGTTTCGTAGTTCAAGCAGTCTTTGCGGCTCGAGATTAGGGAGAGCTGTAGATTTGCATCAGTGTTGTTGGTCACCAGTGGCAAGTGCCAGAAATGAACCGGCAAAGACCTACAGGGTGGGAAGCGATCTGGCTTCTCCGAGTGAGCAGTGATAGGGAAGGTAGACACGGGCTTGTCCTTTGGAAAGATGGGCCAACTGAGAATCATGTCGGACCCTGTGATGGGGGTTTTGGGCGCATCGTTGCGAGAAATGGATTCAGGATCTACATCTTCTATTGACGATGGCGACGCCAGCTGTGTAGCCAAGGCCTGCCCTTTACTGGACACCAGGTTTGCCAACAACAGTCGCTCTTGACGCTCTACCGCATCCAAGATTCGAGCGCCCCATGTTTCTAATCTGCATATCATATTGCCGGTTATAAGACGTTTTGTTGATAGCGTTATGGGTGTTGGGGATTAAGAAGACAAATGAGGTTCAAGCATTGGACCTCTTTCATGACTGACACTGAGATGGCATCCTTGTCTGGATACTCGCATGCTACTCCACGCTGCATGCATTTGGCACACTCTGGCCTCGCCGAGTCACATCGTGTCTTGCTGAGCCGACAAGCGTGGCACGCGGTGAGCACCCGCGTATGCTTGCGTGTCCGAACCGCGGGTGAATTGTCCATTCCGTACGATCGCGCGACTATGTGGTCAAGAAGAGACGATTGAGGAACAGAGCATGGCACCTATCTCTCATCGAACAGGAGGTGCTCATGAGCAAGACGAGTATTAGTCATGTCCACAACACGACGTGGAAGATTTCACTCGATCACTACTGAGCCCGACACTTGCCACTCCCCTCCAGATCACATGTTCTAGCGGCTTCCAGTTTAGCCGCCAAGCCCTTCGTACCTCTACTACCACGACCGGGAGGGGTTCCTTTTTCCGACACTTCCACTCTCAAAGCCCACGCCAATAAGTGGTACGCTCCACGCGAAAGTCACCTCGCGCTACTATTTCTTGACTGGAGAATCCAACCAAGACCTCGTATCTACCCTGTTCAATTTTCCACATTTCCTCTATCTCATCCCAGAGACTCGTGGCATACCGATCGAGTTGGAGGTCCACTGTCTGCACCTCGCCGGGCTCAAGGAAAACTTTTTCGAACCCATGCAACTCCTTGGATGGACGCGGTGTCGGCGAATCAGGGGCCGCAACGTAGAGCTGAAGAATTTGAGCTCCCGCCGAGAGACCGATGTTTTCGATACGGACGCTTGCGACCGACGGATGATCCATCTCATAAGTCTGAGGGCTGACAGACACGTTCGCTGAGACCTGGAAGGTCGTGTAGGACAGGCCATGACTACCACGAGATGCGCGTGAGCCAAAAACATGCCGCTGGGACGGAGAACGCAAGGGCGCGAGAGAAAAACTTACCCAAATGGAAACAGCACCTCTCGACCGGTCTTCTCGTAGAAGCGATAGCCTGCGTAGACATCTTCGCCGTACAACACACGACCGCCGACGCTGACGTGGTTGAGATATGCTGGGTTATGACGCAGGTCTACAGGCCATGACAAGGGCAACTTTCCGCAAGGATTGACTGCGCCAAAGAGCACATCAACGATTCCATGACCGGTTTCATTCCCTCCATACCAAGCTTGCACGATACACTGGGCCTTGCTGGCCCACGGCATGGTCACCGGCGTACCAGACTGGTTGACCACGACAGTCTTCTCCGCAGCAACATCAAGGACACTGGTGATCAACCGATCAACACCTGGTGGAAGATCCATGTGCGGACGATCAAATCCTTCCGATTCCCAGTCCTGACTGAGTCCTGTGCATATGATTGAATAGTCGGCCTCCATAGCAGCCTCTGTGGCTTTTGCAATCATGGTCTCTGGATCTATGAGAAGACAGGCTCCCAGATTGGCCGCTCCACCTCCAAAGTTCACCATTCCGACCGTCTTCATTGTCGTCGTGTTGGCGGACCCGAACTCGATTCGAATTCTGTAAGTCGTGCCCGCTACCAGCTCCTTGGATCCTCGTTCCTCAACGGTTCCTTTTCCGAAAAATGCCGTTCCCCGTGTCTGGTTCGTTGTGTTCTCGATCACGAGCTCGTCGTCAATGTAGAAATTGGCTGTGCCAAAGACACTCAACCCGAATTCCCAGAATCCGGATGCATCCGGCGTGAAGTCACCAGTCAGCGTAGCCCAGAACAGACCTCTGTTCAGACCAGGAGCATTGTAATCCATGAATTGAAAGGCCGTGGTCGTTACAGGCCCCGTGCTGATCAGATGTCGCTCCTGGCCCACTGGTTCATTGTAGAAGGTGATGGCCGCATTGCTGAGGAGGCGGTCGATCACGGGAAGCATTTTGTGTGCGTATGCGCCTGGCTCATAAAGCACCTGCACATGAGGAAGTGTTTCCTCACATGCGTCAAAGACCGAGACAACATAATAGGGCTTGAGGGAGGCGCTTCCTCCCCCTGAGATGGCGGGTGTCTTGACGTGCGATCCGATCAACGCAATTTTCGTGATGTTCTGTGGCAGAGGCAAGATGCCTTCATTTTTGAGGAGAACGATACTGCTCGTACACAGTTTTCGATTTAATGCTCGGTCTTTGGGGAGGTCACGACCCTTTTCCGCCTGAGACACTTGGACCCGGCTCGCTCGCTTGACAAATTCCAGCACTCTCCGCACTCTGGCGTCGATGGTGGATTGCTTGATCAAGCGAGCTTGCACGGCCGACTCGATATATTTTCCGCGATATCGAGACGGGCCCGGCATCTCTAGATCCAACCCAGCATTCATGGAATCGACGGTGGTGTAGGTTCCATACCAATCGCTCATGACCAGCGGGTTCCATTTCCATTCCTCGCGGATCAAGCGGAGCATGCGTTCATCTTCCACCACATGCTTTCCGTTGATCTTATTGTAAGATGTCATAATCGCCCCAGGTTTTGCATCGCGAGCCACAATTTGAAATGGTCGTAAGTAGATCTCTCGTAGCGCGCGCTGGGTTACAAGCACATCCACCGCACGACGTTCATGTTCTTGATCGTTGCCCACAAAGTGCTTGACAGTCGAGACAATGCCTTTACTTTCACAGCCGAGAATGATGGACTTTGCCAGTATGCCCGAGAGATGAGGATCTTCCGCAAAAGATTCGAACCCACGACCACCCACTGGCGCGCGTTGCATGTTGATCGTGGGACCCAGCCAACAGTGCGCCCCTTTGGCGATGCACTCCTCACCTAGCAATTCTCCCGCTTTGTAGATGAGATCTCGATCCCAGGTGGCACCCAGGGCGGTGCCACAGGGTAAACACGCGGCGGGGATCCCGGCGAAAAACTTTGTCCCTCGAATTCCATTTGGTCCATCTGTGACCCGGATGGAGGGAACGCCGAGGTCTGGCACGGGATGTGTGTGCCAAAAATCGATCCCTAAGAATGGGTCTGTTAGCGAGGTTGCGCGAGACGACTGCGCGGGGACCAGGAGATCTTCGTTGGAGAGAAAATCAACAATACCGGATAAAAGTGCAATCTTGTCTGACTCGCTAATAGTGGACAGGACATAGTCCACGTCAAATGTTTCTGGCATGGTTGATAGATGAACACGATTCTATTAAATGCAATTCCATGGAGATGAGCAAAAGACAGAAGCAAAGAACTGAAACTAAATGAACCCCTATCTGAGAGCTCAATAGAGAAGCGAGCTGATTTATAAATCACAATCTTACCACGACGATGGCCTGTACCAGCTAACAAGTATTCCACAAGGTGAGACTCATACCTTACCATTCCCCACATTGCCCCACTTGCTTTGCTTTGAATTCCATGTCAACCGACGGGCGTTTAGTGTCTCGCAATGCGCCGGAGGTAGTAAGATATCCAATATACTATTTGATTAATGCAGTCTTCCACGTGCCTACTTCGATACCCCGTGGGCGGATCCCCCCGACACCCCAAGACTCGATTTTCCTCCCACGACGGCGGACACTCCCCGGTTTCAGTGGGGATGGGGCTTCGATGTGACGGGACTACCCGCTTTTCTGTTCAGTGTCCACGTACATGTACAGGATAATTACTGTAAATAATGCTTGATATACCGTGTCTGAGAAATAGGTATAGAGTACTGGCGGGTAGTTTTTACCTGGCCAACGGCAGGGCTCCCTGCATACTGACTCATCGGGACGAAAAGATACGAAGATAGTCCGCATCATCCTTCCGTCTAATCCGTTTTATTTCCAGTGTGTGCATCAGGACCACGCAGCTACCTAAATCATCATGAGAAAGTCAGCTTTGGTTGCTCACTTGACTGGATTAATGTGAGTGCTCAACAAATCAACCATGTCCTCCGACAAGTGACCCGTTTGTCTCCCGGGCGGGCGTGTTCTTCAACGACACTGAGGCCCAGTAAAAACTCGATCATTAGGATGATGCAGTGGTGCACTGGTGATAGCTGATATTGTACTGCGGTGGTTCTGATAAAGCTTAACATAACGAATCTACTCCCCCCGTCCCGTCTTGACCTGCAGGTCAGCACCTGTCCGGAAGAGGTTAGCTTTGCTGCGAGATTCATGGGACCGACTGAGAAGTCCTACTACGGCCAAAAAAAGGCTCTACTGACCCCCAACACTCTACGATATGTAGTAACTCCAATGACTGTGCCGCTCGTGCCGTGGGTCTGAATAGAACACTGTCGAGAAATAGAATGTTACGGGGCAAGCATATTCACTTCATTCACATCTGGACGACCTAGGATATCCATTGATCGTTGCAGCGGTTGTATAGACAATACACATTGGATGTAGAGTATATAATTCGTTCCTTGCGACTACCAAGACCCAGCCTACTGGGACCCAGCCTAAAGGTTTGGGGGGCCTCCCACTCAGGGCCTCCGTCTGCGGCAGTAAAGCGACATCTGCGGCATATCGAATCGAAAAGGTGGAATTAGTGTCCTTCGAATGACGATGAGGGAATCGATGGGTGCATCGAGAGGGTCCCACGCAGACGGTGTAGAGTACACGCCACCCTTGATCGCTTGCCGGCGGCCTCGTCGAGGCTTTTCAGGCCCAGAGGGCATGAAGCCTGGACAGCGCATGAGTCCACAAGTCCCATTTGCGAGGGAATTGTGGTCTGCGTAACTGGACATGACGAGTGATCACCACAGTCTCAATCAGCTGCTGCGGCGCCCATATGGCTCGAACGGCAGAGCCGCCGCGACCGCAGCCATGACGATGTACAGAGCCGCACAGATGTAGATAGGGACAGGGGTATTGGTCTGCGAGAAAAATCTCGCGTTAGTACAGAACTTCACCACCGTGAGAGGAGGGTGTTTGACTGATCTCTTACATTGGCAGCTTGTCCAACCACCGCGCTGATGATGCCCATGATTCGATTCAGGCCGATGGCGACGCCGTTTCCGGTTCCACGGTGTGCGGAAGGGAAAACCTGGGAGAGTAGCCGAGTTAGCGTGATATTGCGGGCCAGTCAAAGTATACCTGTGGAAAAGGACCAATCGTACCTCTGGGGTATAGGCATAGAGAGTGCCGTAGTAGATGTTCAGGCAGAAGGAGATGGCACAGGTAAACCCCAGGTTCTGACTGGCTGTTCGGACTTGGGTGTAGCAAAAGAAGAAGACCATGGTGATCAATGCTCCAACGATCATGGTTCCTCGTCGGCCCCAGAACAATCGAGACTTGCACATGAATCCTGCGAGCACCGGGCCGAAGATGGAGCACGTGTTGTTGAGTGCGTAGTTTCGCCAGGTGATGTATTGGCTGGCCTGTCCAAACTGAGCGCCGCGAGACGAGAGGTAAGACGGAAGGAAAACATTGTATAGAGGGTACGCCAGACCAATCAGCAGCCAAGAGGCCCAGACCAGGCTGGTCGACAGGCCCATGCGACGCGTCGCAAACAAGCCGCGGAAGTGGCCTCCAACTTCTCCTACGGAAAATAGTCGCTTGGATAAGCCCCCAGCGGTCGCCGAACGAGACTGCGTGGGTCCACAAGCCTCCAATCGTTCGACCGTCAGCGAGCAGGGTCGGTTATGCTTGGACGCGATATTCTGGAGCACACTAACAGCCTCCTCATCGCGACCCTCCGAGACTAAGAATTTGGGAGTCTCTTCCAATCTGATGATTGTGATTCGCAAGATCGAGAGGACAAAGACGAGGGCCCCAGAGGTGTACCATACGTAACGCCACCCTTGGTTGTTGGCCCGGGTGCAGGTGGCGGCTTCGGCACAAGAGAAGTTGGGCAGGAAGGCCCAAGCAAATAGACCGGCGATCAATTGTCCCACGCCTGGATGAATGCAGTAGAACGGATTGTCAGCGAACCCTCATCATCAACCCAAAATTGGGGGTCATGTCAAAAGAGAACCCGACAACTTACCCCACCAGGCCGCCATCAGGGTCAACAGCCACTGATTCTGACTCGGGAGATATTCCAAAAAGACCGTGGTGTCCAGCACAAGGTTTCCACCCGATCCAAAGGCACTCAGACACACAAACAGACCCAGTGTCACCCAGGACGGCGATGCTCCCGCTACCACGGTGAAGATCGAGGAAACGAACAGTGACACGTTGAAGGCAAAGCGACGGCCGATAATGTCTGCCGAAAAGCCCCAGAAGATGGCTCCGACTAGCATGCCCACATAGACGGCGATCGTCAAGCCCGTGGAGTATGCGGGACGGAACTCTTTCTGGGCTTGGGCGCTGATGATGGATTGGAGCAACAGGATCAGGGAGTCGACCGCGTACCCGAATCCGTTGAGGCAGAACAATTTCCAGTGGTGGTTCGTGAAGCCAATCTCATCAATCGCCTAGGGTACAATGGTGGCATTAGTTCTGCAGTTGCGCTGTCCGCCGTTGAACGCTCGAGTAAGACGTTCTTTATCAGGTCGATGGTGCACCACCTACATCGTTGACCAAGATCATCTTGGCGGCCAGCACTCCGTCGACATTCTCCCCACCCAGCAGGTCATTCTCGCCATGGCCAATGGATCGGTCTTCGGTGATTGAGCGAGCGTCATCCTTCTTGAGAGCATCGCTCTTGGCTGGGAACCCAGGGTCCGACCCCGCTGTCCGCTCGACATCCATTTTGCGAGGGCGCTTTGTGTCTGCTGGTTTGTTCCGGCGTGAGTTCGGTCGCACCGACGACGGCAACGGTCTAGTATGTACAGGCCGCGATCAAAGGGACTCGTGACCAGGAGGGGCGAATTGCGCGAGGGGGTAAAGAGGAAGTGAGGAAGCACATGCGCCCAAACCACACCGAGCCAATTGCCCGCCCTTTATACATGTTACCATTCCGGCCGATCGAGACCACGATTCCCTGGCCACGGTCATCGCATCGACCACGTCGTTTCCAACGGAGGAATCAGCAGGGCGGCCGGGGAAGTCCTCCCCAGTAGAGCGAGTGCACATGGTTTCATTCGCGATCGTTACCCGCGAGTCTACTGTCCAGTTTGACCCTTTGGGACGGGTGGGTCGTGTGGTCTCCAGCAGCATGGAGTGGCATCAGCGGCACATGGGATATCTGCATGGACGGGCTGGCGCGGTGGACAGAGAGGGCGGATTTTGCGGAGCATGCCTTCCAGTCGGGACAGCGGGGGATATCCTTGCACCTGCCAATCATCAAATCAAGAGTGATCTTGCGCCAGCCACGAGGGAGCTTCGAGCGACCGTAGAATTGAGAAATCGAACAAGAACGACGCCGTGGGAGCGGTTCAGGGCATTCGAGGATTCGACAGAAGGGCCCGGGGTGAAGCCTCCCAGCTTGGGTCTTTTCCCCACGCGGGCCGCTGATTGGTGACGGGTTGCAGTTGACTACCCAGAGTGGACCCGACCGAATCGGCGAGAAGTGGAGAACGTCAAGAGCTGGTCTCTCGAATGGGTCTAACCTGTTTAGGAAAGCCCTCTGAAGTGCATGGATGAGAGTCATCGGACCACAGGGAGAAGATTGACGATCCTCGCGGGTAGGTTAGGTAGGTAAATACCGTAGGTAGTACGTAGTAGGTACTGCTACATGGCGACGCTGACTGCAACTGACCGGACAGTCACCAGGAAGATCTATCTACACCAGTCATTGGCAAAACATAGGCCAGCGAAGATAGAGAGCCTCTGAACGAATGGATGCCGGAAGTCATCAGTTCTGTGGCCACGCATCGTGGAAGACGGATATCAAAGATCTCTGGACCTCCCATCCGTGTTGTATACACGTTGGCCACATTCCCAATAAAAGTGAGTGCGCGTTTCGTACGGACTCACTTCGTTATTGACTGTACCTGCCACAACAATCGAATGTCGCGCTCAAGGTTTCCCCAAATGGTCCCGGGCAGAGTGTGGAAAATTTTCCCTCTAGCAATCAGCCAAGATATGTGACCGGAATCCATGCATCTTCCTGCTGTCGGGACTGGGAGCTGAAGGTCGGTGCGCAAAGGTTGGAATGGATCCGGAACATCACCGATTCACCATCTTCATTGGATCAACAGTATCATCGAGGGGACATTGAGATGGCACACGTACGTCACCATAGGAAAAGGGAAGTAGGCCCGGGTGGACATTGGAAGACGCTCGGATTAGGTTGCAGGTGCGACGGAGATAAGATCGAGTCTAAGGGGACGGGATAAGGTGCTCGGAAGGAAGAGGTAGGTACTTTACCTGATGTAGTGCTGTCAAGTGACCCTAAGCTAGTACAACTTGAAGTCAAGGTGTGCACAACTGCCCATGACTGCTCGATGCATCCTCACAGTGAGGCTTTCTAGTGACAAGAGACCACTGACAATTGAGGCTCATCGGCGGCCAGAAACGCAACTCTTACCTTGACCACCTTCTCTCGTCGAGTACAAGAGATTGAAGCAAAGAGTTCGTCCATCAGAGAGACCACTCCGACCTCGGTACCTGGCAATTAGTATCTGCTAGTACTTGTACGGCGTGACTCTCGCTGCTAAATAGGCCAAGCCAAGCACGGTTCCGAACGAATCTTGCTCAATACACAGAAGAAGCTTTCTTCGGGTCCTCATCTCAGCTACTACTGAGGAGGGATGACTTTCCTGTTTGGTTCGACAATCGTCCAGGTCAGCCATCTTTCCTTCCCGGAACAAGCGCTTGCAGGGAGTGGCCCGTTTAGCAAAGACTCCATGTCTCTCAGTTGCCTCGATTGGGTTTCTACCGCGCCTTTCTTAGATATGCCTCGGCAGAAGAACCCCAAGTCGCAGTTGAGCACACGACTTTTCTCCGCTGCTTCAAGAGCCACGCGCATCAGTACCGGAATATCAATCACTTCGAGGTCGCGACCAGACTTTTCGACCAACTATGAATTAGCACAAGTGGGTAGTTTTGGTGTCGGAAACTTGAATTCTCAGGTAAGAAGGAGGATATCTCCGAATCCACCTAACGTGCACGCCTACCTCAATTCCCAAGTTTGACAACCGATCAAGTGGTCAACAACCAAATGCGGCTATTCCCACAATATCATCAGCATATTGACAGACATCTCGAGCCCCCTATCAGAGTGGAGGAGTACGGGCACTTGCCCGGCCAGAGGCAGGTGCACGGACTTGAGGCCAGAGAGACCCAGTGAGAACAGCGGCGGATAGAACAGAGGTGCAGAAATCGCGGCAAGTGACGCCGAAAGGGAAGGAAAACGATGCCACACTTCGCTGAGGCCCAGCCGCAAAAACACTATCTTCCATGTCCATACCATCAAATCCCAGTACTACCAGGGAGGAGGTATTCAGCTGACGCAACTATAGCAAGCGGTGTCTCAACAAGTAGTAGGCTTCAAGTCTCATCAAGTAGATAGGACCATTTTCAGCTAAGTTCGCAAATTGATGCGTGCAAACTCAAATCGACTTTCCTTCTACCCGCGGCCTTCCATTCAAGTCACGACACATACACTTCACCCGTGGTCTGCCATGTTCCCCGCCAATTATAGTGTCATCATCGACCGCGCTGCATCTGATTGAGGGACTAACATCTATTTCGTATCGTAGCTTGTACCACATATTCTCGTTCAGTTTGCGTAGATAACCTGAAAGAGCGCCTCGAAGCAACGGCCCCGCTGCTTCATTGATGAGTCTTCACAAATTGCAACAATGCCGCATTCACCTCGCGCGGACGAGAGGCACTCAGGAAGTGCGCGCCACCTTCAATCGGCACCAGATCTGCAGACGGAGACGAAGTGAACAACTGAATCTCCTCTTCGGCATTCGCGAGCGAGTACACGGCATCTCGGGTACCCTATATTTTGGGTGTTAGTCGACTCGAACAGGTAAAGAAAGAAGACTACGCCGATGCGGACACAGGAAACGTACGTGTAGCCACAAAACCGGACAACGCACGTCCGGCAGGCGAAGATGCAATCCTCCTCGCTCGGCCAGGTTGATGGCAGCCATGCGGATTCGTTGGCGGCCTGCCTCTCCTTGATAATTTGCCTTGATCGTTTTCGTCCAGAATTCTTGAACCTCGGGGGAAACCTCGTTCAGACCGATGCCAATGGTAGCGTTGCAATACGCATCGTCTGGTTCAAAGTTCGACGTGGGCTCGGAGTTGGCCCACTGTTTCACAAAGCTTGCAACGATGGACGGGCCATCCCAGCAATTCAGCTTTCGCGAGCGCTCGGATTCGCTATCCATAGACGTGCCCATAGGGATGATGCCTTGAATCTAGAAGGGGAAAGAACAACGGAGGATATTAGCGATCATTCACAGTCGTCAGATCAAATCAAGGATGAAGTTTGTTTATTCATAGGGGTTTGCCTCTCGTCTCTCGTGTCCAACCCACCTTTTCCGGTCGCAGTAGAGCCATCTGCACAGTAACCCAACCACCCTGACTTGTACCAAGGATAAAAGCACGATCGACGTTCAACGCATCCAGAACCTGCAAATTCATCTCTGCGGTGTCCCAGTAGGTCCAATGCTGACGCTCGGTACGAGTTTGCCCGTGGCCCAAAAGCTCGATCGCAATGAGATTCACAGCTCCTGCAAGTTCCTCATCGTCGAACTGATCGCGGTAGAGCTCAGATGAGGTAGTAAAAGCATTGATCAACACCACCGTGGGCTTGCTGGGGTCATATTCCCGAGGCATCTGGTAAGCCGCATCGATACCCCCGAGATGGGGGACGCGGACGGTCTTTGTGTTGGTCATTGTTGAGGCGCGCGGTCTGTCTTTGTCTCAGCGTCGAGTTCTCGATCTTGTGGGGGGTAAGTTGATCGAGGAAATTACTCACATCGCCAAGTCCAGCGTGAACGACAATCTCAGGAATCAGGAGTCAAAGCGGGGTCGCTGGGGACCTCGGCCCCAAACGAGGGTGGTCAAAGTGTTCCATTCATATCGTTACCTAGTTCCAAAGCCTGCAAGGTGCAAACACTGTGCAGCCGAAAAGAGTTGAGAAAGTTATCTGCAGTCCATTTAAGGAGGTTCGTACTGACTGCGGCATCTGTCTTGCTTGACAGTCGCTTTCCGCTTTCCGCTTTCCGCCGCCGAGGGATACCTATTGTAGAGGGGAATGCTCAAGGCAGTCTGATCTCACCAGACAAGTCGAGTCATAGAGGAACTAAACCACAACCACCAGCACCCACGTCCAGAGATCTCCCAGCCCGGCCGTACAACACCTATCCGTAGGATGTCAAGAGGCACAAGTGAAGATCAAGGAGTGTGTCATTGCAATGCAAAAGAATTTGACTGTCAAGACTGTACTGAACCCTCAATTCCCTTCTCCGATGGGTCTCCCGGATCCCATGAAGTTGTTCAATCCCTTGGTTCCTTGGTTGTCAAGTTGATTGACCCCCTCTCGTCATGTCCAAATAGTCTCTCCCGACTATAAGGCCACCATCAGGCAAACGCACCTCTGCACGCACCTCTGCACGCTATCTGTTCTACATACACGCGAACGGATTCCCTACTACACTAGGCAGGTACAAGCACCAAACAGGTACCTAATTACAGATTACAGATAAGAGTAAGGTAGGTGCCATGTGCTGGACCAAACGTCCTCCTCCTTCCCCGCACCTCGGCAGGACTCGTAGGGGATTCCGCAGTTCCACTACGTAGCGGAACCATTCCGGTTAACTTCCTGTGCATCAGTACTAACATGTCTGTCACTTCAATCTACGTGCTAGGTACCTTAAGTACCAGGAGTAGTAGTACAAGATTCGAACCAGGCGTGATGCCGGCTAAGGTGCGTTTGCGCAATGAATGTGTGCGTTAAGCCCTCGAGAAAGTAGTGAATTGCTCATTAGTCCATCCACGTGATCAAGGTTTTGCGCAGCCGAGCGAACTTGGCGCGGCAGCATCACTCCGAGTCATCTTGTCCGCGGAAGAAAGCCGGTGTACATGGCTACATGCAACCTTCCCAGCGCTATCTCTGCTCGGAACATTCCGAAACCTCTCGATAAGACTATGAGGGGAGTTTGTTCGATGTGAACACTAAACTGTGGGCTGGCGCAACTTTATCTCGAAAGGGAAAATCGGTGGAGAGGGCCCGAGCGTGGATGATGATCATCAGCAACACGAGCGACCACTTGATGATCGAGATTGACAGTGTAGGCACTGGAGCCATGTCAAGTCCGGGGTCAGATTGAGATTGCGAATTCCGAATTTACCGAACCAACTACTCCAGGACTTTGTTCACGCCATAAATGCCAAGGAGGCACACTAGCATTGTACCACCTTCAAGGCGCGGGTGTTTCACAGCCTGGCGGGATGTTATAAGTCCTCTCTCGCACCGCGCTTTTTCGTGTTCTAACTATAACCCCGTTCATTCCTCCTTGAGAGATACGGAATTTTTATCACCGCTTTAACTTGTCACTCTCATTGCTTTCCACTAGGCACTCACATCATGACCCACCCACTTGCCATTCTCTCACAGAGGGAGACGAACATTGCTCGTGATGTTGTCCGAGAGTGCCACCCAGGAACAGTTATCGATTTCCGAGAAATATTCCTGAACGAGCCCCCAAAGGCTGAGCTGGTGGAATTTCTGGCCATCGAACACGCTGGACGGTTGACTCCAACAACTCCGCGCCCCCCTCGAAGAGCTCTATGTCAGTACGATGTAATTGGCGAGGACCGGATACCACAGTTCCACGAATCCATCGTCGATGTGGTGAGCCGTCGCCGTGTCAAGCACACCGTTGTTGGCAAACAACATCATGCCAGTTTGACTTTGTACGTGGCCAGTCCCGGATAAGCAAATGTGGAAGCTTTGACACAACACCGTGAGGAAATGGAGGCTGATAGTTCTCATTATTCGCTATAGGAGCGAGTTTGACGTTTTGGTCGATCGATGTATGAACTCGCCGCTATTTCAATCTGCTTTGGCAGACTTTCGTCTACCGGACGGCTTTGAAGTCGTGATTGAACCATGGCCCTATGGCGGGCTCGACGAGACCGAAGAAAACCGGCGCTACTTCCAGGGCCTTTGTTTCGCCAGAGATACTCGATCAGGCAATGCTGACACGAATTTCTACTCATACCCCTTGCCTCTGATCCCGGTCATGGATGCGCACACTCAAGAAATCATTCGCGTTGATCGACCAGCCACTGGCGGAAAGGGTGACGGGTTAACCGAGCAGACGTTCAAGACCGATATCATCGGTCATTGCAAACCATCGGAGTATGTGCCTGAGCTGCTACCAGAGGGAACAAGAAAGGATCTGAAGCCTTTGAATGTGCTGCAACCGGAAGGACCGTCATTCAAAGTGACGGACGAATCACTGGTCGAGTGGCAGCGATGGCGCTTTCGGGTGGCATTCAACCCCCGTGAAGGCGCCACAATTCATGACGTCTGGTACGACGGCCGAAGTGTGATGTATCGGTTGGCCATTAGCGAAATGGTATGTCTTTCGCCACTCCACTGTCTTTGCAAATGCATCAATCTAAAATCGTAACCTTCAATTTCACCGGAGTTATTGCTGACCCTATGTCTCCTTCAGACCGTGCCATACGCCGATCCTCGGCCACCATTTCACCGGAAGCAGGCCTTCGATTTTGGTGATGGGGGCGGAGGCAACATGGCAAACAACTTGTCGCTCGGTTGCGACTGTCTCGGTGTGATCAAATACTTTGACGCGGTGATCACGAATGCGGACGGCTCTGCCCAGAAGCTACCCAATGCCATCTGCTTGCATGAACAGGACAATGGAATTGGATGGAAACACTCTAACTGGCGTACTGGCCGGGCAGTAGTCACAAGACACCGCGAACTAGTCATCCAGTTCATCATCACTTTGGCCAACTACGAATACATCTTCGCATACAAGTTCGACCAAGCGGGCGGCATTACCGTTGAATCTCGGGCAACTGGTATTCTCAACGTCGTCAACATTGACTCTGGCAAGGCTAGCGAGTACGGGAACGTCGTCAGCGGTGGTGTCCTTGCGCAAAATCACCAGCACATTTTCTGTGTACGAATGGATCCGGCGGTCGATGGAGTGAACAATTCAGTCGTGGTTGAAGAGTCCCACCCCGTGCCTTTGAATGTGACGACCAATCCACATGGAAATCTATACCGGGTCATCAAGAAGACGGTGGATCAAGCTACATTCATGGACGCTGACCCCAAGATTAATCGAACAATCAAGATGATCAACCCCCACAAACTCAACCCGATCAGTGGGAATCCGGTCGGTTACAAGTTCATCCCCATGGCGACCCAGTTACTGTTGGCCGACTCGAGATCTGTGCAGGCTCGCCGGGCCCAGTTTGCTCAGCACCATGTGTGGGTGACCAAGCATCGCGATGATGAACTATACGCCGGTGGACGCTATACTTTGCAAAGCCAGAAAGAGGTCGACGGAGTGGCTGATGCGGTGCTTCGTGGAGATTCCGTGTCAGACACGGACGTGGTTGTCTGGTGTACCTTTGGCATCACTCACAACCCGCGAGTGGAAGACTGGCCGGTGATGCCCGTCGAGATCATGCAGCTGACGATCCGTCCAGCCGACTTTTTTGTGGCAAATCCAGCAATTGACGTGCCGTCAAGTCGGAACGTCTCCTCTCAGCTAGTTGACTCGAAATGTTGTCGAGAAGCCCGTATCTAGGCAACTTCACTGCGTGTGTAGTCGATCACATCCGATTATCACGTGGTGCCCGTCGACTTCTGTTGACTTTAGAAAATACTATTTGTTGTTGTGGCATGCTCAGATGGTGAATGTACCCAATATCGAGAAGAGCTTCAATCACGTGGCGTCTAGCTGACAGTTCCTGCAAATCCCTGGCGGATCCGTTCGTAGCTAATTAGAAGCTAATCACGCAGTGAGTTAGGTCCTTAGATCAAGGGTTCACTAGTCCTTCCTGAATAAGACCCGGTAGACGTTGAAATCCATGTAGTTACTTTGTCCGGCAGGCGGGACGCGATGAAACGGGACTCACCGACGGTGCTGAACCGGCTAAGGGATCCATCAGCAGCGAACTGCTGCTGACAGTCTGAGATGGCCAAAGTTAACTCATAACAATATATCGCTAGCTGCGAATTCTGGATCATTTATAGCATGCTAAATGTCTGATGAAAGCCCGTAACTTATCACGTGATCCGAAGATTGGGTCTGTGGTCTGTGCGCTTGCAGACTCGGCTGTGGAGTTTGCTGATAACTTACTACCTCCGTAAATGTGGAAATTCCGAAATTGAAAACGCCTCGGGTAGAGGCAACGCGGTCGCTAGTTGATCGACAAGAAACTTGCTTGCATTATTCCTCGGTGAATACGAGAGCCGTCAGCCCCGGAAACTAGATTGTCGGCAGGGTCCGGGCAGTGGCGCAGTGCTCCAAAAATGGTACCCAGAGCCCCCGCCTTGATTGAATAAGTAGTCGGGATTGAGGTAATGAGTCCCGTCGGAAAAACAGGACGCATGAGGCGTCGCCAATATATGGGAAAGAGATCCAGGGGAATATGGGAGAATATGGCGGTTATTCTCAAACATGCTCGTTGCACCACCAGCAACGGCGTGCTTTTTGGGAGTAACAGATAAGTGATTCTCTGTCTCGACGTGGGGAGAAGCCAGTATGTACATGGCTATACCCGTCACCTCACCCACACGACGGCTGCATGTCTGACCTCAGGCCGCTTGGCAGATTCCCGAGAGCGCCCGCCATCCTAGAGAACCCATAGTGTTGCAAGTTGCAGAATCATCAGACTGAAGTCGGAGAGAGAATGCTTACTCAAAGCCGACGAGGACCAGACACTTGGCGGGTTCATTCAAACCTGTCCACGCAGCCACACCTGTATGTTGTGGCCAGCGTTGTTCAGTCTTCGCGCCCTATCGCGACCGGCTGCTTCCAAGCAAACTTAAATGAAGCTGGCGCAGATTGTGATGGTCATTGGCTCCAGCCGAAGGCATCCTGACTAGCTGGGCAAAAGCAATATTTCCGGCCGCCGTCTGACTGCATGTCACATGGAATACTACGCTCGTATCGGGCGAAAGCAAGCGAGAGAGGGCGAGTGGCTTTTGACTCTAGCTGCTGGGAGTCTCGATCTGCCCTCTATGTCTTCTCTCGTAGCCCAACTCCAAGTTGTGCAAAGCCTCGATCGGCCAAAGATGGTATGTTGGAAACCATACCTCTAGGGATGTCAAATATTTACCCATCAACACAGGAGTGTGGAGAGTGGGAGCTACCTTTTTTGCACGAGGTATACACACCTCAAGATGCTCACAAGATAGAGTCAGCAAACATCCGGTCGCATCTCTATTCACGCAGCATGTCATAGCTAACGCGATTCGCGACAGCTTTGTGTTCGTTCACGGCTTGAATCCACGCGGACGCAATGATCACCCCTTTCAAACCTGGACGCACGCGAACGGGAAGTTCTGGCCAAAGGACTTCCTCGCCGAGGACATCCCATATGCGCGCATCTTCGTGTACGGTTACAATTCGAGCGTCACCAATCCCCAGAGCATGTCGACAGCCAGCATCAAGGACCATGCGAACACCTTGCTCAATCTACTGGACATGGAGCGAAGCTCTCAGATGGTACTCGATCATTTTTTTTTAACTTTCGTCCACGTCAATAAGCAGAAAGATGCTAACAGCCCGAAACAAAAGCAATCGATGCCACCCAAGATAATATTCATCGGTCACAGCCTAGGTGGTTTGGTGATCAAACAGGTACAGGGATCTGACAAGTATTGAGTGGACAGCAGTACGGAACGCTGACAATCTTTCTGCATTCGTGCTGAGAATAGGCATTGCTGAACGCAAAGGAAGATCCAAAATATGGCGCGATTCGAGTGTCCACATCTGGTCTGGTATTCTTCGGCACTCCCCATCGGGGCGCAAAGGCCGTCGAACTGGGGAAGATTGCTGCTCGTGTAGCTCGTTTCGTGTCTACCGGCCACGCAAGCAACGACTTACTGAATTGTTTGGAACATAACTCCTTGTTCACAAGGCAAATGAGTGATCGCTTTCGGCATCAATTGGAAGACTATCGAGTCGTCAGTTTCATCGAGGGGAAGGAAGTCCTCTTAGGGGGCGTGGGCCCGACTTCTGTCAGTCATGTAAGCACCACACTTTTGCGTCCCAGCAGGATGGGACAGCTCTTGGTCCTGCTCTTTATTGTGTATTGCTTCTGACTGGCCTAATAATAGCTGGTTGTCGACGAGGAATCGGCCGTCCTGGGTCTATCGGGCCTCCGCGAGACTCAGCTCAAGCTAGACGCCGATCATTCTCAAATGTGTAAAGTAGGATCTCGAGGTCCAATGTATAGGCTTATCGCGGGCAACATCAAGCAGCTTGTTGACCAGGCTCTGCTTCACGAGCACGGCTTTATCCCCCAGCCTTCACCCGTCCCACAAACAGGTAATGGCGGCCCTCCGCCTCTTCCGCCACGAATGCACTTCAACAGCAGCGCTCCATATTCTCCTCCACCGGGACGAACTATTGAGTCTGCGCCCAAGATTATTGGCGAGCTCTATACCCCCCTTGACAAAGATCCTCGATCCATCAAATCTGCGCAGCTCAAGAATGCCGAGAAATGGGACGAAGCTAGAAACGTGGACTATGAGGTTTTCAATGAGCATCTGAGATCTCTTGGTGCCGATCACGCAAGCACACTGACAGTTGGATATCAGCTGGCTGAGATTGAGTTCCAAGCAAACTACTTCCAGAAAGCAACTGAGTGGTGTCAGTGGGTGATGGATAACGCCCGTCGTGTTTTTGGAAATCAGCACGCACTTCCAATACGGGCCGAGAGTCTCATGAGTGAGATTGTATGCCAGAGTGGGAAATACCAAGAAGCCGAGTCCATCGCTGCCAACGTGCTAGCCCGTCAACAGATGAGCATAGGGGAAGACCATTTGGACACATTGCAGACAAGGCGGCGTTTGGCCATGGCGTACAGTTCTCTAGGTCACCAGGACAGGGCCGTTCAAGCTTCTAGGAAGGTGACAGAGTCTCTGAGACGCTTGCTGGGTGATAATCACATCCTGGTCTACTGGGCTGTACTCGATACCCTCGAGTACGCGACTTATATTCAGGGAGCTGAAGATGTTTCTACGCGACTCTTGTATTCCTCCGAATTGAAGGAGTCCTTCCAGCTGCTTGCCGGAATATACGACGAGCTCCGTACTCGACTGGGTGACCGGCACCCTGTCACGATTCGAGCTTTGTCATTGCACGCGCGCGCTCTCGGGCGGTCAAAGCAGACACTGGAAGCCTCCGAAGTCTATCGCCGAGGACTCGCAATTTGTGAAGACACCCTAGGACCAGATCACCCGTTGACGATGAGCATTGTGGGCAGTATCGGTGTAATGTATGCGCTACAAGCCCAAAGGCCCTCATATCTGACCACTTCCACACCGTCAGAGGCTATTCCATGGATGGTGCGGTATCTTGGCTGGGTAGAGCAGCGACGCGGCCTCGAAGATCCCGAGACGCGAGGCTCACTCGAAATCCTGGGGAATCTGCACATGGCCGCTAATGACTATGCCACCGCCCAGGCCTACTTTGAACGTGCTTCGGCAGCATGCCGGGGATCGCCGGACGTGGTTATGCAGCAGAGAATCTCGAATAATCTCTCATTGTGTCAGTCATTCAACAGTATCAACAGCCTGATGCCCAGCGCTAGTTACGGTTCCGGACTTGGAGACTTTTTTTCCCAGCTCAAGAAGCATTGATATTTTAGAGTTAATGGCATCTTCTGTTCGACTGATCAGGATCATGTAGTTGAGTTTATCAGGCGAATGGCCTGTTCGAGGATTCGCACAGAGGCGTTTCGGTAACCAAATGTCACGAGGTTCCCAACTATGCTGTAGATGAGGGCCGGAAGCTTGAGTTTGGTACTAGTATACTTTCAAACATTTGCTCTTCACCCCCTCCCTTCTTTTTGTGAATGTAGCAGGGATGCTCGTGTCAGCGACACATTCTCAACAGTAATTCGATCTATTACTAGATGGGCCTCCGGAAAAACTTAAACATTCATGTCATTCGTGGTTCATAAGTATTACATGAGCGTATTGCGATTCCATCTCGAGACATCCACCAATGCGGCAGGCATCTCGTGGTCATCGTACTATTCAATGAAAATGGCGCGGATGGTCACCACGTGCAGTCACAGTGTGCCGGACGCCTTAGTTAGAGATCTTGGAGGGAACATTCTTCCTATAGGGCGCGTATATCAGTCAGTCTAATTCCCACACCGATTGATCGAGGCAATGCGCTTACCCAGTGGCGCCCTCGAACTGCTCACGAGCAGTATCGGTGATCTTCTCGTTGGTGGAGCGCATCTTGGCGGGATCGACGTGACCGCCTCCGTACTTGCGCTCGGCGCTGTCCAGGGCTAAATGTAAATGGAGTATGTCAGCATCCAAGGACTGGCAGAGTAAAAAGGTTCTTCCGCACGGTGGGACCAACCCTTGTCAACGTAGTCCTCGTTCTGGGCGTTGGAGTTCTGCTGACCACCAGAGTGGCTGCTGCCACCGAGCTTCGAGGCGAGTCCAGAAAGCTTATCCATGATGACTGAGAAGATGTTGATATGTGGGAACGGTAGAGGGAAAAAGGTGGTTCTTGAGGTGATTGTGAAAAGGAGAAAAAAGCAGCGATGGTCGGTAAGGCTGAAGCGCTGCTACTTATATGGAAGGACACAAAGCCATGCCACCCGACTGGCAGCACTGGCATCAATGCTGACTGTTAACCTGGCAATGGCTGTGCGTCATGGCCGTGACTGAGCTCCCCCTCTTGTCCACCGCTGGCACTGTGTGATCCGTGGACGACAGACTTGAACTGCAAGTGCGATAATACATCTAGAAACCTATCAATGATCCGGGATCTTCTAGCCCGATAGATCGACAGTCAGCCCCATGGGTGAGTGCCCAGTCATGTCTACCCTGACGGGATGCAGCAAGCATCCTGTGGGACATCACGACCGCCGCCACTTGGGCCATCTGAGGTCATTGCTTGCCGATCGAGGCCCCCTTGGGACATTGTCAGTCGTGTGGTGGAGTGGAGCGGCGTGTATTTCGATCTGGAGCTGGAGGGTGTGGCTGGTTCACTGGCTCGACCCGCCAAGCTCAATAGCGGGTTGTAGGGGTGATGCTGATTTTGTTGTGGTGAAACACCGCTTTGAGTGCTACGAACTAGTAGTAGATAGTACCTACTACCTACTAGGTACTAAGTAGGCACTCCTATATATTTCGAAGCCAAGTGTGACCCGTCGAGCGGGCTTGCTACGAGCTCGTCTGCGTATTCTTGGAGATTGTTCTTGCATTGAGAGACTTTGCATCCAATGTATGTCCACTTGCTCCATCAACAATCCCTCATTACTTGGATCAGCCAGACTATATACCGAGTCAATTGATGCGATGGATACATCATGATTTTCGTATATTCGTATTGCAATCGAGGTGGAGAGGAGTGAACAGCGGGGCGGGGTTGCAGGAGAAGACGCGGATGGAGTGTGTCATGATGTCATCGCTGTGGAGGTTTGTAACACCAACGGGCCAGGCCTCGAATGCCTCATACGCCAGGCAGGAAACAAGAGCTTCTGGATTTCCATCGGACAAACCATTGTTCCGTCATCCTCAACTCCTCCACGGCTACGTCAGTGTGAGCATTAAACACTAAACCCGAAACACCGCTCATGCTGCTATAGCAAGGCTGTAGTAGTATGACTTCAGCAGTGCCAAGAGACGCGAGTGAGAATCTGCAGCGCGGGCAGGTCTTCTGAAAAGTTGATTCTCCATTCGAGTAACATGATGACATCGAAATGAAGCATTGACGTTCAAGAACCGTTTTTCTTTTCTTTTTTTGGTGGTCAAGATTCAGGAACAATCGAGTGAACCAATAATCAATGGCACACGAGCGTATGCTAGGGGCTGCAAGCTCGAGACCTCCCTGAAAAAGGACTACGATGGTCACACCTGACTCGTGAACGCGACTCAAAGTACATAATAGGACTCTCCAAATAAACAGTCCAGCCCCTTAACAGGAGGATCCAAGCAGACGGGCAGCCCTGCCGCGGTGTGGGCGGCAAGCTCGGCCCAAAGCCGCCCGAGTCAAGGGGCCGATGATACCTGAGAGCTTCCGGGTACATGACTCGGTGCAAATGTCCAGTATGTCTCATGTGGACCATCTCTCACAGACAGACCCGCTTGGGGTCATTTGAGAAAGACCTGGGAATGAACGGCACAGACTTGAACCTGGCTACCGGCGTTCTCTTTGGGGGTTCTTTGCTGCTCATGCAATTGCCGTCGAACCCACTGATTGCGCGTGTTCGCGTGGGATTGGCAATGTGAGACTGTTGGGCCTCTGCAAGTACCATGATTTATATAACACCCGAACTAATTCACTTCGGTCCAGGGGACAGTCTCTGCGTGTCAGGCAGCCGCAATATCATTTGCAAGCTGGCGATGCCACCTCAAGCAGCATCAGCGAAGGCTTGGCCATGGTTTTGACCGATAAGCGCATCTATATCTTCATCTTGCTCCAGCACGCGTCACTTTTCTTGCAGATGGAACCTCCAGTACCGTTTCTCGACTATTGTCAAATCTTGGGCTATGATAAGATCGAGACACTTTTGATTCCCGGGCCAGTATGGATCGTCACGTTCTTCGTCACGTTGGTTGTCACCGACACGTTTAAAGACTAATGACCGAAGTTCGCAAAACATCGGACTGATGCTGACGGGATTAGCGCCGCGGGCGGTGTCCTCTTTACGGACACAACCAACCAATACCAGTGCCAAACTCCTATCCTCAGATTTTCAGAATATGAGAGACTAACGATCATAGTAGTATGCCAATTGGCGCCGTATCCGTCGATCAAATCATCATCGTCTGGGTGGTCAATTCTTTCCCTCGGCCGCTGGTCAAGCTTTCTCCGGCAATCGCCCTTGAGAACATGATCGGCAATACTGCCTCCATCTGTGGTAGTTACATGTGGTCCTCGACGTCGGGACCAGGCTATATCCCAGGCGGAGATGGTGGCGCGCGAATCGCTGTCTCCGTTGCGGTCATTGCCTTGGCGATTCGACTGATTCATATCAGGCTGAAAAAACGCCTCGAGGCCGCCGAGTCTAGTGAATGACAGAATTTTCGCGAACGAGAATTCGGAAATGCGGGCGATTGCATTTCGATATATTTTGTGATTGGGCGCTTCTACCCTCCGCTATACCTCCTACCTAGGATGATAGACTGAGGCATGATTCTACGTACATGCGAAGCATCACCATACCGTTCATTTCATTCGGGCTAGTTCATACGCGAAGCTGAAAAGAAACTCAACGTAGTTCGCGGCTCCAGCTTCTTGCATCTGTTGCTCCACAGACAAATTGGTGTTTCCTCATTCAACATCACCGGACCACGATCATTTCACTTCAAGTGAACTGCACTCCCATGTCAATGTAGTAGAACCCCTCCACAGACCCCGCAGGTGCTGTGTAGGAGGTGATAGCAGCCTCATTCACAATCTGTTGGCCGTCCGGGGATGTCACTCTGACCCCAACCGGCAAAGAGAAAGGTCCTTCACCCTGTGGGACAACCCAAGCGCCATATCGCTCCTGTGGCCGACTGCTCGTATAGTTAGGATCCCGTTTAAGTGCAACCCAGGAGTTCGAGCCCGCGCCCTTGACTTCCACGCTCGTAACAGATCCAACACCATTGGTGTTCACGATGCTGAGGGCAAAGTAATACTCTGCACCTCCGTCCCGCAGCCAAATGTAAGCGTTACCTGGCTTGGGACACGGAACACGGCGGTAACGGATGGGGATGACTCCTTCTGTCAGACTCCCGTTTCCTTGCAGACGACCCATTGCAATATCAGACAAGTCCATGTGGTGGCTGCCCTCGGGAAGAGGACAACCGTACTTGAAGTCAATTTCGCCGCAGTGATCAGCTCCCGAGCCGCCTATTTGCTGTCGTCAGTGCTTTCCGCTTCGTTTCCACCAGACATGGTAAGTGGGTTGATATTCACTCACAACACCACTTGGAATTCGCACTACAGGGACAGCTGTCCACAATCTCGAGGTAAATTGGATCGGTGTACCCTGAGTCGCCGACTTGATATTCAGTGCCATCGGCTCTCGTGCGAATGAGTTCGAAACATTCTCCGCACGAGAGGTAATTGTCGGGATCGCCAGGCTGGGCAGCGCTCAAAGAGGGCCAGAACTGGGCGGCAATTGGCGGTTAGCAAACATTTTCGATTGCCAGATTACAGGTTGTTTGTCGACATCAGTCAGTTTCCATTTCGTACCTGCGTGTAATAGTCACCGTTGGGCGCGGCAAAGTTACCTCGCAAGGTGACATCTGAGGGATCCTTGCAGAGGAGCGGATAAGCGGTACAAAATGCATCGCAGGTTGAGCCCAGCATGGGATCAGTCCAGCTCGCAGTTTTGCTACCCTTGGTGCAAAGACCATACAGGCCAAATCCACAGGCACCGCCGCTGGTCAGGCCGAAATGGGTTGACCGCTGTTGGCTAAATCAGTCTTCGCAAGACAAGAATGATGCAGAGCAGATCCCCATGCTGCACTCACGCTGTAATGCCATTCTTCGTTCGTTCCAACATTCAGTTGTTCTCCCCCTGTTGAATGTCACCATTAGCTTTTGACCCGGAGTGAAACGCCCTGCAGCAGTGAATGCCATACACATAGTGCCCGACTTGCACATAGACGACGGGGGAGTTCCGCAATCCCCTGAGCAACTGCTGGTGCACGACTCGGATCTGTTGTTCGACAAGCAGTACTCTGGGCAGCAAACATTGTCGACTAGTTCCCATGCCCCACATGAACTTGGGTCTGCTGCAGGATAAGCTGGCTGCGTGGCAGTGGCCGCAGGAAGTGTTGTACTAGTTGTGTATTCTGATGTCCCGGGGCTCCCACCCTGAGTGGTAGTGGTGATGCTTGAACCACTGCCACTGGAGGTGGTTATTTTGGCTGTTGTAGATCCAGAACTGGACCCGGATCCAGACCCCTATAGAAAACTTTGTGAGATAAGTTGCCATACTGACTCCAGTTCTTTTCATAATCTGCTGAGTGTAAAAAGCTTGCAGAATCCGGGAAAGGCCTACCTGGGTGCCCGGAATGCATTGAGAGTAATACGGGTTAAGGGCAGAGCAGGTTGAACCACTGACACAGCAAGTTGGTCCATTGAAGTTGCTTCCGCCACACTGGGCCCTGTATATGAAGACGAGTACGAGTCAACAGGTTGCATTGCTAAGACCTCAGTGCCAAGACGATCTGGGGTCTTTACCATGCAGCGGCACAGGCAGATTGTGCTCCTACCTGGCCACCAAGGCCGAGTGCGGCGAGAGCGAGCAGGGCAATCTGCACCATCGTGTTGTTGCACGAGCACGTCAATGTATGGAGTTCTTGATGTTCTTATGTCAGCCTTCTACCAAGTAACAAGTATTGCGATACCTCTCATCTTCGGACGCGACTCTTATATTCGTCACAGCATCGGACCATCGCCGTGCCTGAAGGGGCATAGTCTTGATCCCCGTCACTTTGCAGGATTCAAAAGCTGATACTTTCTCCAGTCATTCTTCTTGAAGCTTGTGGGTCCTCAGGCCATGTAACAAATGATGGATGAAATGCTTAATCCACAAAGATATCTTGACTCAGGCTTGAACGCCCGGAGTTGAAAGCGTACAGTGCCGTAGCTTGCCCCATACCCGATGTATTGGGCACGCTTCTAAGTCCGTGGAAAGTGCAGATATGCCAGCACCAGGTCTTCTTGTTTCTTTTCTTTTCTTTTTTCTGAAGAATCTCACCCGCACCATAATCCTCCCGCCCTGATCATTCAGTTACGTACGCCGCGGGATCAATGTGGTTTTTAAACCCTAGCTCCTGAGAATCGGTTATGGGACTGCACTTAGAGTATGAGAAGGTCCACAGAGGTTGATGGTATCATACCACAAAGTCAATGAAATTGACGTGAAGGTACTGAAAAGGGCTCTAGTCATGGGCCTGACGGGATCTGCAGTGTGTCCGATGCGTTTTCTACGTATACGCACATAGCTGAGGGCCACACACCAAGCACAATATGCAGTTGCTGGTTTCAAGTGTCTATCTGAGCTTCGGAACTCGGATTTCGTGAGCCGTTTCGGGACATCTACCCCAGATACCCCGCAGTGATCAACGGTTAAAGTCGCTGCAGAAAAGTCTCGTTGCAGTTTAGCGCGTAGATACGTGCAGGGCCATGAAGGCATAACAACTATCTTCCAAGTACCAAAGAGTGGATTCACGGAATAGTGTAGATTCCAACTCAATTTGAGCGTGATATCCGCTGATCGGCGCAACTGGATTTGCAAGTAGCCAACTACGGTGCCTCAGCCATATATATGCCTTTGGAGTAGCAGACGTTGTTAACATAACACGGTTGTGATTTCAATGTCTCAAAGTTGAAAGCGGACTTGCATTCCGCATGGGCTGTATGCTCAGTACTGGGCATCTTCACAAGGAGCCAGACACATGTACAGAATCAGCCTGGACGTGTGTCCAGTGAGGGTGTTTTTGATTCATTTCTCAACGCGTGAGAATAATCCAACGTGAACTGGTCCGAGGGGCTGCGTTGAAGAGTGAAAGCCCAATGCGTCAGAATGCTGAGATTTTTGGCAGTGTTGATTCAATGTAGTACGCCCAAATGATCCTCACAAAATGCTCGTTCGAGAGAGGATCCCTAACGTCCATGTGGTGCATCCGCAGGCTACTCAATTCCGTTTGTGCCTGATTGCGAGTCCATTCTCGGGAATAGCGCCATAAGACAGACTTTGTCCATCGATGCACCGTCATTCTGACAGAAATAGCTCTATTCCCAGATGCTCAAACTTGCACTTCACTTGTCCCTTGACCCCTAGGTCATTTCCTTTCCGCATCGGACTGGTGCAATGAGCATACGTTTGCCAAATCAAGCACGGTTGGACCTCCGGGGTCACTAACTGTGCAAGGAGTGTGGGCAAAGCACCATACAGCCAAAGCTTGCCACAGAGCATGTCCTGTTAAAGACATGATGGAGAGCTTTCATATGGCACTAGAAGCAAGCTCATTTGCTTCTCATGGTCAAGACCCGGCCGAAACTTTATTCCCAGAAGACATGTGCGGGAATCCTCGACCCATGAGGGTCATGATGCTGCAGCGGCGGTCAAACACGATCCAAGAGATCCGTGTCATCAGACTTCCACGTTCTCCCGGCTATATCGTGTCCATTCAAATCATCACGGTGCAACTCGGTCCCTTTTGTCAATGCGGCCCAAGTCTCACCTACTGAGCACTTGACGGCTACTTGTCCCTGCAGTCAGACTCATGCCAATTGCCCTTCCCCGCGTGGATACAATTGAGGAGACCGAGAGGAATAGTCGTCCGCGTTGGGGACGTGGGGATATCGAGGAAAGTTAGTAATGAAACCTCAGACGGCCGCAGGATCGATGCAGGATCAGGCCGGCACTCCACCGGTCCACTCTTGCCTTTTGGGGGAATATGGATGGCGCCTTGACGGCTAAAGGGGTCCTCCGCTCTCTGGGCAAAAGCTTGCAAGAGTGCAGTATTCCCATCGTCAGCTTGGCCAAAGCTTCGCTCGTAGACTGGTTGAAACCCAATGGAGGAGTAAGATGCACGGTACCTCCCTAAGTAGTCTGAAAATAGTGGATGGAAATGAAGGCTGTTTAGTCTGGTTTCAGATGGGCTCCACCCTTGAAATCGAAAGCGTGACCTCCGGGAACGTGGTCACGGGCTGACGATCTCAAGTGGACGTGGCACACTTCTGCTCTTTAGTGTATCTGCCGAATTGTTCCCCCACATTGTGACACTGGCGAGGGCTGCATCCACCATGCAGGTTCAAAGTGAGAATTCCGGAGCATTTCGCTACATCGACGTGGTTGACATTTCGTGGGTGATATGGATAAACAGCGGGGTGAATAATCCACATCTGTTGAGCCTTGCCACTGACCCTACGAATCAGGTCAAATCCCTGCATTTGCGGGGGCGACGTGGAAGAGCTATCTTGAATCATCGCCGACTGGTTGCTAGAGTTTGTTGAAGAGTATGAGGGGTCATCTGGCTCATCATCCCAGCATGTCCTGCGGGCGTGTCTGAGCGTCACGGCATTTCCCTTTCCGTGACGGAATCCCAGACTGGGGATTCTTCAGCGGGTCCGCTTTTAGGCTATGCTCCCGAGCCCTGAGCAACGGGCTGGACTCTCATGGTGTGGTTGGGGCTGGCCCTGCTCGGTCCTGACAATCTGCAGCGGCGCGACCGAGTGAGCTCCAATCAGCGCAATATGTGGCAGGGCTCTGTTAGGAATCCAGCCTCGTTTCACTGTGCGGCTTAGCGTGCCCCTGTCCTCAGGTTTCAATACTACAGCCGGTAATGAAAGCCTAAGATGGAATAATGCAAATCGACAAAGAGCCGACACTTGGAGGCATCACTGCCGTCCGTCAACCATAACACCGGGAGGGACTCAGAAGTGGGAAAGGGTGAATCTCCGGTCGTTGGACACGGACGACTATAAAGAGGACGACGAGACCCTTTCTATACATTGCCAAGAACTCCATCTCTGATCATCACGAGTCCTCTTTTGAGCCAGAACACCCCAGATTTCCAAAATGGTCTCCTTCTCATCCGTGGCGATCGCCCTTACAACTGTGGTGGGTGCCTTGGCGCTTCCCAGCGATCAGTCTGTCAATCATCTGGTTGAGCGCCAGACTATCACCTCTTCTCAGACGGGCACCAACAACGGCTACTACTATTCATTCTGGACCAACGGCGCAGGCTCTGTGAGCTACAGTAACGGCGCCGCCGGCCAGTTCAGCGTCAACTGGGCCAACCAGAACGGTGGCGACTTCACTTGCGGAAAGGGATGGAACCCTGGAAAGGCCCAGTAAGTGCAGATAAATTTCAATACAGCCATGCACATCCCTTCCATGGGATGAACATTAGAATAATTAACTGATCTGTACTCATTGAACAGGGACATCTCCTTCTCCGGCACCTTCACTCCCAACGGCAATGCCTATCTTTCCATCTATGGTTGGACCACTGGCCCCTTGGTTGAGTACTACATCCTCGAAAGCTACGGAAGCTACAACCCCGGCAATGGAATGACCCATGTCGGCACTCTGACCAGTGATGGCTCGGACTACGATATCTACAAACACCAGCAGGTCAATCAACCATCTATTGTTGGTACATCTACCTTTGAACAGTACTGGTCGATCCGAAAGAACAAGCGTTCCAGTGGTACCGTCACTACCTCCAACCACTTCAACGCCTGGGCTTCCCACGGCATGAACCTCGGTTCGCACAACTACCAAATTTTGTCCGTCGAAGGCTACGAGAGCTCCGGTTCAGCCTCGATGACTGTCTCCGCTGGTTCTTCATCGGGCAGCTCCGGCGGCTCGGGTTCAGGCAATGGTTCGGGCAGCGGTTCCCAGACCACCACCGCCAGCTCAAGCACTGGCACCGGCACCGGCACCGGCACCGGCTCTGGTAACGGCTCTGGTGGCTCTTCTGGCAACGTAAGTTCAATGCATCAAAGCCTTCATATTATCGGGATGCTGACATATTTTCCCGATTACAGTGCGCCGCCCAATGGGGCCAGTGCGGCGGCCAGGGTTGGAACGGCCCGACCTGCTGCTCCTCTGGTACTTGCAAGGTCTCCAACGCCTGGTACTCTCAGTGCCTTTAAACTCGAGGAATGATATGTTGCTGGAGAAGAAGATTACACGAGTGAATCAGCCCTTGCTGTTGCCGCTCCATCATGTCAAGTATATCAGAGCTACCAATACTCACAAATCCATTGACCGTAACAATATGCTTTCCCGCATGTACATCTGAGTTAATTTACCAGGCTTGCAACCTTACGGGCACCAACCTTCGTTCGTTGCGACTGAAAGTTGTGATGGGTACCTTATCAATCTTCATCGTCAGCACTCGAGCTTTGCTTGGCGATCAATGCGTATTGCCAAGAAATTTCACTGCAGGAATCGTCAGCATGGACGTCACGTTACCCCTCTTACTCCGATTGTTTTAAGGCGACCAGCGTCTTCCAAATATCATTCTCATCCTCAAGTTCCTTAGAATAACTCCATGTGAACCGCATGCTCATCATGCATCTGGGAACTGTTTTGCTTGGTGTTTGCTATATGGGAGTATTGGCCTACGCCCAATCCACAAAAGGTCTCTACAATCTTGTGAAAAGACGACTTTCTAATCACGCGAATCACTTTGATTTCACCATCGACAAGTCCTGCTGTGTTGGAATTAATGGCTACGACCAATTCATGGTGTCAAATGGCCCCAATAACACCATCTCTATCAAGGGCACCTCCATATCGGCCTTGTCGTCAGGGCAAGTTTCTATCCACACTCATCGCAGGCTCCCACATCCCACCTAATGAGTGTCTAGACTCCGGCGATACCTGACTGATATCGCTCATGTCGACATATACTGGTTTATTGGTAGCCGCTTGGAACAAGCCCCAGCAATACTTCCATCCCTAAACCAACCTATTCAGAGTTCCAGCACGGTGCGCTGGCGTTATCATTTTAATGCTGGTATTTCCAAGCCTCGAACACCCACTTCCTTTGTCCTGATCTACTCTCGTGATCACATGCTGACTTGTGACTTTGGAAGTCACATTTTCCTATACTACAGCATTTTGGTCATGGAAGGACTGGGAGACTCAACTTGACTGGATGGCGCTTCACGGCGTAAACCTCCCACTCGCCTGGGTCGGCCAGGAAAAGATCCTTGTGGAGGTTTTCCAGGAGCTTGGTCTCACTGATGCAGAGATAGCCTCATATCTCAGTGGACCTGCATTTCAAGCCTGGAATCGACTTGGAAATATTCAAGGATCATGGGGAGGGGATCTTCCGCGAACCTGGATCGATCAGCAATTTGCACTGCAGATGAAGATTCTTCCTCGCATGGTGGAACTCGGCATGACTCCTGTTCTGCCAGCATTTACTGGATTTGTGCCCATGAACACTACTCGAGTATTGCCAGATGCGCAGATTGTGAGAGGATCGCAATGGGCAGGCTTCCCGCCACAGTATTCAAATGATTCATATTTGGAGCCTTTTGATGCCAACTTTGCGAAGATCCAGTCCAGCTTCATAAGCAAGCAGCGAGCCGCTTATGGCAACATTAGCAACATCTACACATTGGATCAATACAATGAGAATTCGCCTTACTCGGGGGACCTGGACTATCTTCGAAATGTCACGTACTATACGTGGCAAAGCCTCAAACAGGCCGATCCTGGTGCAGTGTGGATGATGCAAGGCTGGCTTTTCTATGCACAGGCTGCATTCTGGACTGAAGAAAGTATCCAGGCATTCCTGTCTGGCATCGAGAAGAACGATGATATGCTGATTCTGGATCTCTTCTCGGAATCTGCACCCCAGTGGCGCCGGACAAATTTTTACTATGGAAAACCCTGGATTTGGTGCCAAGTCCACGACTACGGTGGAAACATGGGACTCTACGGACAGCTGAGAAATGTCACTGTCAACGCGACCGAGGCTCGAGCCGAGTCGCCGTCCTTAGTCGGGTACGGGCTGACTATGGAAGGCCAAGAAGGCAACGAGATTATGTACACCATCTTGCTGGATCAAGCATGGTCGGAGGTGCCACTTGACACGAAAAATATTTCCATAACTGGGTCAGAAGCCGATACTCCGGCTGCGGTACTCTTCCTGTTGTGTTGTATGAAGCCTGGGATTTGCTTCGCACAAGCGTCTACGATAACACCAATACTTCTGTCACCTCTGTGATCAAATCGGCTTTTGAGATTCGGCCCGGTCTCAACAATGTTCGCATTGGCTTTCAAGCTTCTGTCCCGACTTACAACACATCGCAAGTTGTGCAATCCTGGGAGAAGCTATATCGAGCTGCAAAAGAGGAACCTCGATTGTGGGCCAGCCCTCCATATCAGCATGATATGGTGGACTTGACACGACAAGTCATAGTCAACGCCTTCATTCCGATCTACCATAGTTTGATCTCCACTTGGAACACGTCCAGCGCTGTTGCCGATTCCCATGCATTGACACGAGAGAGTGACAAACTTCTCCAGCTTCTCACTGACCTCGACGCGGTTTTACTTACAAATCACAACTTCCGGTTATCCACGTGGACTGAGTCTGCCCGTTCCTGGGCTCATGGCGATAAGGAATTTGAGGCGTTCCTGGAGTACAATGCCCGGAACCAGATTACGCTCTGGGGCCCAGACGGGGAGATAGCCGATTACGCTTCCAAGCAATGGGGTGGTCTTGTTTCGACTTACTATATACCCCGATGGCGGATTTTTTGCAAATATTTGCAATCTGTATCGCCTGCGTCGTATAACTCTACGGAAGTGGAGAGACAGCTCATTAAGTTTGAAAAAAAATGGCAAACTGAGACTTGGAATGACACAACGGAAAGCCGAGGGAAGACGAAGAGCTTGCAAGCAGTTATTGGTGATGTTCAGGCACGGTGGCCAACTTTTTTTGGTCGTTGTTGAGCCCAAATTAGTTTGGAATTTTCATCGATGATCAGTCGGTGTGAGCACCCGGCCATTATGCGACGTAGAAGATCTCAATTAGTGTCAGGGGTCCAGAGTATTCAAAGACATTGGTACATGGGTTGGACGCTCAGGATCGTAATGCCAAAAATTTCGAAGGCAATAAGTCTTGATAGAAAATCTCTATTTGGAATAGCCTGTGAGTCCTCTGAAAATACCACAAACAATGGCCGGACTGGTGTAGAACAGGAAATGGTCAGGAAACAATGACTTTCGGTCAGACGTATCTTGGCAATTCTTAAATGATAAATTAGGTGCTTCTCGTCGCCGTCGGATGGACACTTTCTTCTACTTCGCCCAAACACATACAGAAAATGGTTATGCGTAACTTGGAAAGTCCAGACGTCTTTGGTGCTTCGTAAGGCTTGATGGGACTCCCCCGTCATCGCATCGAAACTTACAGCTTCAGTTGCAATGAAGCTCACCTCCAGCGTGGGTATGACAATTCTGGGTTGATCAGCAACTTAATTTTAAAACAATCAAACAGACTTCAATATATAGCTCACTCACAGTCGACGCGCTACTTGTAGTGGAAGAGACACTGGTGGTGCTTGTCACAGTCGCGCCCGTGTTAGACTCATATCTTCCAATATCACTGTCCCCCGAGCACCCAATTCCAGGCACTGAGATATCATGGGCATAGACTTCCAGTGCGAAATATTGAAGAGTCTCCGAATCATGAGTAGATAGCATCGGAAGCTGACGAGCCAGATTGAGAACCTCCCCGTAATCGTCTGCATGATGGTTGACCCATTCTTGTCCGATGGAAGGTAGATGATACAAGCGATGCAGAAGATCAGAGGCCCAGAAGGTATTCGTTTCAGACTCAGAGACGGTGTAGCCCATTGCGCACATTGTTGCAAGAGAGCGGCGGGTTTGATAGCTGAGATCGCAGATGACAGTCTGCTCCGTGCCATTCTCTCCCCGCCAGTGTCCAGCCCAGCCTGCCCATGAGATTTTCTCAGTCAGAATTTCATATGCTTCCTTCTGGGGTAATTACGAATACTCACCGTCAATGTCACAATTTCCATCTGGATTATCACAGCGGAACAGAATGCCATTCTTGTCTCCACTCACAACGACTTCGTAAGCGCCGATGGCCTCCATTGAGGGACTATCTCCAAAGTACTTTCGATAAATTTCACTTTCATTGCTCCAGCGGAGGATGTGGTCCCGAGCGTGAGCGGCCAAAATGACAGCCTCTGCAAGGCCCAACTCAATCTGCCGACGCTGCGTTACGTTGCAGCTGGAGTGAATAGGAAACTCGTTCAGTCCACCTGCATTCCACGGGGTAGCCGGTGTGTGAACGAAGGGCTGTGCTTGGCTTTGAGAGTCCATAGCAGGGAGTGCTGCTACAACCGTAGCAACAGTGAGTGCCATGCAGAAAATTTGCGCCATTATGAAAATTTCAGGCAAACGACGATGGATGGACTGGATGGCACACAAGACCGAGGAGGGTCAAGTTGACTCTTATAGTCCGCGTCTTACAGTCGGTGTCCGCAATATTCCTGACCATTTGCCGGCTCTGTTACCTGGCGCAAACCTTGCAGAATGGTCGTTCCCAGCGCAGCTCACGACCTGTAATTTCGCCAAGCAAGTACCCTGAGGGCTGTCTGCCATACCAAGTGTTCCGCTGAGCCTGACAGTCGGGATGCCAAGCATGGTGGCCATCGGAGAATTCGCCAAGAATTTTGGGTAAGCACCTTGAGAGTATCAGGCACGATCCGAGAGAGGATCGCACCGATGAAAACAAAGTCAATCCAAATTACATCGGTGTTCAGTTCTCATATAGCTTGGCAATCCACACGCAGGTGTGAGATTACCATCAAGGTACTCATTCGCATTGTGGAATGAAAAGTTCGGGCTGAGACAGTCATCAGTCTCGGAGCCCTTCTTTATCTAGAGCTATTTCATGGAGCGGTGCAGGAAGAGCCCTAGGAAGCTACGAGAGCAAATTACGCACGAGATTGAAAGACTCGTGTGATCACATGAAGCTGCCCACCGTGAAACGAAGACCCGCCTATAGCTTTTTTGTGAGGTCAAGCCAAAGGCCCAGAGCTGAGAATGTGGGACGCTGGAGACCGATCGGAGACTCAATCAACCATGTGAAGAAGGTCTTAGGCAAGACAGTCTCACCACTGACTCTCCCATTCTCAGGAACCAACCCCAAGAAAACGACACAAAGGTACCCACAAAGTCAGTCGAAGATCATGACTGGTCGACATTGCGAATGCCTGGAGCTTAATGCGCAACGCATATTACGCAGAAACTTGTGCAATAATGTACAATTGTACAATTGTACAGGACGTAAACAAAGTACCCTTTTGTCACGTGTGGCAGCCGCACTGTACATACGTCATTGTGTCACGGAGCCCGAACAGTCAACTCAATATAATCCCATCATGATGGACATACATCAGTATCTGCTATACTGAAAGTACTCGAGACTCCGCCAAGATAAGCGTTGAGAAAAGAGGCACTAGCGAGTAGCGAAGACCTCAACAACCTGACAATCAAACCCGCTCCAAACAGGATCGATCTCACAGCTGACGAGATCATGACCCGACGACGGGCCTGCTTAGAAATCGTAGCCTTCGGCCCCGTTCCTTGATAGCTCCGACCGTGGGTTTCGACCGATGCGCACGGCATGATTAGCGTACTTGATGGCAATCGTCTCAGATGCAAGTTTCTGAATGACTTTGTGATCTTAAACAATTGACTGAACCTTCAACTTAAGATGGCAGACGAGCAAGCTCGAACCCCTTCGGAGCAGTCTCCATTACTGGCATCTTCATCCCGGGCGGATGAAGAACTAAGTGGTCGCGTTAGCATCCCCCGTGGGATAGCAATCGCGTCTTTCATGGAGCTGCTCATTCTGATCCAAAGTAGGCCAATGCAATTGATGTGTATAAGGGAGCTCCGATGCGACACTGTCAACTGACGTGGTGCTATTCCGACCGGCAGCAATCAACATCTCTATCATGACAACAGCTCAGTCTGCCATCGCGGCTGACTTGGATGCCTTCGACCAAGCAACTTGGTTCACCGCGGCATATCTGGTACAGTGGCGCATTCACGATTCCAACCCTATGGAAGAAATTCGGGGCTAAGTAGTGCTTTGCAAGTAGATTGCTGCATCCAGTGTCACGCCTTTGACTGGACGACTGGCTGCGATCTTCACACCTCGACTCTATGTCATTTTCGCGAGCACGACGCTTGCAATTGGCCTATTTGTTTCCGCCGCAGCGACGAGCCTATCAGTCTTTCTTTTAGGGCGCGCAGTGGCAGGTCTAGGAAGTGGTGGCTTAATGAGCATTGCCATCATATTGGCGGTAGATCTGGCTTCACCAAAGCGTCGGGGCCTTTGCATCGGAATGATCAACGCGGGCTATACCACAGGTCTTGCTTCAGGTGCCGTTCTGGCAGGCTTGATGGTCTCCTCCTTGGGTTGGGTATGTTACCTGAAGACTTCAAGTAGGGACAGGCTCGACGCTAACGACGACCCACGGTAGCGTCTGATGTTCTGGATTCAAGCACCCGCTGCTCTGATTTTGGGCCCGATGTTATTTCTGGCGATTCCTGCGACATCCGGTACTCGTGCGCCTCTTGATTCAGGAACGCTTATGCAGATTCTCTCACGGGTGGACTATGCAGGCGCTCTGGCGTTGGTGAGTTTTCTTGGTTCCCAAGGTTGTCTGAATCTATCCCCAGTATGATACTAAACCGACCTCTCAATCAAGGCACTTTCTGTTGTTCTGCTTCTTTCAAGTCTGGCTTCTCCCACAATTCTCATCTGGCCGCTGCCGATTGCCGCAGTTTCATTTGTGATCTTCATATTCATAGAATCGCGTTGGACAACAGAGCCGGTCATCCCGATTCGATTGCTGCGTTCAAGGGCCGTCCTGATGACTTGCGTGGCAGGGTTGGGTCTCATGATGGCTCGATGGGCCGTCTTATTCTACAGCCCGGTCTATGCCCTGGCCGTCAGGGGATGGTCGCCCGCTTCTGCTGGTCTCATCTTGGTGCCGACTAATGCTGGATTTGGTAGTGGTGGTCTTTTGGTGGGCTGGCTGCACATTCGAAAGTCAGCTAGTTACTATTCGTGAGTTCCATGTCACTCAATATCTCCCCTCATATGCTATGATCACTCATAGGTTTCGTATAGCTCGTGTCTGATGATATTCGTCCTTTTTGCTGCTGCAACGCTGGCCCTCTCCTTCCTCTCCACCCCAGATTCCCCCGTCACTCTTTACATTGCAATGACCTTCATCAATGGGTTCTTCGCTGGGTCTCTGATGAACTACACGTTGTCACATGTCTTGCATCTCACCAGTCCCGAGGTTCACTACATTGTGAGTTCTCTCATCGCCATGTCGCGAGGATTCGCTGGAAGCTTCGGGTCAGCGATTGGAGGCGGATTCTTCACTCGCGTGTTGAAGAATGCATTGGAGACTAGCTTCCAACAGCACAAGATGTCTCCTCGCCCTGACTTGATTCGAACCCTGCTCGGCAGTCCAGCCACGGTGATGAGTCTAACGGGAACAGAGCGTCTGATTGCGATTCAGGGGTACGAACATGCAATTCGGATGCTCTTCATGGGCGGGAGTTTAGTTGCATTGGCAGCTACTGCTTTCCAGGCAGCCACTGGATGGGTCCCGGAGGTTGACAAGAAGAGGGACACCGACCAAGAGGCATAGTCGAGAGCTACCAAGCTCTACATTGTGCATTGCGCATGAATGAATTATTCTATACAAGTCATACACTCAGCAGTGAGTAGTCAATTAGAACAACCTCTTATTGTTATCGATTCCAGCGTGTGTTGAAGTTTATTCGATGCTTTGATGCTTTGATGCCTTGATGCCTTGATGCCTGAATCTCGTGGTATCACTGACCGCCTTCCGATAAAGCGTAGTGAAGATAGATGACGAGCCAGCAGCTCCACCAAGGACCTGCAGTGGTCCCTCGTCAAGTTCACCATGCCTCGAGCCGTTCGTGGTGAGTCCGAAGTTGAGTCCCTTGAATATGAGGCTTCTACAGGTCTAATTTTGATGTAACAGGCCTGCTGATCGAATGCGATCCCTCAATCAAAGCCATGATCCTCAAGTACGATGAGGATCATCATGAATACATCGTGGAAGACCTGGATGATGAGAACCATCTTGTTATCAAAGAAAGTCAACTCGAGGCTCTCAAGAATCGCTTAGATCGCGTATGTCTCTCAGGATCTATTACTTCCTCCCTGACGTCGCCCCGTTTGTTCAGGAAGACAGCACGCGGCCTACACCTCCAGTCCATGATTGCAAGCTAATTTTGTCGCACAGGACCTTGACGAGAAGATCATGCAACTTGATGAGTCCGAATCTGAGTAGACGGCCGCGATGGTCCTTACTCTCCAACCAATCCTCGCCTGATCCGGACGAGCAATCCATATGCGTGGACGCCTCAAGTGCCGACTAGGATTCGATAAGCTAGCTACCTTCATACACACTCCCGAGTCAGGCGCCGTGCGGTTCACATCTGCCGTACTTTCATATCCTCGAAGAGCTGATTGATTAGCGCTGCCGCGGCTGAATGAGACAATGAGCCAGTTTCTTTACTGCTGTCCTGTCCAAGAATCACGCAGTCGACAACTCCTCGCTCACCATACGCTGTCTTCACGCCGCCGCCGAAGCTGGAAAGACTAGTTTCTTTGCTTCTGAATAGCTGTTTCTACAGTAGTCTACACTATTCTAATCGAACAGATCAATATCACGTTACATTTCTCCATGCTGCTCACCTCCTGTCCTTCGCAATAACACCTGACCTACATTCTACAGTCCCCAATTTGTTGGATTTGCGTCACTATGTCGCATGTTTCATCTGTGGTCGTTGATGTGCACGAATCTTCCAAATGCCAGAAGGTTCGATGGAACGCAAGGCCCACGTCGGCTCAAGAACATCCCTCGCAATCGTACGACACGAGCAGCCGGCGAGCTCCAGATCCACGCCGATCACGTGATGTGGTAGAACCTTGGAGAAGCTTCCCGCGGCTGCTGGCAGCTGCCCGCGCCAACTGGTCAATGCATGAACAAACGCGCAACTCCACCAACTGGTCAATGGCCTTTGCTGGCACCTTCCAGCAACGCTTGGTTGCCAACCTGACAATGGTTCCTCCCTTGCAACCAACACTCCCTGTCGTGTCACCACTGACAATTATTTAATCCCCCTCCTCGCCCTCCCACGTTCTTCCTCCTTCATCATCATCAACAACAACAACAACAAGATCAAGCTCAAGCTCACAACACAAAGTCTTCAACGCTTCCCACTGTTCCAACTCAGCAACCAAAACAACTATCATCAAGCTCAATCTCTCTTACCACTTTCGAACCTCCAACATGTCTCTGTTCCGCACCAGCTTCCCTACCTCGGGCGACTTCTCGCCTCTCTTCCGCCTGTTGGACGACTACGATGTTCATCGATCCAGCCGCGGAACTACTTCCACTCAACACTTCAGTCCTCGCTTTGACGTGCGCGAAAGTGAGGATGCCTATCACCTCGATGGCGAGCTACCCGGTATCGCTCAGAAGGACATCAACATTGAGTTCACCGATCCCACTACCCTGGTCGTGAAGGGTCGCACCGAGCGCGAATACCACTCTGAGGAGCCCAAGGAGCGCACCGGTGAACAAGCCAACACTGACCACACCACCGAAGTCACCAAGTCTGGCCACCGCTTCTGGGTCAGCGAGCGCTCGATCGGCGAGTTCCAGCGCACCTTCACCTTCCCTGGCCGTGTCGATCAGGACAATGTCAAGGCCAGCCTGAAGAATGGCATCCTCTCCATGGTCATTCCCAAGTCCACCCAGAAGGCCACCAAGAAGATCACCATTGAGTAAATTGGAAATAATCCAATGACTCGTCTTTGGGGGATTGGCTGCGATGCGCACACCCACAGCTTACTTCTTCTTCTTCTTCTTCTTCTTCTTCTTCTTCTTCTTCTTCTTCTTCTTCTTCTTCTTCTTCTTCTTCTTCTTCTTCTTCTTCTTCTTCTTCTTCTTCTTCTTCTTATGATGATATCATGACCCCACAAACACCTGATTGTTGACTTGCCTGGACGCCTCATTGCATGTACTCTGCTTTTGTGATTTGGGGATGTTGCAGCAGCGCCAATAATGAAGGACGTCCACAGGCCTTTTAGTTTTGTTCTCCTCCAGTGGGATGCTTCGCAATAATTTAGTTAGCTCTGACAAGCCCAATTAATATTTTAATTCACGACATGCTTCTAAAGTCAACATGCTCTATTCTTCGAGTTGTCACATTGTTCACTATGTTTAGTAGTATTACTATTCCCTTTTGTTGTTGTACGTATTCACTTACCCAGTGGTAGCCGTACAGTACCTGATACGCTATACTACTTTAGGACGCCGTCGGACTCTTTTTTTGCGGAGAGGTCCACTGCCCGCCACGTGTGGAGCTGCCCGTTTGCCTAATTGAACGCGTGATTGAGCCGAGGTTCCTCCTCAGCGCCCGAGGAACCGAATCGGCGAAAGACAGCTTCAGTTTCCACTCATTTAGACTTGTCGTTCTCATCTGCAGTATCTGGGGATTCTGATGGGTATTGATTCATCCAGACAACAGCTCTCTCCCCACAATTCTATCTTCCATCCGACGAATATCTCTTCCCTCCTGCAACTTGTGATTACTGTCTAAAATATACCCCGCGGTCATGGCGTCAAGTTACTCATTCAAGTATTTCAATGTCCGATTCCCTGAGCATCACCCATATGTCGCTCATGTGGAGATCAACCGGGCGGAGAAGATGAATGCATTTTTCGAAGCGTGAGCATTTAACCTACACTACCTTTTCACCCCCTGAACCTACCGACTCCTTTGCGAATAGTGCCTGACCCGGTGACCCCGTTATACAATTAGCATGTGGCTCGAGCTACGCCAAGTCTTCAACCAACTTTCAGAGGACTCCATGGTTCGCGCGATTGTTCTCAGTGGCGCGGGAGAAAAGGCATTCACAGCCGGGTTAGATGTCAAGGCTGCATCTCAGGGAGGGGCCCTGGCCGACGGGCAGTCTACCGTCGATCCAGCGCGCAAGGCCGTCCATCTGCGCCGCCACGTGCTCGAATTCCAAGATTGTATCACTTCCGTGGAACGCTGCGAGAAACCTGTGATCGTTGCCATGCATGGGTTCGCTCTCGGTCTCGCCATCGATCTCTCCACCGCCGCCGACGTGCGACTCTGCTCCAAGGACGTGCGATTTGCCGTCAAGGAGGTTGATATTGGCTTGGCGGCCGACATTGGTACGCTGAGCCGTCTGCCCAAAGTGGTCGGCAGCTCCAGCTGGGTGAAAGAGGTGGCTTTGAGCGCACGCATCTTTGGAGCGGACGAGGCCCTCCGGGTGGGTTTCGTCAATGCAGTCTATGAGAACCGCACAGAGACGATCTCGGCCGCCCTGAAGCTGGCAACACTCATCGCGTCCAAGAGCCCCGTGGCTGTTCAGGGAACCAAAGAGATCTTGAACTGGTCGCGCGATCACAGTGTACAGGATGGGCTGCGTTATACCGGCGTATGGAATAGCGCAGCTCTTCAGACAGCCGACGTTTCAGCTGCTCTGTTGTCAGGCTTGCAGAAACGTACTCCGACGTTTGAGAAGCTCTAATCTAGTTGTGTGTGAAGATGGGTCATTTTTCTGTCCGCAATTTCGCGGTCTTTGCACCACTCAGACTTGACATGACGACTCTCCTTTCTTATTAACGCCTTATCTTCCACTCGTCAACTAACATGTTACTCCACCGGAGTTTGCTTCATTTGGGAACAACCCATGTGCCAAGCCCGACAGTGAGACTTGACCCTTCTGCTTTCTCTTCCTTTAGCTTGCTCCGCTCCGTGATTTGAGAGCATTGTACATACTCGCACATATCCGATTCGCCTGTCACAAGGCAGAGTTGCCATTTATTCATCCGGACCGACGGAGCAGTATCACGTATTTTCTCCTTCCTAACACGTTCTATGTGTCTCACTCTCACACACCACCGGGGTCGGATCATCGGATTCGTTACGATTAAAATAGACTAGCTTCAACTGGAGACTGCATGGCCATCACTTTGCCTGGACTCATCCCAGGACTAAATTTGCTACTCTCTTACCCCACAAGACCGTGGCTTATTCTGTGTCAATCCCATTCTGATTGCCCAAGTGTCAGACTTGAGACTGGGTTAAACAGCCATGAACAGGCAGCGACTTCCATCGAGTCTTGACACTTCCATGTCCGGTACTACTATCAGTACTCGGAACATGTCATCCATATTTCCAGTCATTCCAGACTTAGGCTGTTCGAAATACTGGACTCGCACTCTAACTGGTAGTTGAATACCCCGCCCCCAAATGCCCCGGATTATCATTCTGCATGAAAATGTCGATCCTGTCCGTCCACTCAATCCGATCACTGAACAGATTCATCATACACTTGACCTCCCTGCCAGGTAGTATTGCAGGTGAGGCCACCTGGAAGGACCAACTTGGGTGGCAGAGACTCAAGGAGTAATTCAAGGCCGCCAATTGATTTCCATTGCCAAGCTTCCCTCCACCCATCGGTCCCGGTGTCGCCGTAGTATGTTTCGCTTTTCAAGCGGGCCTGTAAGGCATGAAGTGTCTGAAACATGGCGAGGAAAGGGAGGGGCCAGCAGCGATCACGCTTCAAGAAGACGATGTAACTATTATCTTGAGGGGTACAGTATACTGGCTACACTCAGACCCGGGTTCTGGCTCTGTGCAGACGTATAAAAACACTTTGAACCCACGCTCCCAATTGAATCAACCGCAATTGTCTGTCCCACGGGATTTTTGTTGCTCCTTTACTCGAAGCCATTGATACCTGACAGCCATAACCACCCGTTGTAGAGCGGTCTTCCAAGTTCAACTCTTCATTTGATCCTTTCTTCATTGTTCCTGTCGAGAATGGCCATCATCAAGGCTACTATGTTGCTCGCCGCGCTCATTCCCAGCGTCTGGGGGACCACCATCTTCCTTGCCGGCGATTCAACCATGGCCAAAGGAGGTGGCGGCAGCGGCACTGACGGTACGATGTTAATCCAAAAATGACCTTGGAATGGCATTGCAGACCAACAACAACGATCACGTTACTGACTTGACGTAATTTGTTTGTGTCCTATCCAGGCTGGGGTGAGTATGTCCCCCCTACACAACAGTCACCGTATCCAACCAAGCCATCGGTGGCCGAAGTGCCCGATCCTACACTCGCGAAGGACGCTTCAAAACCATCGCCAACCAGGTCCAGGCCGGCGATTGGGTGATCATCGAGTTCGGACACAACGACGGCGGCAGTCTCAGCCAAAGCGACAACGGCCGCACTGACTGCGGCGGAACGGGCGACGAAACTTGCACCTCCAATTACAACGGTGTCACCGAGACCATCCTCACGTTTCCCAAGTACCTGGAGAACGCGGCCAAGACGTTCAAGTCCAAGGGTGCCAACGTGATCATCTCTAGCCAGACTCCAAATAATGTCTGGGAGGGTGGTTCATACGTGTACGCTCCGTCTCGGTTCGTGGGCTATGCCAAGCTGGCGGCTGAGACTGCGGGCGTGCATTATATTGATCACGGTGCTTACGTGGCGGATATTTACAGGACCAAGGGTAATAGTGCGGTCAATGCCTACTACCCTAATGATCATACCCATACCAGTCCGGCCGGCGCCTCGGTTGTTGCTCAGGCATTCTTCAAAGCGGTTGTGTGTGGTAGGCCTGGTTTGGAGAAGCTTTTGAAGAGGCAGAGTTTTGAGGGCAGATGTCTGTGAGGTGGACGAGACGAGCGTCGAAATTGTGGGTGGATATTAGGCAGCGTTGAACACGTTGGTGTTATCCAACATCGACTTCCCATGATATCAAACCCAATCAAAGTGTCATTGAACACACTCCGAATGCATCCATCGAGTCGTATTTAAGCAACGCAAGAGTAAGGTACTTCATAAGATTGGGGATATTTGCTACCCTTGAAACCTCAAACCAGGGGGGAGGGTAACCCCAAGATAGTAATTTTGCGAGAGTGACTACCCAAGGATGACTCTGACAACACCACGTTTCTCCATGCGTGCGTGGTATTGTTGAAGGTTCACAAATTGAGCACTCAAAGGCCCTTCCCTGCTCATGATGTCGCGTAGTATGGGCCAAAAGGAGCAATCAGCAATGCTCAGTGATGCCCCACCTAGGTAATGCCTTTCCGCAAGCGCCCGCTCACACTCCTCCAATTCAGATTCAAATGATCGGCCGGACGAGGTGGCGCAATGATGCCGCCAGCGCACCAAAAGTCCCTCAATCGAATCCAGTTGACTGCCTCCTTGTAGGACCGCGACACCGGTTCGAGTCGTCTCAGGAGGTTGTTGAGCCAGAAATTTCAAAATTGCCAAGTCTCCAGCAATTTTTCGACCCGAAGACTCAACGAAACAAGGTCTTTGCTCAACCGAACGATCGCAGGCAGAGACTTCAGCGCTGTCGACAACCCCATACCGAATTCCACTTTCGCCCAGAGCCAACTGCACGCGTAGATCTGAAATGGGGTCGCCGCTGAGAATCAATGGCGCGGGAGATGTTGTCACAAAGTTTACCACATCAAAGCCGGCACCATAGAACTGATTCCAGTCAAAATCGGTTGCTCGATTCTCTTGACCAAATGCATGAATAAGTCTTTCCGTCTCTGCGGCGTTGCCATGAATAACAGGCCGCGCCGACTGGGATGATTTGCTTACGGCTCCTTGGCCCCAGATGGTGTTTGTCTCCGGGTGCAAATAGGTTCCAATGTGTCGAAACGTCAAGGAGATACGCTCGCCACCAAAGGCTTGTTCCGCAGGGGTCTTTGTCGATGCTGCGCGCTTATCTGGTCGAATACCATGAAGCCATCGCATATTGGTCTTCTCGCCAAGAATGAACAGAGACCGGTGAGGTAAAGGCACAGCTTGCTTTTGTCGACTGCTTTCCGTACGCTCATGGGCCTGTGCGGCCGAGACCTTGGCCCGTAGTGTCATCACACGTTGAGCTCCCAGACTGACGTTGCAAATGAACGAGCCGCGCACAATATCCAACGTCTTGTCCGAGTGTTCAGATATGGAATCATGTCCATCGCGATAGAGTTGAATCAAAACGTGGTTGAGGGGATGACCTAGAATGCGCTCCACCAAAATGCGCGCCTCATCCACAGCTGGTGTAAACGCTGTCAACAGTGGAGATTCGTCGGCGGGATGTCGATAGATAGGGATAGATCCATCCTCTTGTACCTGACCCTGGACAGCGACAAGTCGGGGCACTTGGCCCGAGAGATGATACATCTTCTGCCAAGATACCTCCCTGCGAATGCGCTCAAAGGCGTCACGAGACAAGTCGATCTCCGGAATAAGACGACAGTCACCCTCTCCCAATGTCTCTTGCGTTGGTTTTTTCATGACTGGCCCTTCAGTGACCGTGTCGGGGGTCAATTCCCGACGTTTCGGACGGCGCACGCGAGCGCGAATTTGCGGCTTGCTTGCGGTTTCCTTCCCAAGGCTACACGACCGGGGAGTCACACCTGAACTCCGCAAATCAGATGATGGTTGGAGAGTGCGATCGTCTCTGTGGACGAGGGCTGTGTCTTCTTGCATCACATCGAGACTATGCATGATGTCCTCAATGCCAACGGCGTCCCCAGGCGTGATTGATGATTTTTCGGGCCTAGATTTTCGTTCTTGCTGCGCGATCTCTTCAGTCTCCTGCCAATCTAGCTCTTGACAGAGCTCTTGTGCTGTGATACCCGAGGCTCCCAGAATATCAGCCATGCGACGCATGGCCTCCTGGTGACGTCGAAAGTCCCGAAACCCCAGGCAATCTTCGACGAGGGTCACCGAGAAGCCGTTTCGGACCGCGTCCAACGCAGTTGCATAAACAGAGATATTGGACAGTGAACCGCACAGGTATAGCTCTGTGATGAACCGCGTACGAAACGACAAGACGAGGCCAGCTGACTCGAGCGCCGAATATCCCGTCTTGTCCAAGACCGTATCGCGACCAGGATCGATTGCGGACAGCACTGGCGCGGGAAATTGATAACCGGCGGACTGTCCAATGCAGCACTTGGGCGCATGGTCTGACAGAAATGCTTCCGCGTCCACTGGTTCTGGGGTGTCCCGATCTGAGGCGACCTCGATCACATCCGAGGGCGCTCTACGCCGGGCAGGCTTCCTCGGCTTGGTTGCCAGGATGATCTTGTCTCCAAAGTTCCAATCTTCCTGGGGTTGGGGGGACTCATATTGTGAGCGAACCCAGATCACATCGCCAGACTGACGAAATGCCGCCACTAGAGGGGGTAGAATGTCGAGAATCTCGGCCGTGTTGGGAACGTGGAGATTGCCGGTAGGGCGGACAAACTCATTTTGAAAGTCTATCAGCAGCAGGGCTTTACGGGTCTGGATGGTAGGAAATTTGGCCGAAGGGAAAAAGGCCATCTTTGACCTGAGATGACCGGAGTTGCCATGAATCCCTCGAAATTCGGGAGGTGAAGAGGAAGCCCGGACCTCCTGTCACACTAGCCATTCTTGCGGCTTCAACCTGTCACAAATACATTGGCTGCTCTCTCAGTGACTCCTCAGTCGCCGGGGAAGCCTCAGGTGGCAGCTGACACCTGATCTATGAGGCCATCTATAAGGCCAGCGGAGACTCGCTTGCTGCCTGAATTCTAAGGTTTTAAGCCGGGGCTCTCGATAACCAGTTAGACGGGAATGATACCATTACATAACACATACTATTCCATGCATGACCCAACCCAGGTGTTCATCCGACATCAGCCTGTTGAGGTTTACAAGTGAAATGAGAATGGCGCTTTTTGCAGGATAAGCTCTCCGAGATTTACTATTCTCCGTAAGGACGGGCTCTGCGATATCAACCCTTCTCCGTAAGGGGCGCTGCGTCACGAATTCATCTGTTCGCAGGAGAGTGCTGCGTTCATAAGTTCTCCCTCGTATTAATAATGTCAAAGCGTAGGCCACAAAAGGTGATGGGATACGATTCACGGTCGAATCTACCCCGCGTCGTCCAAGAGCAAGAACCCTTAGGGCACTTTGGGGAAATGTGGGGACTTGGTACGCGAGATCTTAATGTACAAATTATGGGAAACGGCGGAGTCTCTACCAGGACTCCGAGATTCAGTCTTTGGAAATCAGACCCCTTAGACTCCCACTCTGTCTAGCCAACAGGTTATCTGACCTGCGATGGAGACCCCGTAAAAAATGAGCTCTGTGTTGCTGAAATGCGCTCCGTAGGAGCCTGCAGCAATACCAATATTTTCGATAGTAGTATATTCTGCTTTTTCTACTATCACTTTTCCACGTGGCTTCAGTCGCTGTGCTCTAGGGCGATATACTCTTCTCAGTACCCGAATGTTTAGTGCACGCTTTCAACGCAGGCAATCCAGACAGAATGATATTGACAATCTGTGAGGTCATTCGTAATTCCTTGGAGCAACGGTTACCGTGCGTTCAACCTTGAACCATGGTTGTAACCTATTCTGGTAACCGCCCTTCAACAGGACTTCTGTTCTCACCGCGGCGTTAGCTCAACGACCCCGCCCGCAACATCATAGTTACATTCATGTGATATCACTCCTCTTCGATGATCAATAGATATGATTCCCGCGTCATGCTGTCCTCTGCTTCTACACCTGATCATCGACCACTCGCAAGGAAAGGACTTGCTAAACGCATCGCTAGTCACGAATTTGCCCATGCGGTGCGTGGGTATCAAAAGGTGGTCGCACTTCCTCCCGCAATTAAGTACATAAGTGTGATCGGAAACAGCCGGGTCTATTAACCAAACAAGCCAAACACTAGAATATTCCTGGTATGCCCGGGAACGGTATAAGTATCGCACCGTTACGACTTGGGGCTGGCTGGCTACGGCTCTGCGTAGCCACCAAGCCCGCAATGCGCCGTAACAGTAAGATAGAAACGTTACCAAGACCGAGGTAACTAATATTTTTTTTGATGGCAACTTGACAAATCTTCTGCCCTTTTTGACAATTACCTCGTTTGCATGTCACCAGACTATGGAATCTTTTTTTTAGCGCTAGACGGGACAAATATATAAGAGCCAGTGTCTGGCTTAGAAGGAGCACCAGTGTATGGAATGATCGCAAGTACAATTATGCTTCGCAAAGCTACCTCGTGTATCAAGCTTGCTTTTTGGAGCAACTTAGGTTGTATTTGAATTAAGAACCGAAGAGGGCCCAAACATATCTGACACTAGGGACAGCTCAAGGGAAGCAATCATGAACAGATTGTATTTGTAAGTACTATTTTACACGATGGTAATTGTGGTTTACTTTTTGGCCCAGTGGTAGTTCGGTAGCTGCGAATTTCTGGAGCAACATAGGTCAACGATAACTCATGTTGCGGTGTATTAAATTCTGAAAGCGGGTTTAATCTATTCATGCCGGACTTGGGAAAATTCGAATCTGACTAACTTGAAGAGGGGGGGTAAAGTAGTGACGCCTCCCTAGGCTGTTTGTTGATATAAGATAATACTTTGATATCCCTAAGCTGGAGAAATCCCATACATCTGGAAAGAATACAAGCATGGAGTCGATCGAGACGAGTTTGATGCTTATCCATGATCAGCGACACAAGGTCAGGATTACCGCATGGCCTAGGCCCCATAGCGACCAATCCAGAAAACCTTATCTCCCATGCATCTTGGGAAGACCGGGTCGACCGGGTCGACCGGGCCGACCATGTGACCGTCGAGACCGTGAACTACGATTTTCTATTCATAAACAAATTATATTTATAAGTACTATTATGCCCGATGGTTATTTTGGTTTGCTTTTTGGCCCAGTGGTAAATCGGTAGCTACGAATTTCTGGACTCCTGGAGCAACGTATGTCAACGATAACATATGTTACGGTGTATTAAATTCTGAAAGCAGGTTTAATCTATTCATGCTGGACTTGGGGAAATTCGAATCTGACTAACTTGAAGAGTGAGGGTAAGATTTATATGGTGATACTACCATTCACTCACCGCTCACCATAGCTTAGGTAGAATCTCTACCTAGCTACAATCTCACTCCTTATCCCATGATCAGCGACACGAGGCTGATGATTGCCGCATGGCCCAGACCCCATAGTGACCAACCTAGAAATTTTACCTCCTATATATTTTGGGATGACCGGGTCGATCGGGTCGACTGGGCCGGCCATGTGACCGTCGAGACCGTGAAGTGCGTTATCAATTCCCTAAAATTACGTGTATCTCACGTCACCAACTGAGGGGGAAACTATATACTATGTGTAATGGAGAGAGACCTATTAAGCTTGCCTTGTCACTATTACTACACTGCCAGCTTCACAAAATTAAATTTTGCGGTCGACATATCATATGGAGTTAGAACCGTCGTGTTCGCAACGTGCAATTGAGTCAGGCTCGCTGACAACGCGGCCGGACCACGAGATACACACCTTCGATGAGACTCCACCGAATGGAGGATATGGCTGGATCTGCACATTCTGCGTCTTTGTGATTATCATGCATACATGGGGGGTAAATAGCGCCTGGGGTGTGATTTTAGCTCACTTTCTTTCTCACTCAACATTTCAAAGCGCCTCTCGCATCGAGTTTGCATTCATCGGTGGCTTGTCCATATCTCAGGCACTCCTGATCGGGCCGATTGTCACCAAGATGCAGAAAGCACTCGGTACCAGAGTCACTCTTCTAGTGGGGACAACACTAGTCTTCGGGGCCTTGTACGGAGCAGCTTACGCCACCGAAATATGGCATTTGGCTTTATCCCAGGGCATTTGCTTTGGCATGGGGATGGGTTTCCTCTATATACCGGCGATGTCGGTACTGCCACAATGGTTTACAACCCACAGAAGTCTTTCAATGGGAATTGCCGGATCCGGGGCTGGAATTGGCGGCATAACATACAACCTTGTCACTGGCCATGTGATTGGCACACTCGGGGTGCGAACAGCATATAAAGTCCTCGCGTTCTGCACATTGGGCGCGAATCTGGTTTCATCTCTGCTTCTTAAAACGCGGGATGGGCCTCGGCAGAGCAGACAAAAGCGAGCCTTCGACTTCCACGATTTTCGGTGCCCCGAAGTGCTCCTTGTGGTGTTTTGGGGCATGACAACGGAGTTCGGGTATATTGCTCTGATCTACTCGCTACCTAATTATGCCTCGTCGATTGGCTTGAGCACCAAACAGGGTTCTATTACTGCAGCGACCCTCAATCTTGGCTTGACAATTGGCCGTCCACTTGTCGGCTATGTCAGCGACAGATTCGGCAGAATTACGATGCCTGCAATAATGACAGCGTTCTGTGGCGCGGTCTGTCTGATGATATGGATACCTGCGCAGTCCTATCCTGTGCTGCTTTTATTTGCTCTCCTTTCGGGAATGGTCTGTGGCACTTTTTGGGGCACAGTAACACCTGTGCTTGCAGAAGTTGTTGGCCTTTGGCGCATGTCGTCCTCCTTTAGCCTTATTTGTTTGACGTTGGTCGCTCCTACAACAGTCGCTGAGCCTATTGCGCTCAGCCTTGTGAGAGGATCAGGCTATCTTCACACTCAAGCTTACGTGGGCTGCATGTTTTTCCTGGGGTCTTTTGCATTGTGGATTCTTCGCTGTTGGAAAATTTTCGACACCGAAAGCAAGGCAATCAACGAGCGAGATGGACTTGGCGTAAATAGACCACCGTCGCTCGTCGGTTTCCTTCGTTGGTTGAACTTTCAGAATCTCTTCAGGAAAGGACGAGTTTAATTAATGGATCACGGTTCCTAGCAAAGTCTTCCTACTCATAGTGATGATTTCTTGGTCATCTTTCATGACAACTGACGATTGTTAGCTGAGAAGAGCATTCAAGGCGTCCCGAAGTAATCCCCGACATCTAATGGGACCCGAGACCGCTGTTGATGACAAACAACAATGGGAACTCCTGCGCGATCAAGGCAGGTTACAGGCTGGCCGTTTGATGTTTGTTGTGACTGAAGACCAGTTGGTGGCCGTGGCTAGGGAGAAGAATATATCAGGAGAAGCCGGACTTGGTGATGACTCGATAATTGTCGTGGTCTGGCTTGACCGAGCTCGACAGCCGAATTGACTTATGATATCAGGCTTCCTGGCAAGTCGAGAACAGAATAGATCCGGTTCAATAAATTGTCAAACGCTAATAAAGGGTGAATGATTGCTACTCCCGTACTAGTAGTAGACCCACTCTTGCTTACTAGCAAACATCAATACGTTGACTCCGCTATTAAAACTGGATGGGTAGCCCTATTTGCTCCCGGTACAGTTGGAACATCCGTCCACTGATCGTTCTTCACACCTACCTACACACGTGCATGGGGTACATTATGAGCCCTGCCATCCCTCGACAGCATCAGATATAGAGGATTGTGCTTCGCCACGGACTGTCATCCTTAAAAGCTAGAGATTGCTCCCCCACGTCATAAGCTCAGGTAGACAACAAGCCCATGATCCGAGGTCCCTATATACCTAGTAGCATATGGTTCTATGCCGGCAAGCTAAGTAGGTAGGTAGACTACTTTTTGACACCGCATGGCTGGGTGTCTGCGAGGTCATCAACACAGGGTCTATGCCCCGCGTATTCAGGCACCGGGGTAAATCTTCGATACGACTGCAGAGTGCAGAGTGCCGTGGTCATGAACAATAATGTGCTTGCAGGGTAGTGTGCTCTATCTTAGGGACATGGAGTTGACCCCACGGTCCGAGTGGCTGAACCTCGATCTTCCACATCTTTGTGTTTCCCTCTTCCCCCCCACAGCGTGGCCTCTCTTGCTATGACTCAATAGCCTTGGCCAGGGGCTGCTCGATAGTCGATACCATTGCATTGATTCGACTGAGGGGACCCCCGTGAGTCAGGAGCTGTGCGAACTGCAGAATGATCCACCCTGGGGTCGAGCACCGTCCGGAGTCTCTCCATCGGCCCGTGAACGGATCTCATCGAGACCGGCGGAAGGCAAAGAGGCCAGTGGGACTGGGTGGAGACCCGCGGCGGCGGCTGGGCGACAGCGGAGATCACGTGATCTTGTGCTGGACGCGCGGTAGCCACAGTCACGCCGGCTGTGGTGTCCAATCAACGGCTCCGGCGCCTTCGTAGTCCACCCCGGTGTCGGCCGGGGAGCGGCGTCGCTTCTCCGAAAACACCGCCATTTCTCACGTGACTGAAATACAATCCTGGACAATGGGTGGATCATCGCACGGTCGTCATTGGGGTGCCGGACTGGGGAGCTCTGACTCCGAAGAGGGTGGCAGGAGAGCATACTCGAGATTGGGGTTCCCAAAAAAGCTCCTTCCAGGAAATGGTGGTGACTTAAAATCCCGCCATCCCCTCGCTCCAGCCCATTCCTTCTTTCCCCAATTCCAACCATTGACCTCTCGGACTCCTCTCCACTCTTCTCCCTTTCTTCCTCTTCCCATATTCTTCTCCCTCTCTGTCCGTCTCAAACCTCTCGGCACTCTTCTTCCTCTCCTCCCCAAAACCTCTCTCTCCTCCCACCCCGAAAACACACATTCACAGATTCACAATGGCTGCCCGTGGTCTTCCTCGCGCTCTCCGTCTCGCCCGTGTGGCTGCTCCTCGCTCGGTCGTGACCGCTGCTCTCCCCCGTCCTGCTCTGGCCAGTGTTGCTCGTCGTGCCATTGCTCCCATCACACCCGTCCGCGGTGTCAAGACCATTGACTTTGCCGGTGTGAAGGAGGATGTCTACGAGCGTGCCGACTGGCCCCGTGAGAAGCTCCACGAGTACTTCAAGAACGATACTCTGGCTCTCATCGGTTACGGTTCCCAGGGTCACGGTCAGGGTCTCAACCTCCGCGACCAGGGCCTGAACGTCATCGTCGGTGTCCGCAAGGATGGTGCCTCCTGGAAGGAGGCCATCGAGGACGGATGGGTCCCCGGTAAGAACCTGTTTGACGTCAACACCGCCATCGAAAAGGGAACTATTGTCATGAACCTCCTCTCGGACGCCGCCCAGTCCGAGACCTGGCCCACTATCAAGCCCCTCATCACCAAGGGCAAGACCCTCTACTTCTCGCACGGTTTCTCCCCCGTCTTCAAGGACCTTACCAAGGTCGAGGTTCCTAAGGATGTTGACGTCATCCTCGTCGCTCCCAAGGGCTCTGGCCGTACTGTCCGCTCTCTCTTCAAGGAGGGTCGTGGCATCAACTCCTCCATCGCCGTCTACCAGGATGTCACCGGCCAGGCCAAGGAGAAGGCCATCGCCATGGGTGTCGCCGTCGGTTCCGGCTACCTGTACGAGACCACCTTTGAGAAGGAGGTCTACTCCGACCTGTACGGTGAGCGTGGCTGCCTCATGGGTGGTATCCACGGTATGTTCCTCGCTCAGTACGAGGTTCTCCGTGAGCGTGGTCACTCCCCCTCCGAGGCCTTCAACGAGACTGTCGAGGAGGCCACCCAGTCCCTCTACCCCCTGATCGGTGGATACGGTATGGACTGGATGTACGCCGCCTGCTCGACCACCGCCCGCCGTGGTGCCATCGACTGGTCCAGCCGCTTCAAGGACAACCTGAAGCCCCTGTTCAACGAGCTCTACGACAGTGTCCGTGACGGTACCGAGACTCAGCGCTCGCTCGACTACAACTCCCAGAAGGATTACCGTCAGAAGTACGAGCAGGAGATGGAGGAGATCCGCAACCTGGAGATCTGGCGCGCCGGCAAGGCCGTTCGGTATGTTTTTCAACCCCCCCCCCCCCTTTTTTTTTTTTCTTTTTTCGAAGTCTTTCATATATTACCTTGATGAACCTCCACTAACCATCTTTTCTTCTCTCTCTACAGTGGCCTCCGTCCCGAGAACCAGAAGTAGATAATTTTCGTGATACCATATTGAGAAGGAGTTGACGCGAAAAGTTTTCTTTTCTAATGATGTACTATGAACATGGTTATTTTGGGCTTTGAGATTTTATAGCATTCTTTGAATACCATTTGACAGCTATGCACAAGCTGCGATCAGCCACATATTCTTGTTTCCATTCCCTCCCACCTTCAGTGACGCGACGAAATGTCGCTTGCTACCTCGCGAGTTTTGGGCAGTTCGGCTACGGACGGTCTTGTGCGCCGATGCCAGTGAGTCCATCTGGGCCTCGACTCGGGGCTGACTCGACCGTCGGACTTGCCCCGACCGCATGAGGGGGCGAACGACCCCGTCGTGCTTATTATTCTCGTTGGCACTGGTAGTATGTCGTGCAGCGGCAGTGGTCAAGTACGTTACTTTGTCTTTCTCCCGGGGTTCGATTCTGACTCATGCAACGAATTTCCGCCGATTGACTTGTGTATATCATCCCATGGTCTTGCGACTGCCTAGCATCCCAATACCCCGCAAGTCGAATGACTCGATACGCATCGATAATGACGTCCTTAACCGAACAAGCCCGGGCTTTGAACCCCGCAGCAGTCCATGCCGCGCATAAACTCATCCAGCCCTATATTCATCGCACTCCCCTCCTGACCTGCAAGACGCTGGACACCATCGCCTCAACTCCACAGACCCCCGAAGCACTCACTGGGACTCCCTTTGAAGGCCGGACACCGGCATGTCCACGGTTCCGATTCTTCTTCAAATGCGAGAATTTCCAGCGCATCGGAGCGTTCAAGGCTCGGGGTGCATTTCATGCACTGCTGCGACTGATCGAGGAACGTGGGGAGGATGAAGTCAGACAACGTGGGGTGATCACCCATAGTTCGGGTACGTATATCTCTAGGCTCTTGATCAGTCGGACATGACTGATCATTTCCCATGCGTACGGACAAATGAAATCGTGGCATAGAAAAATGGATTCTAAGACCATCTCCTCAATAGGCAACCATGCACAAGCGTTGGCGCTTGCTGCCTCGACGCTTGACATTCCCGCCTACATTGTCATGCCCAAGATCAGCACACCATCGAAGATCGCAGGAACTCGCTCCCACGGCGCAGAGGTCATCTTCAGTGGATCCACAAGTGTTGAGCGCGAGGCCGTCGTCGCGGAGATTCAAGCAAAAACCAACGCAATCCTGGTCCCTCCATACGATCACTTCAATATCATCTGTGGGCAAGGAACGACCGCACTCGAGCTGGAGGCCCAACACGCCGAACAGACCGGATCGGGCACTCTAAACGCAATCATCACCCCCGTGGGCGGAGGCGGTTTGAATGCGGGTGTGGCCACGTACTTCTCAGATAAGCCGCAGACCAAGGTATTTGGGGCAGAGCCAAGCTTTGAGGGCGCAGATGATTGTCGTCGGGGCTTGTTGTCCGGTAAGCGAATCGAGGCCGTTTCGACACTTACGATTGGCGACGGACTGCGCACGCCGGTAGGATTGTTGAATTGGGAAGTGATTTCCAATAAGGAGAAAGTCGCGGGCGTGTTTGCCGTAACGGAAGAGCAGATCAAAGCCACGATGCGTCTGGTCCTGGAGCGCATGAAGGTCTTTGTGGAACCAAGTGCCGTGGTGGGTTTGGCCGTGTGTCTCTTTGACGAGGACTTCCGGCGCATTGTTGATAAGGAAGGTGGTGCACCGGGGTGGGACGTGGCGGTGGTTTTCAGTGGAGGTAACACGACCGTCGAGGCCATTGCCAAATTGTTCGGTTAAGCAAAGTCGGTTTAACAGACAGCAACGATGCCAGTGGCGCAGTAGAAACACTTCGTCTATTTATCCATTGTACGACGTCGGAATCTCCACACCGGTGGCTCGAACATAAAAGGAAAAGCACCCGCCATTGTGCCAGTGCACGCCGTCCACTACTCGACGTGGCCAGTCTTCCTGGCCCCAAGCATTGACCCACGCAGAGAATTTTCCTTGTTGAACTATCCCTTGTCGCATAGATGCATCCTTTCTGGCGTCATGCGCGCTCATTGCGGGTGGAAAAGGGCGGACAGTGCCACGATGAACCACTAGCCGAAGTGTAGGAAACAGACCCCAGGGCGCAGGCAAGGCCGGTCGTAGCGATGGCGTCGAAGTAGGTGGGCGATCGTAAAGACCAGGCGGCCCGCTGCTGGTTGATGTAGAGAAACGTCCGCTTGAGACAGTGGTGGTGTAAACAATAGCACACCCGAACAGGTCCTGAAGTCGCTTCAGTTCGGAAACAATATCCGCATAAAGATCTGATAGATGGAAGCTTTGCTTCAGCTGACGTCGTCCTTCAATCTCCATGCGAGATTGCCCAATCTCGTCAGTTCGGGCGATGTCATCTCTCAGCTTGTCTTGCCATAGAAAAGCTGTGGCACTGTCAATGATGACCGTATGCAGTCGCCTCGAAGCAGAATAGTGTCGTGACAGATCATACAGATAGTGATCAAGTTGAGCAAGCGTTGCAAGAAGGGCCGTAGACGACTGTGGACGGAACACGTGAACGTGTTGTAGACACAACGTCAGCACTTCACTGACCTGTGAATCAGAAAGGTGGCCTAGGTTCTCGGTTTCGTTCTCGGTTTTCACATCTTTCCACGCGTCATGAAAGATGGCGCGTGCAACAAGTTGCAATCTGTGTACGTCGAGTCGATCGTCGGTATCGATCCAGACCACAGCCGTCTCAAGTCCTCCAACGTCGACATTTAGAAACCTCCGTGGTAAAATTGCTTTCGCTACCATGTGGTATAACAGCTGCGTCTTGCCGGCGCCTGATAGACTACTGGAGATCTCCACAACAGGAACTGGCTCTCTGGCTGTAGTGGTCATGGACATAGTTGGCGAATTCGATGAAGACCCCATTTCGATCAGGTCCTCACCTCCAAATATAGCCTGGTCATCCTGACTGCATCTGAGGAGAACTTCGTCATCTTCTGTAAGAATCGTCTCTGCTGAGACGGTGTTCTGCATTTGCCCGGTTTCTGCGTCTGTGGACACATTGGAAGGCCTTTGCATAAACACCTTTAATAAATCATCGATTATGGGCACGCCAAACAGCAGCCGCTTGCCAATTGACGCTGGATAGAATTCAGACAACTCATTGAGAAGCTGCATCAATCGACAGTTATCAAGACTTAGTATCTCGACGAGCAAGTTGACGTTCTTCTGGACAATGCGATTACCTGATCAAGCCCTGCCTCATGTACCTCGGCCAGAGCTCTCTCGCCAAAGCTGGCAGCCATCATACAATGGAGTTTGCTGAATTATCAGCGGCACACTGCATGATCTCTCCTCGTCAGGGTCTGACACATGGGCCAACGAGTCTGTGTATGGATGAGAGAATAAAAGTGTGTGACTGCGTACACATCGTCAGTCACGTGTCTGCCGTTCTCTCCGAGGTCGACTCGACTCTGCCACCTGCACCGGCTTGCTGGCGTCTGTGAACTTGTGAAGAGGAACTTACCCGGCAGAAACCCCGGAGTACTTCGGCGCACGGTGGGACGCATTCCGCTCTTGGCGAGAGTTCTGGCCATCGGCAGCCACCCTTCGACGACCGCGGCTTGTCCAAAGTACGCCATTTTTCGCATGCCTCTCAACGTCGCATGCACACTGTTCATATCGCTATTTGACAAATAGTTCCTATCCTTACCAAGACCCAGCACGTCTGGCAGCATGCCGCCATTCACTCCTATCTTCCATGCCTCAGATCTACCGGGCGAAGTCCGAACCACGACGCGCAACTTCAACCAGGTTCGACATCGCAAGGGCTCACCAGCCAGACTAGACCAATGTCCGCTGTTCGAATTGACACAATTTGCTTGCAATCCTCCCGATGATAAAATCCCTGAGCCGGGGCAGGTCACTTGCCAGCCAATTGTGCGGCTATTTCGACGGTGAGCTCTCGAAATGCTCATGCTCAGATATGGAAAGATGATTCATGCCGGGTTGATAGCTGATTCGCTTACTTGTAGATGCGCTCGGGGGCTCACTGTTGAAACCACCTCGTGGGAGCCCATGAGAGTTGAGGCTCTCCAGGCACAAAAACAACAAAAGAAGTCAAAGATATGATCAGACGAGGTGGCTCGGTTCAATATACACGGATTGCGAGCGTTAGTGCATTGTGTGGAGTTCTACGGGTCTGCGAAAGAATCAAGAGGCACACCGTTCATAAGAATAATAAATGTCATTTTGCATCTGTCATGGGGGGTATCTATCTTCTCTCCGAAAGAAAAAAAATTGACTCCAAAAGGAATTGTTCATAAGCGCCAGCGCCAAACAAGGAAAGACCAAAGGATACCGAACGCGAAAGTACGCCGGCCACCACCTAGAAGAATTGGACCGGCAGAGAAAGAGAAAGAGCATACGCAAGCCAGTCTAGGCGCGCACTCTCAGGATCCGATCAGGCCGTTAACACCTTCTAGGCCCGACTTGGATTTGACCACTTTGTCTTCCACATTACGGCTGCTGGCCGCTGTCGTTCGCCGCCAGTAGTCACGCTCACAATTCACAATGGGGCCCATGTCAAGATCGCCCAGGAGCTTGGTTCGACTCTTGTCCGCATCTCCAACAAGGCCCGAATCAATCTCCATCGCGGATCCTCCAGCGCTGACGACATTTGCCCCCGGGACCGAAAGTGGGTCTTTTTGTAGCTTCTTGGTCAACCCTCGAATGGTCTTCTCGAACATTGTCTCCATGCTCTCTGCTCGTCGGCCCCAAAGCTTCTTGTCTCGTCCACTCACGCCTGTAGGACTGTTGCGGTATGCCGCGCTAGCCAGTTTCCGTAGAGCCTCCTCACCGTGGCGTCCATCTTCGGCAGCACGCTCTCGAATCTTGCGAGGGTCATTATCGCGCTCGGTAAAGACTGGCGTGGATGAGTAAGTGTGTTTGCTTGGAAAGTCGGGGAAATGCTTTGGCACGTAGGAGCGATTGGTCTCGCTTTCTTCGTGCCGGAGAGAATTCAGGAATGGGAGCTTCCGTTTGACTTCGTCTTCTGGAGGAGGCGACGGCGGCAGAACGCGGGTATGGATCCCCGTAGGAGGAGTCTTCAGGTATGGACGGAGGTCATCCGGCGTGATGCGATGGTGGTTTAGCGCGTAGTCAAAATCCTGCGGTATAGGCTGCAGTCGCCTTGACGAAAGCATCGATTGGCGCACAAACTTGGCGACATGAAGAAGGTCTGTATTGGCCGGGCAAAGAGGAACCATAAAAGTCAGTTCAATTCAATCTATTCCCCGACGTTTTGTACGTTTGGGGGTTTACCGATCTACAGAGTCAACGATCTGTTTCACCACCGGATGTGTTACCTACATTCTTCAGTGGCACTGCGGAAACTGTTGAGCGCCGCTGGGTCTGCCAGATCAAAGCCTGCATGTCGAAGGGCAAGGCCCAGAGTCCGGTTCATCATCTGATCAACATTGTCGTCATCCTGAAGAGCGGGCTCGCAGGCCTGCGGCAAGACCACAGGTTCGAGCAGGCGATGGTGGTGGTGATAAAATTGTCTTTGCCTCTTCACGTCTTTCGCTTCCAAGTGGTTCGGGGATCGTTTGATCTGGCTCGACGTCGCCATGGCCGAGATGGGAAGGTTGTAATTGCAGCTACTCGACGGTCGAGAGATTGCTCGCTGCCCGTTGTGAACACAGTATATCACGTGATGCGTGTGTAAGCCTGAGGCAAAAATCTAATGCGATGGGACGATGGATGAAGTCCATTGATTGAGAGATGAATAGAAGCTGTGGTAACTCCAGGGGGCAGCATACTTATAGCCATGACTGATGCTTCATTCTGAACCTAAGTTCTAGGGAAATATATCAGCCCGTCTCGAGACGCCGAAGCCAACAAAACGCTCTCGTGATCGAATATGAAGATGGAATGGCATGAGCGGCTAGTCTAAATCGACCAATCCGGAGCCTCGCTTAGTCCGCCCGAAAGCTTCAACTTCACTTCCCGGTCACTTCACCTGTTCACTTTCCACACCTCCACCCCAAAGCCACTCCGCGCAACCCTCCAAGGCAGGATCCGTTCTGTCCCATCGATTCTATCACCCGCAGAGTATCGATTGACGCTGTCTATACGCTACAATGGGCGCCGCTATTCCCCCAATCACTGGCGTATGTGGTTCCCCTCCTTGTTCCTTTCGACTATTCACACCCGGCTCACTCCGACTCGGAGCAATGGACATGATTCGACTACACGAGCACCAATACTGATCTGTCTGTTCTGCCTCTATAGATGCTCCGCCGTGGCCTCGTCCTGGACCTGAGCACCGCTTTCGGTAAGTAATAGAGTGTATTGACGTCGGAATCGCGCCAATGGCCGTATGATTGCATGACTGAGAAGGAGGCATTGGCGGACATGCAACGACTATGCACCGCGCACTACCAAACTTCAAGCCCAGTTCGGCAATGCGCACCTGCACACTGAAATCACTTATTGGAAGACGCTCTACAACCGAAAGCGCCCGACTAACCTCCGACCTCGAAATCTAGGCTTCGGCACCACCTTCGGTTACCTTTGGTGGTACGGTACGTATTCAGCGACCCTCCCACTACTCCTGCTAGTCTCCGCAGAATCTCATTACCTCTTCCATCCAGGCTACCACTTGCCTCGTGTTCGCGAGCGTGATACCTTCTACGCCCGCCTCGAGCAGGAGCGCGCTGCTCAGCGCAGTTAAACCGATCGACGATGAACCCTTCTCTCCCTTTGGCCGTGCCGTGCCTTCGCCAGTCGGTTTCACTGCGATTTTTCTTTAGTTGAACTCGAATCCGAGAAAGATGAAATAGATGTCAATCTGATTGTTCAACTTTGTCCGATTCCCCATGATTCTTGCAGAGATGCTGCGTTGACGGGCATCGGTCCATTGTGGACGGAGTTCAAGCTTGCAGATCGATTGTAAATATACAGCTGTCACCAACGTCTTTTTCGATCACTTGCTTCGGATTGGTTTGCAGGTGTTCATTCTCAATCGTCGGGCTGAGCTAGGGTGTAGTCACATTTTCTTGGCTTTCTAGATACAAAGCCGTTTCGCCGTCCCAGCTCTTTCCCATGACGGAATTGATAATTTAATATCGCCATCGCGCCTCTTTCTTTTTTACATTTGTGCAAAGGGTAAGACAGAAGATGTTCGAATAGAATTGGAACGCTTGATGACGCCATGCAAGTGTGCTAGACTCCAAACCCCAAACCCTCCCCTCGCCCTAACCTGCCCTGATGACATGTACTCCTAGCGGACTGTCTCTCCTACCAGATCGTCGTCGAACTTTTGAACGAGGCGTCTCTATACCTGGCGGCAGGAAACAGCTGGACGCCTTGTGGCCGTTTCCAGGAAAATCCAAGAAGAATCGGGCCCTGGTCGGCGACGGAGTAAATGAGGAAGTCGATGAGAGTTGATGTCGCCGGATCAGAATAATGAATAGATTGTTACCCGGTTTACCGAAGAACTCTCTCAAAGGTCTCGCCACGAACAGCCCCTCCGGCCATAGATGAGCGCACATTCCGCTTGAAGGCTTCGCGGTTATTGCGCAGGTCATCTGCGGCTTCTTTGTTGAGAGGATCGGAGGCGTTGGGCTCGAGGAAGAGGAACTGCACGGTGGCGCATCGTAAGTCAGTCCATTCGCGGGTGCGAAAAAGAGAGAGGGAGAGAGGGCGGGGGGGGGGGGGGGGGGGGAGAGAGAGAGATAGCTGGGGAAAAGTGCGAGCGTTGACTTACTTGCATGCCCACAATCACTGCGTTCAAGTTGAGCACCGGCTTCCAGTCCTCACGCAAGATATTCAAGCAAACATTGCCATCCAGGTCAATGTTTGGGTGGTAGATTTTCTGCGTGCATTTTACCTTGGGTGGGTCGTGAGGGAAGTTCTGGTTGACGGTGAAGTTGAAATTAAAGACACCACCCTTGTACATGCCCTCATCTGGCTCGATCGACAAGGTGAAGTTGAGGATATCGTCGGGGTTCGGAAAGGACATCTTCATGGTATTTCCGAGGGTGAGTTCTTGGAGATCTACAGCGTTTCACGTTAGACAGACCCGACAAATAGAGTGAGAATGAACCGGAAGTGTGTTCAAAGATAGGAATGAAAAGAGAGGAATGAAAAGAGCTCGAGAAACCGAGAGCAAGACATACCTCGTTGCACTCGAAGTTGTGCCGCGGTGACCTTTTTCTTCTTGTTGCCAGCAGCGCTCTCGGCATTTTCAGCCTGCGCTTGCTGCTGCTTCTACGTAGGCAGAAAGATGCGTTAGCGACCAGCACATTTCACATGTTACAGACTTGTCTCTGGGGCCATTTCAGTCCTACCATTGACCAGATCTTCAACATCTTGGACGACTAATCACCACCCCCACCTGGCGGATTAGCGGGGATTCTGAGAGGCAAAAAGGTGGACCCGCAAAGAGTCGCGCGGAGTCGGATCAAGGCACCGTCTGCTTTGAATACCGAGCAAAACTTGTCGTTGTAATAAACGAGAAGTCACCGAGGGGCTTGGGAGCTGTAGGTGGGTTGAGAATGAGGACGCGGAGTGAGCCGAAAAGTGAAGTTCAATCTGCGGGGAATCTTTCATCCCGGCAGCTAATTTGACTGTCCGCCTTTTGAGTCGATAACATCCATGACGTATCCCGATTAGGACTTCAATTGATGAAATGGTATGAATTTCTCCGACGTCTAGACATAGCGCTCTTGGTAATCAGCTAGCTCCATTCAAGAGACGTGCACCCTTGAGATACGCCTGGATCACAGAAGACATTATAGTCTTGTATGGAATTTCATCTACATACTACTACCTAGTACCTAGTAGGTGACTAGTAGGTACTAGATGGTAACACTTTCCATTGATTGATTTGGGTGACGGGGAACCTTCTCAGTAAACACACTCCACTTTTCTAATATAAGATCATACACCTGTAGTGTTAATCGCAATCTGAGGATCGAAGACTTTGACGGATTTCTATGCGGCAATCCTTGGCCTACTTAGTAGTCAACAGGCTTAGCCGTCCTACAATCCGGCCCCTTGCACAAATAAGATATAGGTAAACACAAGATAGTAAATAGTAAATACTATATTCTCTTGAAACAGTAGTAGTGTCTAAGAATGCACTAAGTCGTGTGAGCGACTATTTCCTAGTTGGTGAAACAGAATATTTGCAATACGATGTTAGTCCTAGAAATAGTTTTACAGTCACACAAAATAATGGAAGAACAATTTCCCACTTTACTAGGGCCATTAGTAAGGTCAAGATTTCCCACTGAAAATATGAAGGCAAGGCGAACCACAATGACTTTCAGTGAGAGTCAGTCAGCTTCGCGATGGATGCTCTAAACGTGAGCTGGCTTGCGGCAAGCGGTCTCGAAGTTTCGCAGGATCTTCTGCCGATTCTTCACGGCCTTCGGCGAGTGCTCCGCCAGGTATTTTCCTTCCTGCAATCGCGCTTGAAGGATGCATTTCCGTGTTTTGGAGTGCGATGCCGTGTGTAAGCTTTTCATCATACCGTGCGCAGGGTATGCGATCAATCCCAATGCAGCTGGAACCGAAAAACAACCAAAGAGGTCATCGTCAGTAGTGCGATCTTTGATTTTGGGAGGATGCGTTTGCCATACCTGATGAGACTTTGGTGGTCACTCCAACAGTCCCCTTTGCTAGACCCTTGATCACACCCTTTGCCCCTTCCTCCTGGCCACCTTTGTAGGGTTGAACAAATATGCCGCTGAGACCGTCCACCATCCCATGAACAAAGTTCTTCCCCGCAAAAGAGGCTCCGGATTTCCAATCGTGAATTGGTCCATGGTCTTTGACCTGGTCACCATATAGTCGAGGTACAGCTCGAAGACCCTCACTCACTGCTAAAGGTACGTCCACCAACATGCCTTTGTACCAATAGCCAACAACCTTGCCCATGCTTTTGGCTGAGCCTCCCATGGCGGCCCCTGTAGCTCTCATCTTGGAGGGTTTTTCGGTAATAGGGACTGGGACAGAAGATGCGTCAGTTGTAGAGGCCATGCTACTGGAAGGACGACGAGAGGAGATTGGAAGATCAAGTTCCGAGGGGCGCTCAAGGCCACGACTGAACTCCTGGTATGGCCGGTAGAAAATGTCGCCTGTGGCTTTGAGTACATCAGTACTAGTTCCGATCAGCGAAGAAGTGGTGCCAGTAACTGGGTCCCAGCGCCTATTTTGGATGAAAATCGGCTTGACGTGGTAGCTGAATTGTGCGTCAGAGCAGATCCAATAAACAAGAGGAAAGAATCTCGGCTACTATATACTCACATTCGAAGATCGCTTGATTTCAAGCGGCGATGATTGACAAGAACATCCGCGGCAAGTTTGGACAGCTGTATGGGGCCTCTGCCAGACAGCTTGACTTGCCACACCGCGGGCTCCGAACTAAGTGCGTGACATCGCATGTTGTTTATCGGTAGATTGCGATGGAAAGAAGCGACAGCGGCTGCAACACCATTTTCTTGGCCCATTAGGCCCCCAAAGTGTTGAGCTGCAGACTGCACTTCCGGTTGGAGACAGAAACGAATGGCTTCCGTCAACTTTGTTGGATCCAGAGATCGATATGGGATAGGGCTCGGTCCAAGTCCCCTGGATGCGACCATGTTGCCCCAAAAAAGCTGACTGCACGAAAAATCAGCACTATAGCCGAGATCAACATGTGATGAAGTGCATACTCTCCAAAGAATGGGATGATAGCTGTGGGACAGCCAAAACGCAGACCACACGCTGTAGTGCCGGCGCCGCCATGGTGGACGACCGCGGCAACATGTTGAAACAACCATTCATGCGGGCAGTCTTCAAGGTAGAAGATCTGATTACAAGATGATGGCTCTCCGATATTACTCCAGCCTCGAGAGATGACTGCGCGAATCCTGAGTGCCTTGACGGCCTGCAGAATGATCTTGGTCATAGCAGCGGCGTCTTCGATCACTATGCTGCCGAATCCGATGTAGACTGGGGGGCTGCCACTGCGAAGAAATGCGTCCAGGTCTGGAGGTGGAGTGTATGCTGGAATCGAGCGAAAGAAAAATCCACAGACATCGATGTTCGCTGGCCAGTCTTTTGGTTTGGGCATTAGACTTGGAGACCAACAATAGGTGAAAGGTATCTTCAGAGTCTCAGCCAGACACGGGCCTTCGGTTGCTGGTATAGGTTCCAAACCAAGGGAACCTCTCCACTCATTAATCACGTCTCCAAGTCTGCAATTCGTGGATTAGCATATGTCTTCAGGGAGATCAACATATTCGTCAGAAAAAAAGAGAGAAAGGGAGAGAGTGTGTGTGTCATTTACCCTTGCCATGTCATCCACTCAACTACCCCGTAGGAAATATAGTTGGCCATCTTCGGTTCGATGGTCGAATATTTGAGATTTGCCAACGGATGCGGAAAGGCTCTTGTGCTGCTCCACGGCATGGTAAACATGAGGTGCAAGGGGACTGACAAGGCTTGTGCACAGTGAATATGAGCAAAGCTTGGAGGGTTAGCAATTATCGCGTCCGCGACAAAGGGGACTTTGCTGAGCGGATCGTCCCCAATGCATGAATTCCAACAACCCTGTAACATTGCCGCCACCATTTTCCGCTTGCGTTGAATTTCTCCCTCTCGCAAACTTTTAATCTGCGGTATCAAGCCAGGGTTCTTGACCATGTAAGCCATCAGTTCCGTGGGGTCCCCCCCAATGGGATAGAATTCCAAGCCTGATTCAAGCACGAAGGATTCAAACACACTGTGAGTCGCCAATCTGATACGATGGCCATGCGATTGAAGTGCGCTGCCCAACGCAATGAAAGGCTGGACATCGCCTCTGCTGCCAACCACTTGGATGACAATATTCAATTTGATATCGCAGGTCACCGGTACTGAATCATCCCGCGCTGATTGGGGTCGCGGCTCGTCGTGCGAGAATGGAATGAACTTCGCGACCGTTCTGCAGACCTTGGAATCGAGGTCGACCTCGACACGGCCATCGCCTATTTTTGATCAGCACACACGGAGTTGACGAAAACAAAGGGGTTGGGAATATACCGGTTAATTCTGCTCCATCGTGAGACCCAAAATCGTCGGGCCAGCCAGCTGCCTCCAATATAGAGTATCTCGGCGGTAAATCTTCCATGGATCAAAGCATACGACACACAGCTCAAATACCTTGACTCGAAGGAAGATAGAATGCGAAGCTAGAGCTTCAGTCGCCCTTGTTCTGTGTACGTTCATATATAGCTCATCCGATGGAAGCACTCATGATAGCAAGATTGGGATGGTCCTGCTGAAACAATCTGGGCGTCGTTGGGCCGAATGGGCTCCAACTCGTGTTGGCGAAACCCTGTTCGCATATAGTCAGGTGGATTCCACGTAGTAAGGACTGAAGAGTTACTAAATAATAGGCTCTGGGATGTCCCAGTCAACTCAATAGGGTCCACAATTAAAAATAGCTGGGGAAGGTGATAAGAGGGAAGAGCAAGTGAATTCTTCGAATTGCTGGAAAATTTTAGCTGGCAACACTGAATCTGCTGAATGAAAAGGTTGGTGAATTCTGCATGCTCCCGTCTAACAAAAGCCCCTTAGAGGTGACTTCGCATCTCAGGGGCCGACAAGGGATTTCAAGTTTCATTTGAGAGCTGAGCGCGTTGTTGAGGCATTGAGGAAGTATGTGGAGATCTCGAAGAGCCGATCGTCTTCTTCGTATGCGTATACGGGCCACTACAACCACGGCTCCAACTTAAAATTTAGTGCAAAGACCAAACTTAGTTCGGATACGCGTATAGCTCTCTCAACGGCGAGATCCGCGATGTTTTAGAGAGTTCCCATTTATTGTCCCATTTATTGGAACTCTACCCACAGTCTTCACGTTTCTGTCCAATGATGCGCTCCGTTTTATCCCTCCGTTATTGCTTTGCGGAGTAGGGTGACTGACACTCCCCGTTCGATCTGAGGGCTCGTAATCTTGATCCTTTCCAAATTTGTTCCAGAGCCGGCAATGACAACCTAAGCCTCTAGCGACGAGCGACAGATTGGCCACTTCCATCGGTGACAACACTCGTGGCCCACCATGCGATCCTGCACGTGGTGTCAATTTCATGTCTATTGTCGAATCACAAAGATCATTACACCACTTAGGTACGAGCCATGGGGGCCCTGCGGACCGCCATAGAATGGGTTCCTAGCCTCGCCGCCGTGAATGATGTCAACAGAGGATTCGTATTCTATTCCAGAAATTGCAGGAACGAGAGCTTTTACGCACATTTTTGTGGAACTGATTGAGATGGGAGGACGAAATCTCCGCAATATTTCGCCTCCATCATCAAAGGGAGACACTACCGCGCTACCATATAAAGCTCCTTCAATACTCCTTTGTGGCAGGAACAAGTCTCGTGTTCTGCATATCCCTGGCTCCCTCCTTCTTTGATCATCAAGTCACCGAACGCTCGCACTCTCATGATGGGCGTCTCCAGCACTTTGAGATTGATCCTCCACCTTCTTATGATTGGGCTAGCAGCTAGTGTCAACATCACAGTACAATCCAAAGGAAACACTACCAGTTCCCTGCAATATGGCATCATGTTTGAGGTATGAAGTTTTCTGATAGCCTGACGAACAACTGGCTTATCTGGGAGACAGGAAATCAATCACAGCGGCGATGGGGGCTTGTACGCAGAGTTGATTCGGAATCGAGCCTTTCAGAACAACAGTCTGGAGGCCTATACTCCCATCAACGAGGCATCTCTTTCTGTCATTCAAAGCAGCAATCCATTATCCAGTGCGCTACCTTACAACCTGCACGTCGCCAGACCTGAAAATTGCTCGGGCCGTATAGGGTTTGAAAATCACGGCTGGTGGGGAATCTCTGTCAAACCTCAGCGATATACGGGCTCTTTCTTTGTGAAGGGTGACTATTCGGGAGACTTCACCGTATCTCTTCAGTCAACCTTGTCAAGTCAGACATTCGCAAGCGTTCATGTTCGGTCAAAAAGCACTGCCCATACCTGGACTGAGCATCAATTTACTCTCACTACTCGACAAGCCGCTTCGAATACCAACAATAGCTTCTCGATCACATTCGACGCGAAAGTAAGTGTTGAAGGCAACCGGATACACCGAGTCGTGGCTGATGAATCATAGGCAGTAACCGGGGGATCGTTGGATTTCAACCTGATCAGCCTATTCCCGCCGACATATAAGAATCGCGCCAATGGCCTACGAAAGGATCTCGTCGAGGCGATCGCCGACCTGAAACCTGTACGTACTGCGCCTCGAAGACTTTTAAACGTCACTGACTCCGGAACAGAGCTTTCTGCGATTTCCTGGAGGAGGCAACATCGATGGTATTCTTCCAAACACCCAGTATAAATGGCAGGAGACCCTGGGTCCACTCGCCCACCGACCCGGCCGAGCTGCGGTCTGGGGTTACTATGAAACAGATGGCCTGGGATTGGCTGAGTTTATGGAGCTATGTGAGGATCTTGAGATTGCACCCGGTGTGTACTGAACTGCTTCCTTCCTCCCTCTTCTCTAACCATCTGTGTTAATCGATGAGCAGTCCTTGCGGTCTGGTCTGGCCTGAATTATGTCAGTGGACCCCTGACAGCGGAAGAACTGGAACCCGTTGTTCAGGACACTCTCAACGAGATTGAATTCTTGACAGGCTCAGTTGAAACCACATACGGTGCCCACCGTGCATCTCTCGGTTTTCCAAAGCCCTGGAAAGTGCAATATGTGGAAGTTGGCAATGAAGACCACCTAACCGGAGGGCTCAAATCTTATCAGTCCTATCGTCTTCGCATGTTCTACGATGCCATTAAAGAGAGGTTTCCGGACATCACCATCATCGCATCAGCGTCAGAGCTATCGATGAACTTGACCCATCCGGATATGGGTGGCGACTTTCACATCTACGACACGCCAGATGGCTTCGTCAACAATTCTGGGCGCTTTGATCACATCCAGCATCAAACCTTGATCGGTGAATTTGCGTGCACTTTTCCAAACAATCCCGACGGGCTTCCCTCCAGCAGAGACAAATACGTCACCTATCCGTTCTGGATCGGTTCTGTTGCCGAGGCCGTCTTTCTTTTAGGAGCCGAGAGGAACTCAGACAGAGTGATCGGGGCAGCCTATGCTCCAATGTTGGCCCATTTAGAAGAGTCGCAATGGGTACCCTCTTTGCTGACATTCACGGCCGATCCAGAACAGACCACTCGGTCCACCAGCTACCACGTCACAAGACTTTTAGCATCCAACACCATGACGCACACCTTGTCCGCCAGATCGGACATTGATTTTGGATCTTTGCACTATGTGACTGGCTATGACAAGCACTCCAACTCCTACTTGTTCAAAGCAGCCGTCTATAACAGTTCCGATGATGTTCCTGTCTCGATCAAATTTCCCGATATGCCGAGCGGAGTACGGGCGGAGCTTACTTTGCTTACTGCAGATGCTCCAGAATCCTCCAATGCAGTTGGTGGTCCCGACATCGTTACCGCTTTAGTTTCGAGTGTTGAGGCAGGGCCCAGTGGCTGCTTCAACTTCAGCCTCCCAGATCTGAGTGTTGCTGTCCTGAAGGTCAGCATGTGTGGGAGCAATTAGGCATAGCGAGCTCTTTCCCTTTCATTTCAGCCACCGTGGAAATGATTGACGCGCATTCGAATCTTGTGGGAGGAAGACTCAATAGCTCATTCTTGTTGTATCTCTACATTAGAGCTATAACACCTCAACAAATGATAAAAGCTTGAGCTCAGGTACCGCAGCGACGGGTAATTCCTCAGCTATTAAGACTTCACAGAGTACAGCTACAATGCATCTACCCACTGCGGCTGGGTATTCCACTTGTGTCTTTTCCTACGGTAGGCTGGGTGTCGGTGAATCGGAGCTTTTGACCCCTTTCCAGGATGCGCAAGCGGCATCCCAGGTCGCAATATTGGCAAAGATTTCAGAATTCTTGCAAGAGGGCAGACTCTCTTCAAAATTACGGACCCCCCCCCCCCCCCCCAAGGACTCGTCCATATCGGCCACAGCTTTGGCTCATTGATTACCATTCGCCTCGCAGCGGCATTGCCAAATCTTTCAAATGGTAAATATTCTCACCGGGTTTGGTCACGACATTTCCTGATTGAGCAATTTCCAGTTAGGCAATAGAATCGAACCAGCACGAATGGACAAGCCCGTTCGATTCCGCAAGTCCGACACCGGATATCTGGCCTGGGACAAGGAGTTTGACAACCAATGGGCCGCATTCAACTACCATTTTGTAATGTGGATGTCCTCCGTAAAGCTGAGCTGAATAAAGCAGCATTCTCGATAGCCGAGTTGCTGTCATTCAGTATGCGCCCCTTGCGGGACCGGACTATTGACTCTTCTAGTCCTGTGCCGGTACATGACACCTCCAACTCGACAAACTCCTCCAGGCTGACTGTCTTCGATCATAAACGGCGCACAGGATCTATCATTTTGCGGTGGTGACCCTAACTGTTAGGGTGTGCTCGTTGCCGAGGACTCTCCTTCCATAGCGGTCTTTTAAAAGGCCGAGCGCCTTGCTCGGTACTTTCACCCTCATGCAGATTGCAGGGCACGTGTTAAATCTTCATCATTAATCAACTGCGGCATACGAAGTAATTCTGAGATTCTTGGTGAACAATGGATGATAGCGGCAGAACAAGAGATCCCCCTTCATCAATAGATTCTATTTTGTGATGGTACTACAGAAACGATAAGATAGGGAGATGACATATCCAACATGCTTCAGTTGAATGTAGGTAATCAATTTGCTCATCGGGCTGCCCTGTGGCTTCAATCAGGCCAAATCCCAGCCATATGGGCTAAAGAGTGTCTTAATTCATTGGAGAAGCCAACATGGAACACAATACTTTAAATAGCATATTCGCCAGTCTTTCTGGCTGTTGGGGGGTGAGTACAGTAGCTGCAGCATCGCAATATGAAAGAGATATGAGGCGTGAGATTGCTATAGGGGAGAGATTCTATCTAAGCTATGATATGTGCTGAGCGGCACACTTAAGATATCTCTAGGCGTACATGGTCCTCTATGACTCGACCTATCCGGTGAGAATGAGACGGGATCAGGCTGCCGTGAGCATTCTCTTCTTCTCCAGTAGATACAAGGTTGTACCCACTACCTAGGAACTTAGGTAGTACTCACTAGGTAATTCACTTCAACTCCGAACCCTCCATATCACACCTACCAATCTACCTTGATGATTCAGCCTGGAAGCACCTAACCCACCATTGTCTTTCTGGATAGTACCTGATTTCGCTGACGTATTCACGAGCCGGGCTTGGAAACAACCGGCCATGTTGCGTCTCAGAATAATTTCCTTCATCAACATTACCACTCCAGGTGTGATGTGAGTCTCGACGTGAAAGGTATTCTGGTTCCAATGCTCGGCTTCGATCATCTTCCAGCATTGATTCGTCCCACTGCCAGGTCCTCCTTCGACACCCAGTACGCAGTCGGGCACTGTTAGGAGACTGGCCCATCGCATACTTTGGAAAGAACGGCTGTGGCTGTCGAGGGGATACTTAGTAGGTACCTTAGGCAGGTGGGTAGGTAGGTACACAATTACGGGGCGAAAGCGGGTTGTATTGGAATTGGATAGGTATAAATCGAATGAATTGCCCGGGACTCCACTCGAAACAGAGAGTGTTCTGAATGTTACTATACAAAATAAGCTAGAGGGACGTCAAATAACTACATGGGGAAGATCACAAAAAGAACGTCAACTATTCGCGACACACCAGACATCTTTTAACGTGGAATACAAATCGCAAATGGCTGAATCTGATGAACAACATCAAAGACGTGCCAGGGTAGAAAACAACATGATTGAAGAGATGGGGGAAAAAGGATGGTCATGAAATTTCGGTGTTCTACTAGATGCGAAGGACATCCAGAGTTTACCGACGCGCAAAGCAGCACATGATACCGGTACGTCCAAGGAACCAACAAGCACCAATGAAGCGGAACAAGGACATCACGGCAGTGGACCACAACAGGGCCTGGAAGAAACGAGCCGTACGGTCTGTAGCTTTGTCCTGTATACATAACGGATTGATTAGCCCATGTCAGCCATCAGGAGTGGAAGATGGGAAGTGCTTACCGTGAAACCAAATTTGTCGACAGCCTCACTCGTGATGCAAACAGCCAAGAAAGCATTGCTGAAGATCCAGAAGGTGACAAGTCGGGTTCGGAAACTCTTGTACGAATCCTCCAGGGACTTTTCATCTTTCTCAACAGGGGCAACGAAGGGGGTCAAGGCGCGCTTGACGGTAGCCTCAAATTGACTGTCGATATCGGCCTGCGGTTTATCGATTTCCTCAATAACGGCATCCTTGCTGCCTTCGTCCTTGGTGGTCTTGGCAGAGGGCAATGCATCAGCTTTGTCAGAACCCTTGGTACCCCACGAGACGTCGTGCCAGTTGCTGAACGCGTACACGTTGAGCACGTTGATGTACGACGATTGCAAGACCATGTATGCGGGGAATGAGGTGAACATGTGCCATGGATCGGCGTACATGAAGGACGCAACAAAGTAGAGACCGAACGTGGCAGCAAGGGCGATGATGATGATACCAGCACCGGATGAACCAAAGAAGGATTTGAGGAATGCGCCAACACCATGACCGGTGTTGAAGTCCATGGTGTTTTTGCCAGAGAAGGCTCGGATGACCAGGTACAACGAGTCCACGACAATGTAGACCTGAACGATACCGAAGACCACGAAGGAAGTCAAGTACGTGAACTTGGAGCCCTTGGGACGGTTTCCTAGAGCAAGAATGAATTGCAGCAACAGGAAGCCCAGGTAGATATACTTGATGATCGTGTTGATGATCGGTGTTGCGGAATTGCCGAAGGGGAAGGCGTGGTTGCCGTTGGCCTTTGTGGGAGTACCGACCAGATCGAGAATGACAGTGGTGGTCAACCAGTATGAGGCTAGTGCGAACCAGGTGAGGATGGTTTGGAAGATGTTATAGAGCATCTGAATATGGAGGAAGAACATGCGCACGAGATTGTGGCCGGACTTGTACATGCGGCCAAAATGCATCAGCGAATAGATACCGGCGGCGAACGAACCGTTCAGCCAACGACGACGTTGGGAGATAAACTCGGGAGCCCCTTCGGGCACATCGGTCTCGGCCTTGGAAGCCTTGACGTACGAGAGGTGCCACTTGGATCCAGCCTTGGCGACCAACTCGAAACAGAGGATACGATCCTCGGCCAAGAACATGTTCTTCTTGAAGATGTTCATTCCCTCGATTCCCTTCTTACCGAGCTGCTTCGAGAGAGTGTGATCTCCGTGGAAGTACTGCTCCAGGGGACGACCCATAATGGCGCGGAATCGGTAGGCAGAGAAGGCACCCGGCAACACAGACACATAACCGAACGAACTCTCGAGAGGCTTATCCAAGATATTACTGATCTTGTACTCGAAGTTTTGCGCAGCCACGAGCGGATTGACCAGGTTTCGCCAACCCTTACCTAACATGGCGTGAATTTCACCACACGCGCCACCTAGATCCTTGTCGTTGTAAAAGGCCTCCCACAGGGACAGCAACGACTTGGGGCCTGGCTTGGTTCCCGCGTCGAGCAAGATACAGATTTCGGGATTCAAAATCCGACCGAAGGCGTTGAAGAGCCAACGGTGTGAATTGATCTTCTTGCTGTTCTTTTGCTTCAAACAGAACATCATCTGCACAGGAGGGAGGGTACTCGGGCCATCATCGGTTGGGCGGATCAACTGCTGTGTGGGCGTCACCGATAACTGAGTGGTGTATTCGAAAATGTGCGCCACCGTTTCCTTCCCGTCAACATCACGCTTCATCACCCCGTCTTGGTAGATACCAACGGTAGCCAACACGTCCAAGGTGTCCTTGTCGCAAGGGTCAATCCCGTCAAAGACGAGGGCCACGACGATCTTCTGCCACGCGGGACCGCCCTTGTTCCAGAACTCGGACTTCTTCAAGTTGACGATATCGCGGATATTCTGCATCACACCGTGCAGGGTTCGCGAGGTGAGGGTCTTATCTTCGTTGTAGTAGGTGATGGCGATCAGCAGCTCAGTGTGACGGTTGTACATGGCTGGACGCAAGTTGTAGCCATTGTGGAGTGTGAATTCGTTGGGATCACATGTGGCGGCAGTGTCTAAAGATGGATTGTTTAGATCAGGCCTCTTCGTACCATCGCGAGGGATCTTGGATTAGGTCTCCGGAAACACCTTTGGTATTGACTTACATCGCATGTGAGTAAACTCCTCGCTTCCGCCTTCCAGATCATTACGGTACTTGGCTTGGATGGCATTCTGAATGGCGCTAGGCACGGGGTAATCGACACTCAAGACGGAGCCCTGAACCAGCTTCACCTTACGTGTGGCGTAGCGACGCAGATTGGCTCCGCTGTTGGTACCACCAGGGGCCTGTCGCTGCCGCCACGCCTCAGTCGAGGAGGTCTCGCTACGAGCGTAGGGAGAGGTCGAGCGACCGGGGACTCCAAAGGCCTCCGCCGGGTTCTCCTGGCCGGAATAGCCCGTGTTGGTGGCATACGGATCGTGGTATCCCGGGGTATTCTCGGTCGCGTAGGTCTCGGTCAGACTGTAGCCAGATGCTGGGCGCACGGGCGAGACGCCGCGCGAGTGCGCATCATCAAAGGGAGTCGCAAAGGGGCCCTGCTGGTGTGCGAGCAGTCCATGTGAGGCATCCTCGTCTTCTCGGTACTGTTGTATCAAAGTCAGTCCCGCAGTCTTTTCTCATGATCACAATCGTTAATTATTGTCTCTCCGTCCCTCACGTCACCTCTGTGACTGGAAATTACAGCAACTTTGCTGACTCGCGCTCCGGAACGGTCGCAAAGTCCACATTTTTGCCTGCTGAGCTGGTCTTTCCAATCCCCTTGGGGCAACAGATGAAATCATGGTAATAAGGGAGCGCATACTTGCGAATTTGGAGCATCATGCTGAGCGTCGTACTGGGGCGTATGCGCGTCTGACCCGTGGTAGGCCATGATGATCGCGCGCGATGGACGGCCGGGTGAGGGTCGGGGTCAAGAAGGGTCAGTTGCTAGGGCCGGTTGTGATGACGACAGGGACGTTCACAACAACAAGAGCGCCAGGCGAAGCACACCGTCAGGAGCGGGAGAAATCGAAGCCACCAGGGCTGTCGGATGGTTGCAGGCGATAAGAAGCAGCGATGGCTTTGCTACCCTGTTGCAGCAGAATCGGCCTCGGAATGAAGGTCGATGGGGGGGGGATGTTTGGGACTCTGGAGTTGTTTCCGAGGGAGAAAAAGGGAGAGGGTCAGAGGTCCCACAGACGTGGTTGCCGCAACGGGTGTGGTTCCCTGGTTCAATACAGGGGAAGCCAAGTGGAGGGGCAAAAGGGAGAACAAATGTCCGCTAGGCAGTCAAGTTGTTCTTTTTCCCCGACAAAGCGCTCCAACAAGTCACGGTGGGATGAGTCGATAGATTTTGTCCACGACGATCAGAAGAATGAACGGCTCAGTTGGGAAGAAGAGAAAGGGAGGACCAGCAAAGAGAAGGCAATGTAGCAAGAATGGGAGGAATCCAATGCTCGCGGACCGGGAGTCGAGTGCATACTCAGCCATCCACGGGTCCCAGCAGCGTGCGTCTAATGGATCTTATTTGCTGGCGAGGTCAGCCCTCTGGTATGGACGGCCATCGCTACATCGAGTTTTACAGAGCGAACCACGCGGTTCAGTCAATGAACTTAACGATTCAGGGGGGCGCAAGTCGCATGAAGTCCTGAACAAAGAATACACGAATGAGAGTCCTCGACACTACTACTACTACTACTACTACTACTACTACTACTACTACTACTAGACTATACGTCCGTGGTCGAGGATCGAGTGGATTGGGATCTATGTGGACCGGACGAGTGATCTACACTTTCTACAGTACTCTAATCTGCGTGGACAAGAGAAGAGAGAACGGAGAGGCTCTTTGAATGGCAGCTGTCCATGGTCGTGTGCAACTTGGTCGTGTGAACATCCTTCGTGTACCCTTGAGACAGACCACCAGGATGGCCTTGGGAAAGCCACCATAGTCACCGGAACAATCACAACAATGAAAAATTCTCACCGGACGTTGACGTGGACAGTGGAGTGTTGAGGCAAAAATAGATTGGGATACTAAGCCCCGGGCGGCTTAGCACTTAGCGTCTATGCGCTTCACCCATGCACCACGCCAAAATGACCAGCAAAGTCTGTGGGTTGACAGCCAATTGAAGAGGACTGTAGTAGCATCAGAGCCGTTTGAATATGTGGAAAAAGAAGATACTAGTGTACTAACTATACTTAGAATGTTAGCACTGACTTACAGTAAGTATCAAGTAGTAGGTAGTAAGTTCCGTGTGTTTACCACGAGTCATGCGAACTAGTTGGAGTACCACCGGTCGAGTCTGTGCATGTGCTGGTCTAATTTACACTTGAGGTCGGTAGTGCCCTGCTGGACGAGGAGGTGCCTGTTACTTGCCACTAGAAAGGGTCCGCTCCTCGAGACAGTCAGTTTCTTAACTTTCTGCCCTCTTGAGCCTTGCCTGGGAAAAGACTCATTCTTTACCTACACTTTTCTCTCGCTTGGTGCTCAAATCTCCATGGATCTAATCTCAGCTCCTACCGTAAAGATCATGCATCATGCTCTATACTTGAATCTCCTCACCTGAGGTGTTGATCATCCATTTCGTCAAATCCGCTGTACAGGTTGGTCGACGTCTCATTAATGGTCCCAGTTACACATATGAAAGAGCCGCCAGAGGGTTCTTCAGATGAGCGCAGATGAGTGACGGCATGAAACACGAGGCTAGATATGAGAGCGTGATTGGAAAAGTGCCCATGGCCACCAAAACAACAACAACATTATGAGCCATAGCTATTCCCTCCGGAGTCTGCATACCTCTATCCCTTGGAGATCGGACAGGCGCGTGCGGCGTTGAGATGATAGGTTGAGCTGCAGGGACTTCGAGGTTTGGCAGTGTCTAACTAAGTACTGCTGGACTGCGGGATTGATCCCGATGCGCTCGATGTCGAGTCATTGGAAGAGAGTCAACTTCAGCAACCAAGAATGCTACTGCCGCTCTGATTTCATGACTCTGATGGGTCTCTTGGCCCAACACTGGCCGATTCATGAGAGATGAGCAACGGTTGCATTGCTGGTCTGTCTCTTGAACTCTGGCTGAGAAGCTCTTACCTGGTCCACGCGGCGTCTTTCCGGGACGGATTGTCGGGCGTTCCATCTACCAAGCTTATGATCTTGATTGATGCTTTCATCTGCCGGGCTCGGATGTCGTCAATATTGAGACCCTCAAGCCCATCGATATGCCCTGGTCCAAAAGTCTTTGGGAGGAGTACCAAAGACCAGTCACTCTTGTGATCTCTAGGACACCCGGTCTTGGTACCGTCGACACATTGTCGATGGCAGAAGAACTGCTCAACCGTACCCGACTACGACTTGTGGTCCGGTCATACTGTATATCACCCCGGTCTCCTTGAATCCAGTCTGCTTCGGTCGAACGGTGTTGCGACTCGCATAGATGGCAGTTTGATTCATTGATATTATTGATCTCGCACATCTCCATCTCCCCAATGCTTTCCACGGTTGACTCCGTTGAAACCCAAAACTCCACCGCTGAAACACCAACCGGCTCGGTTGGCCGCGGGTGCGGGTCGTGGCCCAATCAACGGAGTTGCTATAGTGACGATCCCTATCGTTGGACGCGTCTTGTCTGCCCCTTCGTCGTGGATAGATGATGACTGGAAGTGTACCATGCTGAAATGGTTGTGCCGTGGAGAGATGGCCTTCATTTCGAGTGTCGCTTCTCTCAGGTCACAAAGTCCCGAGAGATCTCCATTCGCACTAACCGTTCTTGAGTTTGTGCTTGGCCTGGGCGGATCGATCTGAGAACGGTCAATGGTTACTTCTATATGGAAGATAATTCCCACTTCCCGCATACCTCTCTCCCATTCTTGACAATGATCGAGTTATGCTGGACGTGGCATCGGAAGCGATCACTGGAATGGATGTATACGCCCTACCCGAGACATGACAACCAAAGAACCCGCTCTCTGCACCCGTGCCACTGGGCAATGGCATGTCCTGTGAATACTGAGGCTGGATCCTGAGGAGTTGCCACACGTGGGAGAACAGATTTACGGGCAACAACCTGACTACACTCTACTGTACAGTACTTAGTAGTACTTACTACTAAGGTACCTCGCAGGTGGATCGATCTCAAGTTTCGACTTGGTCGGTCAATGCCGTTTGCATCGTAAAAGATGGAAAGACACATGATATTCGGGTCGTCTGATGCTTCAGCAACCTTCCAAGTTCGACAAGGATCACATACCTGTGATGATCATGACAATGTCCTTGAAGACCAGAGCAGCCCTACCTAACCGAACCTCATGGTAGCTTTGGACTAGTTGCGACTGTTGAAGCAATTGAAAATATGGTCTCTTTTGCTACATCCCTGCACGTACTGCACGGAAGGTTCCAACACACCTACCTAGGGCAAGTGAGGAGAATCTGACCCATTCATTGAGGTATGTTTCGTAGAGGAACCCTCGGACGGTGTTCACCATAGTGACCATACTGGAAGTTTGAATGGTGGATTCTACAAATTGTGATGGCATCCAAGCAACTCCCGGACATCATCGTCTATCGCCGTACTGAAAATTGATTCAAAGTTACCTCCAGTCATCATCTTTTCATTGGGTTGGTTGTTTCAACCTATGGATATTAATTTTCAGCAACATGAATCCCTTCCAGTATCTGGATAAATCGACCGTCTGAAAGCTTCATGTTGCCCTCCAGGCCGATTTCCAAACATGTATGAGACAGATCCTGGTGAATTGAATGGCTAAAAAATCGGGATAGCTCCGCCCGGGCTGCTGGTGGCTTGATCTTCTCCCGTGTTGGGCGTGTCTCAGGAGCCAGTGGAAACTCGTGCCATTCGGCGACCGTGGAATCAACTCCTGCGATGAGATCCATTTCCCGTGGAAGGGAGACAAGAGACATCTCGGTGACCAGACTTTGTGCCCTTGAGACCAATATGGAGGGTTGCAATATTTGGATCCATCAACTCTGCTGTCTGCTCAGGTTCATCGTCTCTTGAGAATCAAACACGGGCGATATGAGCTGCCCTGGATGGATTTGTACTGTACTCACGACTCAGTACTTACTGCGGTACTCGGTAGAGTCAGTACTACTTACTACTTACTAACTACTAGTAGTACCGATACTTACTAAGGTGCTCAGTGTGACTGTGATTTAGTAGCGGCCGCCGGCCAATCTCCGCAAATCCTCCCACACTCGTCCACAACATGCCTTCAAGTCCGATCAGATTTTATTGACGACTTGACAGAAAATGTCTTCTGTTGAAGAATTGTGGTACTGTAGTTAGTACCGATTAGCAACGTTAGGAATTCAGTCGAAAGTACTGAGTGCTGATTGTTGTGGGCTCGCTTGCCTGTACTACTATATATAGGGAAGTAAGTACCTACGCAGGTACTTGGTGGTATCCCTCGAAGGTACCTGTGCTTGACTGCTCCCGCAGTTGAACCCCAAGCATGCTCGACTGTTCCACACCGGTTAGTAGTATCCATGAGAGATTTGATTTATACGACTTTTGCATTATCCGACAAGACCGAAAATCAAGAGCTCATGCAGAAGGTCTTTTGTGTCTTATTCTGCTGTCCAGCCTGAAATTGTGCCGAGTTTCGTCAATGGAAGGCTTCAACATGGCTATATATTGCAGGTGGCTCCTGGTCTGTACTCTATACTCTGTGACACAGACCAGAGACGGGACTTTAGTCGCAGGTCTGTAGTTTCTGTAGTTCTTTCTGTACCACTATAAGTTATAAGCAAAAGCTGGTGCTGTACAATATCTCTAAAGTCAGCCCAACTCAGCCATCAGCCCTGGCGTCAAGGGATCGAAGTTGATTGCAAGCCACCAAGGATGACCCTCGGACATGTCAGGACTCAGCTCAGGTAACCCGATCGGGACGTCTGGTTGAGACGGATGGATCCATCCGTCCATCCCCGTGCCTGAAGCTGAGGTGAGCCAGTCCCCCGGCCGATCCACCTGCACTCGTCGCGGTGTCTGCCTGCATGATGTGCCTTTCAAGTCTAGACCCGATCTGATCCACGTCGTGCGTGTATGTAGTGATAAAAGTTCTGTGGAAATGACAAACTTTGATACTGATGGATCGCCTTGGAGAGGTGAGAGAGAGTACAGTGAGTACTGAGTGGTAGCCCTATATGTGGACAGCGGTAGGTAACTCCTACCTTATAGCCAATACACCAGCTCAATATATGTGTACACTGTACACATCTATACACATCCATTTCAGGTTGTCTGGTCCAGGCATTGCGTGATCAGTGGTGGCCTGTAGGTAGCTTCCTCGATATTTAGATTTGTTTGTCGCATCCATTTTGATCTGAGACTAGTCACCGAATGGCTTAACGTCCCGTGTCGATCTGATGAAATAAAGTTATACAAAGCGATAATGAACTTGGGCTCATACATAAGGTACCTGGCTATTAAGAATAAGCATACAGTGCGCAATAGAGGGCCGATGGTCCTCCCCCCATCCTCACCAGCAGTAATTTACTTCCAGTGTCAAACACTACACTACTATCAATCTGAGTAACCTCAGATACCTCTGACATGGATTGGATGCACCTCTTCTCTGAGCTCTCGACTTCTCGAGTACTCCCACTTTCCCAAGAGTCTAGAATCCAGCCACGCCTCTTGTCAAATCACCCAAATCCGCCCTCCAAGTGGATAGGGTGGGGACTTCCCTACGCTGTTTGATTGTCCAGCCACAGTACCTGAGTACAATAAGATTGAAGAGACTAGTAGTTACTACTACTCTACTGCCTCCTACCTAGTTAGTAGTCCTGAACGTAGTTACGTACTACCCCTGTACGTTGTGGTGCTGCTGTATTGCGAATCGCAATAACTACACCGATTATCGATCCTGTGGAAAGCCCCCTCGCCGGGTACCGCTGAGGTACCCAGGTGTGACCTATACCGAGTCCAGGTACCGACTACGAACCCAGAAAGTACGACGAGGTACCACCCCATTCAGCCCATTCAGCCGATGGCTCGGGCCCATGCCGTGGCTGTTGCTGATTTTCAGCCCCCTCCACTTCCGTTTCCTCTTCTCTCCCCTGGTTCACTCCCTTGGGATGTTCCAGGTCGGTACAGGTGGAACTCTGGATGGTCAACTGTTGGACAGGCGAGGGGGAAAGTGGATGGTTCCTGGCTGTCAATGTCGGACGATAATTGGGATTGGAATCTGCCACTTGCCCTGGTACGGTACCTGACTAGCACGAATTCGTAATTTAGTCCTACTAGTAGTTAGTAAGTACTAGGCAATGGGCATAGCCACTGAGCCAGTATTGTAGTCGAGGTAACTACCTGGTAGCACCGTAGCAGTACTTGACTAGTACTTGCTGAGTCTACTGAGCCTTGGTCTGGCCTAGTAAAGGTTAGTAGTACCTCGCTGCCTTAGGTTAGGTACCAGTAGTCAGTCCCAACTTACTAAGTTACTAGTACTTACTACTAATTCTGGGTACGTTTTGTTCCACCTCATCCAATTTCCACCTTGTCCACTAGGCCCACTAGTGCCAATTTCACCAATACACCACGCTACCAGCGAACACGCGGTGGTGCGGTAGTACCCCCAAGTACATTGGTGTAACGGTGCAACAACACCTGTAATCCTGAGGGAGCACTCGGTAAATCGGTAAGTCAGTCGATTCTCGCCCGCCCCCAGTCGATTCACCTCCACCAGCACGGGGCCCTCCAACCTGCCCCCTCTCTCGCTGTCCCGTCTTTGTGACTTCCAACTCTCTCTCCTCCGCTGCTCGACCTGCAACTCTCGTCCTTCCTCATCCCCTCAACCCACTCGCCCTCCCGCTGCTCTCGACATCTCCGACTGCGGTCATTCACAAACACCCCAGGGGATTCGCACCTCCAGACGACTGACCAGCATCCCTCCCACGATCGCGTGGACGATGCCTGCACCGTCTTCTTAAACTTATTCCGTCGGCCGTTTCAGACCCTCCCACACTCGTTTACCATATCGCCATTCGTCCATCTTAACGAAAGCACCTCCGTCTCTCACTCACGACTTGACGCCGTTTGAGCCCATCAACTTTGTTTCCTCGGTTCACCTTTCAGCTTCCAGCTCCGGTCTTTACATTTCAATCTCGGAATCGCTCCTTTCGTCGCCCGTTGACCGGTCGCATTTGGTGATTCCACCTTGCTGCTTTTTGTCTTTCTCTCTTTCTATTCATTATTCACGACCTCCCTCCCTCGCCATGCCGCTCAACTCGGTTGATCCGTCCTTTTCCTCCATTAGTATGTGTTCGGCACCTTATTCTTGTGCAAAGACAATCTCGGGGTCTCCGCGCGTCGGAGGCGCAGGTGACCCGACCCACCTCCTCCCCTTGTCCTCTACTGAACTGACCTTCTGGTATCGCCGCAATGCAGACGATGTCTTTTCTCCTGCTCGTTCTCTCTTCAAGCGTTGCATTACATGTGACACCGTGCCAGCATGTCCCGCCTGCCCCGATGGCCAGACCTGTACCATGACCGCGCAAACGTGCGATGCCTGCTCGATCACCAAATGTGTCTCCATCACCACCAACACACCTCCCCCTCCAACAGCACGAACGTCGGGGCGATTGCCGGAGGTGTCGTGGGAGGTGTCGTCGCACTCGTCGTCATCCTCTTCCTGATCTGGTGGTTTGTGGTGCGCAAACGTCGCAATGCCCAGGGCTCGGAGCCTGAAAAGGACCACACTAGCGCTTTCAACAGTGCCCGAGAAGCGCGCCAATCCACACAATCGATCGCTTCAACGGTGCTGACGCGAGCCTCCAACGTCATTCAAATTGCATACATTCCCGGCGTCACGAACCGCTCTCCCCCCGAGACCCCCAATACCTTGGTGCCTCCGGTGCCTCCTCTTCCTGGTGCGCACCCGGACCAGCACTTCTTCATGCCTGGTGACCTGCGTGATTCGACCTGGACCACCATGACCGGTCACCAGAGTATGTCGCCTACCTTGCGAAGCAGTGTGGCCACCACGGTTTATCGCAGTGATGCCATCGTGAGCGCCACTCCAGCACAGCAGATCCAGCGCTCGCGGGCCAACATCGTCAGTGTGCACAACGGCCCGGGAGGCTCGGGGCCGGGCGATTCGACTCAACCGACTCCCGTCATGATCACTCCCCGCGATGCCCCTGCCGTTCCGACCATCACCTCTACACAGTTGGCCAAAGCCAGTGCCTTTTCACAAAGCAACAGTTCCATCGTGGCGCGCCAGGTAGTTGCCAAACCTGTCATGGTGCGTGGGCCATCGGTGAAAAAGAAGAACGGGATCACCAACCGCAGCCCTAAGGTGGACGCCGCTGGAGGCGAGCCACCAGCCGGTGCTAAATCCGAGTCGAGCTCCCAACAACTGGATCAGCAATCGTCGACACTGAACAACATCGCCTTTTCCGACGATGACTCCTCCAGCGCCAATGAGACCCGGCCTACCACCTCCTCCAACTCGACCAAGCTCACAGTCCTTACTCCACCTGATGAACCCCCTCAGAGCGAAGGACCTTTCCAGGACAATGCCAGCACCCACAAGAGGTTATCTGCCATTGTCATCGATCCCAAGCGCAGCTCTCAACATACCGACCGGTCTCCACCTCCTCGGGGAGCCAGTCCCTTTTCAGACGACAATGAGATGAGATAGGGCAAGGGTGTCGATGTCAACTCAGACTGCTACTAGGTAGTCACTGATGAGTCTTTTCAAAGTCAAAAGTCTTGCCATCACCTACGCTGTCTCTCCTCCATTTCCCACAACGTGAACTTATCGACATCCTTCTTCTTACTGTCTCTCTCCAAGCGTTACATTTCTCCTCCCTTGTGGCCATGAACTCATCAAGTATCTTTTTTTTGTTCTTTTGTCTACACATTTGATACACATCTCGCCTCGGAGTTGGCTTGGCCCCTTTTTTTTTTCCTTTTGTGGAGTGCTATGTACAGAGAAAAGCACTCTTCATGGTGGATCCTTTCTTGAATAGTGTTTCCCACCTAGTGACATGATCAATCTGCAATCTTTCTATCCTCCATTCTTTTCAAATAGATCAGTATTCTCAACGTAGATTGAAGTCCCAATCGGCTAGCATCAAAATGGCGTGTCTGATCAAGTTCAAGCCCACTACATGTAAGCATGGAGGAAAACACCGTGGTGGCGTGTGAAGGTAGGCCCTACTAATCGTGTCCAGCTTCACTCGAATTATGGATTTGAAAAAAAAGCAGCCGGAGAGCTGTCACTTTAAATGGAAATTCCCCTTGATTGTCTTCACAGCGCTTTATATATATATATATATTCAGCCCATTCAATCTTCCCCACGTCATTGGTGTCAAGCACCAGCAACGCCTTCTTCCAACCCCATTCCACGACCGATCTTGCGAATCAAAGCGCGCTTCAAAAACGCTTCACGTGCCAGACTGCGCGTATGCCGAGACCACGAATCAACTCCAATTACGCCGCGCACGAGCGCCGACTGCAATGCGTACAAGGCGTGTTGGAGACCTTCCTCGTCTGCGACCAGGTCGTACAGTTGTTTGCCTACCACCGTAGGCGCAACGAGAACCTCATCGATGGGTGGAAGACCAGACTGCGAATGTGAATACAAATCTAATGGACCTGCGGCAGTGGATGACGACCCAGTGCTGGAAGAGTGGCCACCGGCTGCGCGGGTTTGGGCGTCGGCGATGGTGGCGTCCGCGCGATGCAGAGCCTGTTGGAGAATGGAGGTGTTGGATTGTAAGGCCGAGTGGAGCGAGTTCAAGGCGGCGACTTCGCCCTGGAGTGTGGACATGGCAGCTTGGAGGGAGCGCGATTGTGCGACGAGAGATTGCGCGGCCGAGTCGGACTGGGTTGCGTGCTGATTCAGGGTCTGCACGAGTGTATGGGAGATTGCATGGAGGAGAGCGTCTTTCTCGGGGTTGGGCGGGATAGGGGGTGCTGGACCGGTAGGAGCAATTGCTGGCAGTTCGACTTCAAATGGGGAAGTGAGGAGGTCGGGAGCATCCTTCTTTGGCGGCGGTACTGCCACTTGAACATGGGAATGGGCAGTAGTAGGTGGATGAGCTGATGATACTGGAAGTGGAGGAGGGTGTCCCTGTCGTGCAGCTTGAGGATGAGGCTGCAACTGCGGCTGCGGCGTCGGTTGGCTCGTCGCAGGCTGGGTTCCTGGAATGTGCGCTGGATGCACGGGATGCAGTGGATGCGCCGAGGCAGGCGGCGATTGGGCATATGGCGGTTGTAGCTGTTGCGGTGAGTATTGAGTCGGGGCTGGTCCACGAGGCGTGTAAGGACTGGCTGAGACCGAGTCACCACCTGGACCAGCTCTGTAGTATGGAGCTGGTGCAGATGATACAGGGACTTGTGGAGGCGGTTGATCTTGGCTGTATTGCTGCGAGAAGCGGGATCCTGAGTACGGCGCCGTCGCCTGGCCCATCGAAGAATGCCGCAACGTCTCGTTCCCTTTTGGTGGTAAAGGAGGCAAAGGCGGCGGTGATTGATACCGATGATCTGCTGCTGGCGCAGGCGTGGGTGCCGGATGAGCGCTTGCGGAACTGGTTCCAGAATTCGGCTTCGGTGGTAACTGCGGGGGCAGATTGGCCGATCGACTCGAACCTTGCGCATATGCTGGACTTTGAGGTTGGCTGGGAGGATGGCCTGCAGCCCCTGGCAGTGGTGGCACTGGAGGTGGTGTCCGAAGTGATATTTGAGGCGATTGCGGTTGAGGAGGCACAGGCTGCTTGTATCGAACGGGGGGCTCCTTGGCGAATACTTCTCTCAGAACAGAGATCAGTTCGGAGATGTTCGACCTCTTGCAAAAAAAAAAAAAAAAAAAAAAACGTCAGCGCTTTGTCTCAGGTTTAGCAGTCATGGAAAGTTGCGACCACACTTACGTCCCACGACTCCGCCCAGTGCGCCAGATAGTGGTGATAGACTCGTCCCTCCAGTGTGACATGTTGCCCCACGCGAATTGCCATGTCCTGAGTCGGCGTGACGTACACCATCGGAGGCTCTCGAGGATACGTATTAGGGATCCAAAGCGCGACTGGGAATCGATATGTTGTGCCGCGAAAGGAGACGGGGACTGTGCCGACCAGATGCAGGAGAAGCGCGGAGAAGCCATTCTCGTAGGCTGGAGGATCAATCGAGTCAATACTGCTGCATCCGGGATGACCTGGACACACGACCTGAACTTACTGTAGACGTCGGTTCGAGGTGAGATTGTAGGATACTGGGCTAGCGTATTGGCGACATCCTGGTACGTCCGATTGGGATCATGGTAGGTCTGCTTCGGATCGTAATGGTCCTGCAACGGCGGGGTTAGTTCAAGGAATTTCATGCGGCAGCCTTGCCATTGTATTGTGCTATTTTACCTTGCAGAGCACAGAGTACAGCCATGTCAGCGTACGCTGAGGGACTGCCATGTCGAGCGAGCGTGGTGTCGACAGTGAGAGTGAACTCGATCAGTCCATTGCGCAACGTGAAATGTGCTCCGCACCTGGGTGAGGTTCCCCCGCAGCCGCGCTTGGCGTCATTCCTTGATGTCAACACTAGACTTTCTCCGAACCCGTCCAGCAGGTACCTCCTACAGACACCAATGCTTGCCTCTGTCATGCGAACAACTACAGGACGGCGCGGAGAATCTTGAGAATTATTGTATCAACTACCAACATACTCGTCGATTGTCGAAAGTGACAAATTTTAGTCCTTCAATCGGATTATCGCATTGCTGCAAATCTAAGTTGACCATCTTGGTCGGATTTTTGAATACCTGTTCTTCATGCTTCACCTCTCCCGCTTCTGCGAATTTCGAGGTTACTCTACTTCCATTGTCAGCCCGTCATTTCGGGGAACGTTTGTCTCAAAAGCAATTATTGATGCTTCATCATTCATGTACTATATGTTCTCAAATCTCTATAACCCAAAATTGTCTAGACGCCACAATGCAAGTCTTGAAGAAAAATCAAAGAAACGAGGAAATCGCAGCGCTTTTAATCAAAGATGGAAGCCTTCATGGAGTTGGGCTGAATATACTCCGAGGCATTGCGGAAGCTGGTAAAGCCCCAGCGGATCTGTCCGGCCATGGCGATCTCGACATCCAGATCCTTGGCAAAGGCCCAGGTCAGACCAGTGTCACGCTGGAAAGCGCGTCCCACCAAGATCACATCAATATCATCCTCAGTGAGGGCCTTCTCGGCAGTGTTGCCGTTGTTGATCATGCCGACGGCAGCCACAATGAGCTTGTCACCAACAGCCTTCTTGACGGTCGCGGCGAAGGGCACCTGGAAAGCAGGACCCGAGGTGATCTTCTGGGCGGCGTGAACACCACCGCTGCTGATGTCAATCAGATCAATAGCACCCTGCTTGGCAAGCGCGCGGGAAAATTCCACGGTATCCTCCAGGCTCCAACCTTGCCTCTCGGAAACGTTGTCCTCGAGCCAGTCGGTAGCAGAGACACGCAGGAAGACGGGCATGTTGGGACCAACGGTGTCACGGGTGAGCTGGGCAATCTCGAGAGAGAGACGGATGCGGTTCTCGAAGCTACCACCGTACTCATCGGTGCGCTGGTTGGCCGAGGTGCTGAGGAAGGAAGACAGCAGATAACCGTGAGCATTGTGAATCTCGATGAAGTCGACACCGGCGGCCAAGGCGCGCTTGGTGGCGGCGACCCAAGCGTTCTTGACTTCTACAATGTCCTCCTTGGTCATCTCCTTGGGAACAACATCGTTCTCAGAGAAGGGGATAGCACTGGGGGCTTTAACATTGTCGGTCCAGCCACCCACGGCGTTGGTGGCGGTCATACCGCCCAACCATGGGGGCACGGTCGAGGCCTTGCGACCAGCGTGAGCCAGCTGGATACCGATCTTCTGGCCCTGGCTGTGGGCGAACTCCACGACCTCCTTCAGAGGCGCGATCTGGGAATCCTTCCAGAGACCCACACATCCAGGAGTGATCCGGCCCTCGGGAAGGACGCCGGTAGCTTCAATGATAATCATGCCGGGACCGCGCTGAGCGATACCACCGTAGTGGGCCATGTGCCAAGGGGTCATGTGTCCATCTTGGGCACTGTACTGGCACATTGGCGCGACCTGTTATTGAGAGGAATTGTGAGTCTTTTGTTTCATCCAACACGAGACGGGCTGAAACAAGGGGGGGGGGGGAAAGACAGTGTCGCGAAAATGCCCGTCAAGTCGCAGAGTAGCGTATCAACTTACACCAAGGCGATTCTGGAAAGTTTGACCACGAATGGTCAAGGGCTTGAACAGCTTAGGAATTGGCTTGCCGCTGGTCTGCGGGTTGCGAGCAGTGCCCGCAGGCGGGTACTGCGCCGGCGTGAAGTAGGAGATGCCGGGCGCCGGAGCGATAGGAACGTCAGCCCAAGTCATGATGCACGAGACTGTAGAGGTGATGTGGCGAGAATAGGGTATCGTAAAGAGACTTGAAGACACAGAAGAACTTGAGCACTTTGGAGGGTCAAGAAGAGTGGGCTAGACATGATCTTAATGCTTTATATCTCAGTCGGACCGATTGCCCATCTGATTTCTAAGCTCTCCCATCATGTCTTCTGCGACTGGATATCAAATTTGAAGATAGAGGACCCGCTGTGGTCCTGGGGTCGGGCGTCGAGAATTGTGGACGAGATCACCAAGTTTTCCATCTCATCATCGTTCACCTTCGATACCCACCTGCGACGAATTCCGTCGAAATCGATGGTTGGCGGCGAATGATCTCCGTTCCTGCAGGGCAGTCGGGGATCGGGCGAAAGCCGGAGAGTTTTGTGATTCGTGGAAGCGTCCACCCAAAAGGCACGAGGGCGACAGTCTTTGTCAGCACTTTAAATGCCCGCCGTGGACTGGACGGGAGTGAACTTTGAAGAGACCGTCGAGATGTGGCACCGGGCCGTTTTTTTCTTCAGGAGTCGTTGCAGTGGAAACTGAAAGTGGACACGACTCGTCCGCGTTCTGGCCAGTTGATCAGGTTGATCCCATCATCAGTATCGACTATCGACTATCGACTGGCCGACCGGCTCTCGGTCGAGCATCGGCCCAACATCCGTTGACGATGAATTCTTGACCGCTCACCCCGAAAAGTCTCCGAAGTGCCCGAGAGCCACGGGGTGGGGCGGTTCAACAAGTCTCCGAGTTGATGCCAAAGCAGAGACGAACCCTTCAAGTTGCAAGGGACGTGACAAGTGCGGGAGAGAGAAGCCAGTGACGTAATAGTAAGTACGGGCGTCGGGTAGTACCGTAGTAGCAGTACCTTAGTAACGATCTCGGATCTACTAGTTCTTCACTTCATACTTACTTCCTAGTGAGCCGCCCTTCTGGGTATGACCGGCAGCATCTGGAACTGTCAATTTTTTCTCGGGTAGAGTGCCTCAGCACGGGCTTCAGTCACTCGACAAAGGACGTCTTTTTCTTGCGAGTCGTTTGCAAACATGATGGTGCAGCGGAGATACTCGCTCATCGTCAGCACGGACCAGCCAGACCTAGATTTGGGTCCTCAGCGTGCTGTGAGTGAAACCTAGTTCCAGCCTTCGAACTACGGCCGAGGAAGTATGACTCGAGTACGAAAGCTATGCTGAGTTCAAAGCGAGATATGTGAGATGCTTGCCGGCCCCTCTTCCGAGTCAGGAGCCGAGTCTGGCTGACGGAAGCTGCTCGAATGTCGAACTGGGTGTCCACTCGTGTGAGGCTGAAAGATCAGACTGGTTTCCTTCGATGGCCGGCTGCTAGACATGCACCGACAAGAGTAAGACCAAAAGTAAGACCGTGTTCATATCTGCATTTCAGCGGGCAAGTCTTGGTGAAGGGTGCCCCTGAATAGAGTGTATCTCTTACCACTTCCATAACGAAGACTACCATTACTACTACTATTACTCCTACTGTTACTACTATTATTACTACTACTATTACTCCTACTGTTACTACTATTATTACTACTACTATTACTCCTACTGTTACTACTATTATTACTACTATTATTACTACTATTATTACTACTACTACTACTACTACTACTACTACTACTACTACTACTACTACTACTACTACTACTACTACTACTACTACTACTACTACTACTACTACTACTACTACTATTACTACTACTACTACTACTACTACTATTATTATTATTACTACTACTACTACTACTACTACTACTACTACTACTACTACTACTACTACTACTACTACTACTACTACTACGAACCATCACCACCACCACGACTCCGTGAAGTACAGGCTGAGGTATACTAGAAATATTCTACTTCTGCAACCTGCTACGTAATGATACGAGCAAATATCCGTCTTCATTTGCTTATGTTGGAAAATAGGTACCTGTAACTACTCGTCAACTACATAAACTGTTAATAGTATGGACGTTCCAGGGTCCAGGCGAAATAACGTCTCAACGAGCCGGGGATCCCAAGTGCGTGACGGTAGAGTCGCCGAGTTTGAATCTCCTCGCCTGCACTTGAAACATCCTCTAATTGTACCAGTAAGACGGGAAGGACCTAGATCTGTCGACGCATGCTGTCGGGTCCAATCTTTCCGCCGTTCTGCGTACTGCTAAAGCTCTAGAGCCTGGAGCCTGATCTGAATCGGAGGAGGTGCATTGTTCTTCAAGCCCCACATGGTATTGTTCTCTCCTCCTCGCCTCGATGTAGGCTTTGACTGCCATCAGATCATGGACCACTCATACAGGGACATCAGACACATCCCGGGGCCATCTGAACATCTGGAGAGACATCGGTGGCATTCATCAACCATTGTTTGTTTCGGCAACCACGATGCCATCGGAGAACAATCCCCTCCCCTTGGTTGCCTGTCAGAAGACAACATCTCTCCACAACCGCAAGATGTTCGAACTTGTTGCCTCTAGGTGCTCTCAATCGACTTATATACTGCTGCATTTCCTAATGACATCCAGCAAAGAAGGATTCAACCTGATGAAAGACACTTGAGCATAACAGACTACCGATCCATCGTCGAAAGAACTGAATCGACCCGCCTTCAACCGATTTCCATTCCTTTGAAGTTGATACAGAGGAGTTTCATACCGCTGGACGGTCTGAAAAGACGAGATAGTTCTCGTTCTTTTCTCCCCCCTACACACTCGCAATGGCGACGTTTGAGCCCTACACCCAAACTCACCCTTACCGACTGCCCAATTTTAACCCGCTCACGCAGCAATTCAATCTGAGCTATCCCGATGGTAGCCCCCTCACGATCACAGTCCCTGACGTGGACACCTTTATCCAATACAACATCCGCATCTGCATCAACTATGGGACGCAATTCGGTGCATCGATCGTGCTCCTCGTGATCTTACTGCTGCTGACTCGACGAGAGAAACGCGCGTCTTTGGTCTTCCTGTTCAACTCGGCGGCTCTTTTGTTCAACATCGTGCGGCTCCTCCTGCAGCTCGTTCACTTTACGACCGGGTTCGAAAAGTTCTACCCCTACTTCTCTCTGGACTATGCCTCGGTGCCAAGCAGTGCATATGCCATCTCCATCACGGGCAGCGTCTTTGAATCTCTGGTGGTGGCATGTATCGAAGCCTCGCTGGTGATTCAAGTGCACGTCGTCTGCGCCACCGTTCGCCGTCAATATCGCTGGCCCTTGCTGGCGCTGTCCTGCACCGTCGCCGTACTCACCATCGCATTTCGACTCGCATGGATGGTCGAGAATTGCATCGCAATCATCCAGGTCTCGTACATGAACACCATCTGGTGGCTGGAGAGCGCCTGCAACATCGTCATCACCATCAGCGTCTGCTTCTTCTGCGCCGTCTTTGTCACCAAGTTGGGCTTTGCTCTACGCCAACGCCGCCGTCTAGGGGTGCGCGATTTCGGCCCTATGAAGATCATCTTTGTCTGTGGCTGTCAGACGCTGACCATTCCGGCCGTCTTCTCCATCACGCAGTACTTTGTCGTCTTCCCCGAGCTCTCCTCCAATCTCATCACTCTGGTGGCCATCTCGCTGCCCCTGTCATCCATCTGGGCCGGCGCCAATCTCGACCAGGGCGTTCACCACGAGACCCAACCTTTGCATCGTCGGAACCTCTGGCGCGGTCTCGCTTTCGGCATCGACAGCACCACATTGAACAACACGGCCACAACGGGGAAGAAGATGACGGAAATGACCGACAGTACTGCGGCCCAGACGCTGTGTTACTCGGATCAGCCGATGAGCATGCTGAGCAAGTCGTCGCGTGATTCTCTGGACCCCCACGGCATCTGTGTCGAGCATGATATCTCGGTCGAGACTGAACGACGAAAGCGGTCTATTGTCTAACGTGCATCTGGCTCATCGGGTGCTCTTCTCGCCTTCACCAATTTCCCTTCTTTACTGCATTTCTGAACCACGATCGAGTGGTCCTCTCGATGGAGTTACCATCTTGTTTTTCCTTCTCTTCTCTTCTCTTCTCTTCTCTTCTCTTCTCTTCTCTTCTCTTCTCTTCTCTTCTCTTCTCTTCTCTTCTCTTCTCTTCTCTTCTCTTCTCTTCTCTTCTCTTTCCTTTTTTTTTTTTTCTTTTCTTTCCTCCTCATTGCGGTGCCCGTCATCTTTCCCTTCTTCTCAATATACCGAGACCTTTTTTTTTCTTTTTTTCTCTCTTTTTTTTTCAAAAAATGAATAGCTTCATTCATTCATTCTGCTTTGTCACCTCTTCTTCCTAATTGAGCAGACCAGTTATCATTAGACCCATAGTAACAGAGAATCATACACTTTGATCGCCGAGCATATTGAAGCTGTCAGACTCAGCAGTGGATTTTCTTCATACACTTGGTTCATCTCGCGACAACATGAACTCATGTAGTGTTCCCACTCCCCAAGACTTGCTGTGAAAAGCAAACATCTTTATTGTGAAAGACAGCTGTTACGTGCTTGGAAAGGGAAGATAAGCCGGGAAGGATGATGTTGATGGTATCCAAGAATGGTACCCAACCGCTCGTAATTGGCAGACCAGATTAAAAAAGAGTTGAAGAAAAAAAAAATCAAGATCTTGTAGGCTATGTACACAAGAAACGCTCTATGTCATAGAACCATAATGTGCTCTCAAAGGGAACACTTGGAAAGGGCGATCAGGGGCAAAGGGCAATGGAATATAGAGGCCAATCAAAGAGCATATTTGAAAGAGGCAAAAGCAAAAACAGGACATCTCTCTTTTCCATGCTATTGGAACTTGACGTAGTTGGCTACAGTCCACGGTCAGTAAAGGGGAGAAAGCGAAGAGGGTGAGAGACCCTTGTCATCACAAGAGAAAAAAAAAAACTTACCAGGGAATTGACCTTCACGACCGTCGACCCGTCCCGTCCACCACTCATTCTGATTATCGGTTCGAGTCACAATCTCGATCACGTCACCCGCCGAGAAGCCTAAATCACCGTGCGCTTGTGCCTCATAGTCGTAAAGCGCGACAACGGTCTCGACCGGCTTGCTGAGATGCGCTGGTTTCGCCCGAGGAGGTGGCGGAGCGGGCTTTGCCTTGGCGGCCGCGGAGAAAGTGCCGGCGGTGGGGCTCGGCGATGCAGCCGCAGAGTAGGGCGGGGGAGGATTCTCAGACGAAAGCGAGGAGGCACGCCCACGGCCACCCTTGGCCTCGGTAGCCTTGAGCGAGTTCAATTTCGAATTTGTACGACCCAAGCCCTTCGTCTTGAAATGCACAATCAGCAGCGCTTCGGCGCGTTCTTGCACATCGCCGCGCTTCTGCTCAAAGGCTTCTTCCACGTCCATCGCCAGGTTGAAATAGCTGATATTCATGCCCTGCATCTTCTCGTGCAACGTGTAGAACACGTTCAGTTGCATGTAGTAGAACGATTGAAACAGCGGACGGATGAACTCGGCCTCCAGCTGGAACAAGCGGGGCAACTCGTCCTTGAGCAGGTCGTTGTAGTAGTTGAATTCCTGCGTGGCCTGCTCGACGTCATTCTCCGCTTTATACAACGCTTTCTCATCCTTGAGCGACTTGTCCTTCTTGTCCTGCAGCTTTTTCAAGCTGGCGCGATGGCGATCGTAGTCGAGTTGTTTGTGGTCGCGCTTGACGGCGACCTTGCGGATCACCTTGATCACCTCCAAGAGCTGATCGGCTGGGCTGATGATGCGACTTTCGATCATCTCCAGCTCCGGCGCAAGGGACTCTTGCAACTCTCGTACAATGGCTTCGTAATCTTCACAGGCCTGAATCCCCTCGGGATTGCCTTCAAACTTGAACGATTCGGGGTCGGATGCACGACCGGAGATGGGTTTGTAGAGTTCGGCGATTGCTTTTGAGAATTCGATCTGATGGCTGAGCATACCTATGCAGGGTGATTAGATCGAGCCTCTTTCTTTTGCGCTCCATGCTGGCCCGACCGCGAGCGGCGACGGAATTGTGCCCACTCGGTGATCGAGCGAGGATGACAGGTTGGATGGATCCTTACCATTGATCGCGTCAAAGTATTTCTTGGATTCATCGTGCAGCTTCTTGGTCTCCCTCTCGAGCTCGTCAAAGCGACGCTCGGCATCGGTGTAGACGGCATCCTTGGTGTGTTCACCAATGTTGAATTTGGCCTTGATCTGCTGCGGGGCACGCACGATGCTCTTCTGGAAGCCCTTGAAGCTCATGACGACGGGAGGGGCAGTGACGAGTTCCCCGGAGACGTGGGTAAGAAAGTTGCGTTCGGAGAGGTGGAGGGGGGGGTGCTTGAGGAGCGCACACCTTCAGAGGTGAGGTATTGGAATCAGAGCTCGAAGACGAAGAGAGAGGGAGAGAGGGAGAGCGAGAGTGAGGTTCTTCACAGATCTCGGTCGGCTGGGACGGCCACTTGGAGGGAGATTGATGAGGAAAGGGAAGAGCAGCGACGGAAGAGCGTGAGCAGTGGAGCTGCTGGGCAGTTCCATCGATTTTGGGGTTCTCTCAGCTTTCCGGACGGGGCCTGTTCCCTATGACATAAGACTCGGCTTGTCGGGTTCGGGGACACCACAAGGCTGTGGGAGTTCGTCCTGTACATGATTGCTACCTGAATAGTGAATACTGTACCTGACTGCGCAGTGCCTACAACTGCTACATATTCCATACTATATGTAGTCAGTAAACTAATTAATGCAATGCTTTATAAGTGTACCACTTTCTATACCCAAGTACTTTTCTTCGTTGGAAAGCTCCAAATTTCCCTTGACAATGTATGGGTGCGCATATTCGTGCATCGTGCCAATGTACATCATTGTACTGCACGATGACCCCGAGGCGCAGGCGGCAGGCGTGGTGTTCGTGTGGCTTGTGGCTGTGTCCGTCCATCCGGCAATCGATCGCTGACGAGCATCGTCGATGGCGCACACGTTTTCTCCATTCCAACTCTTCAAGCCTCACGTGGTCCGTGGCTGGAGCCAGTCAGCGGAATAAGCACAACAGATCGGATGTTAGACCATCTCGAGGTACCTTGCTGTTGAATTTTGGAGAAAGAGGTAGAGCGCCATCTCCCATGCTAGAAGACCAAAGGGCACAGCAGTCATGTCAGATTGACACAAGCACAGGGCGGCTTAGGCTGCCGTAATTCCTGCAAACCAACTCTGGAAGCCTAAATCGTGGCGTATGAGGGCAGGACTGGGGAATTGGGAACGGGTACTGTGTGAGCATTGCCGACCGTTGGCAATCGCCCATTGAGCTACAGTAGTGAACCGGTCAAGTGTTCAGTTGCATTCAAGCTTGTCCCTGGGTTCCAATGACTGGAAGAGGTAGTCGGTTGATCGAAGTCGTCCCTTGGTCATGTCGTGCTTGAGGGAGTTTTGTGATTCTGTTCGTGCTCTCGAGGGACTGATGTCAGTTCCGCAACTCAAAATGCGGCTGGCAACCCGACGGGGTACGATTTCCATGCAGGAGAGAAGGCTCCAGGATTGCGAGGAAGATACCTCTTATCGATGGTTTGCGTAAGGAAAGACTGTCTTGTGTGTCGCACTACCACATACGGGGATTTGGTAATACATCGAGAATTCCAAAAATATAAAGTTTTTCATTGAGTCGACGGTGGAAAATCGTGTCCCTTAAATCGCGACCTAACAACATCGCGAAACCCCATCTCGAGCGCCAACCCCCAGATCGAAGGTTAAAAAAATCAGGTGCAATGGTCGAGAGGCATTCTCAAATCCCAAGCTGCATAGAGCAGTCCTCGATGATAGCATGCCACTCTTGGACGCATTCTTTGGAAAGCATGCGTGCAATCATGAAGCTTTCCTTCTCGTGGGAACCTGGACCCTGTCCAGAAGTTCAACCAGTTCCGAGTAGCTCTGGTACATGCAATCTGCAATGAATGGATGTCAGCAGACATCCAACTGAGACTCACTGAGCTCTGGTCTCTTACATGCTGGAATCACAATCCAAAACGAATTCATAAAGATAAAGTATCCAAAGTAGTAGTAGGCCTCAGGCCGTGAGTAGGAAACCGCGTGATGGTACTCGTCCATCATGCTTGTGGCATAGTACAGGATATCTCCGTAGAGCTGGCCCATTGAGACCAAAAGCTGTGTTGGGTAGCGACAAGGAGACCTCACAACAATCATCCAAGCCGTGAGGAATGAAAGCGGTCCCCATGCAAACTATATCGTTGGATTAGCTCCGAGTGAAATCGGACGCCATCGACAAAACAAGAACATACGGCAGTGATAGCCTCCATACAGAGTACGAATGGTTCCGAGGTCAGATACCGTGAATCAGCCTGGGCGTATTCCTTCCACAGCTGGCCGAAGAGGTCCATCATGCCGGGCATTCTCTGATGATTGAAGACAAAATAACCCTCGAAGAAAAAGTGTATGCATCCGGCTTGAAAATTCAATCCCCGTTTCAATGTCAGGTATGTCCACCTCACATCATATTTTCTGCAAACAGCCACGGAATGTACTTACTGTAGACGAACCATCCTGCAAGCACTTTATCACGGCGGGTCAAGGTCGGGCGTAGAACGTTGAGACCAGCTGCGGTGAGGCAAAATATCACCAGTGTCCCAAATGTGAAGCTGCTGAGAAGCGCAGGAAGGCTCATCGTATTCGCCATATAATCAGTGAACTCAATGTCGGTGGGATGGTAAGGGTGACTGAGAGTCTTCATCGTTGCAGTGAGGTACTTTGCGAGCCTCGAAGGTACTTCGGCTGCATATCCACGTTCCCTGATAACTGCCCGCAATGGCCAGAGGGAAAAGATGGTGCCGGTGGATGGTTTTTGAAGGAGATGTGAGGGTACTACCTCAGCTACGGACTGTCATGATCATCAAACAAAGTTTGACCATCCAAAGACCAGACTGCATCGACTGATTCGGATGCCCAGGTTCCGCTGTGAGACACGGGATTCGGGGATGCGCAAGTGGCCGAGCGAGGTGCTGAAGAAAGGGAGCAGTGACCCCCGAGACAGACTTCCATCGATTTACACAGAAAGAGGAAAGGACGACCTAGAGAAACAACATCAAGATTTGATTTAAGTCTAAGATAGACAGACACGCAACGAGATCGAGAGATCAATTCAGATTGACTCCAGGAGGTGGAAGCAGGATCACGGTATGGATAAGTCGGAAGTCAGATGACACTCCAACAGCTGGCAGTCTCCTGGGGGGGGAGGTTGATTCCATGTACAGGTGAATGTAAAAAAGGGCCGAAGAAGGACTAATAGGTTACCTATGGCTTGTAGTTTGCCTTGGCCAGGTCATTCTAGAGGCTCTTGGCAATGATCATAGGTATAGTTAAGAGGCATAAATCAAGTGCGATTTACAAGAGAACGATGGGATCACCCTCATTTCTCTACCTGTCATTTAGCCTGCTGGGCATTTGAACGTATTCTTACTGGCAAGAAGTTAGTTGCAACAGGAGATTGAAAGCCTCTCCGCGCAATCCATGGCGGCTGAACCACCGGAAAGACTCGCCTGATAAAGACTTGGTACAATATCACCACCTAGTCACCCACGTCTCGACGCAGCCCAAAGACTCTACATTATTATTAAAGTGGCGGCGCTTCACGGACCTCCCGACTTGGTAACTGCAAGAAGATCATTCTTCTAGGGTGGAGTGCCTCAGGAGTCAGGACAACGAACTTCCCCCGGGTCAATCCAATCCCCGGTTTGCCATATCGGGAATTTCCCGAGTTTATCGGCAAAACGGCTACCGCCCGGCAGTATCATCACCGAGCTGTTTCTTTTCAGGTCTTGGCTTATCAATCTTTCCCCATCAACAGACTGACTTCATTTCAAAATACCGTCATCATGTCTGCTGCTGGTCCAGCTGCTTGGAGACATGCTTCTCGCGCCTGCTCAAGGCGCCTCCCGGCTCCCGGCGCCTTTGCAACCCCTCGACGCTCCCTCGCCACTGGTCTCCGCGGTGCCCGCACCTATGTTACCGAGACCAAGGCTGGACAAGCCCAGGTCAATGTCGATACCGCCATCAAGGATGAACAGAAGTCTTTCATGAAGCAGACTGGCGTCGCTCCATCAACTGCTACATTGTCTGCTTCGGGCATGTCAGCCGATGCGGCGATGAGTCCTGCTGCCGGCGTCCTGAAGCAGGCGACCGTGATGGACCAAGGAACTCGCCCCATGTACCTCGACATGCAAGCGACAACCCCCACGGATCCCCGGGTTCTCGATGCGATGCTGCCGTTCTTGACCGGGATCTACGGTAATCCTCATTCCCGTACCCATGCATACGGCTGGGAGACAGAAAAGGCTGTTGAAGAGGCCCGCGAGCACGTCGCCAAGCTGATTGGTGCGGATGCCAAGGAGATCATCTTCACCAGCGGCGCCACTGAGAGTAACAACATGAGTCTGAAGGGTGTTGCGCGCTTCTTCGGTCGATCGGGTAAAAAGAAGCACATCATCACCGTGCAGACCGAGCACAAGTGTGTCTTGGACAGTTGCCGTCATCTGCAGGACGAGGGATTCGAGGTCACCTACCTGCCTGTGCAATCCAACGGTCTCGTTCGTATGGAGGACCTGGAAGCCGCCATGCGCCCGGATACCGCAATCGTCAGTATCATGGCCGTGAACAATGAGATCGGTGTCATTCAGCCCCTGGAAGAGATTGGCAAGCTGTGTCGGTCAAAGAAGATCTTCTTCCATACCGATGCCGCCCAGGCTGTGGGCAAGATTCCCATGGATGTCAACAAGATGAACATTGATCTCATGTCCATCTCAAGTCACAAGATCTACGGTCCCAAAGGTATTGGAGCTTGCTATGTCCGTCGTCGTCCTCGTGTCCGTTTGGATCCGATTATTTCAGGAGGCGGCCAAGAGCGTGGTCTCCGCAGTGGAACACTTGCACCGCACTTGGTGGTTGGCTTTGGCGAGGCATGCCGTATCGCTTCGCAAGAAATGGAGGTAAGCACAAATTGCCTTTTCGGAGTCTTCCTCTCTTGAAGATTTTCCGTTGTAGCCTCCTGTTCCTTTTTTTTTTTTTTTTTTTTTTTCGATTTCAGATTTCCGTGAAGCTCTAGAAGTCAAGACCCATGAGGTTTGGTGCTGAGTAGATGCTAATTGGGCATTTCATAGTACGATCACAAGCACATTTCGCGCCTGTCAAAGCGTCTTAGTGACAGCCTGCTTGGGTTGGAGCACACCACGCTCAACGGTGATCCTGTGGCTCACTATCCGGGTTGCGTGAACATTTCATTCTCGTATGTCGAGGGCGAGTCTCTTCTGATGGCTTTGAAGAACATTGCTCTGTCTTCGGGCAGTGCGTGCACGTCATCCTCCCTGGAACCCAGCTATGTCTTGCGTGCCTTGGGTAGCAGTGACGAGAGTGCCCACAGCAGTATTCGTTTCGGTATCGGTCGATTCACCACCGACGCCGAGATTGATTACGTTCTCAAGTATGTTCACGAACGCGTGGAGAAACTCCGTGATATCAGTCCTCTTTGGGAAATGGTTCAGATGGGAATCGACTTGAAGACGATCCAGTGGAGCCAGCACTAGGGAATCTGCTCGTTTGGTCATCGATTGTGCTTTCCCGTTCGCCTTGCTTCTTCTCACCCAATATGGTATAATGGTTTCTCGCCCTGGAGGACGACTCTGCTACGTTTCCAGGGAAAGGCGTTGTGGTATGAATGCATGTAAGAGTAAATTTCCGCTTTTATGTACAGAATGCAAGAAACAGTTCCTCACTCAAATGTCGGGTGGAAGGCGTGATTCTAAATGGATGGATCTCGGTCAGGGATAAGGGGCAATCTGCCAGTCTGGACTTTCAGACCTAGTACCCACGATCCTTGTAAGTCACTCATTTACAACCTACATACCTACGTAGAGCATCACGGCTCATCTGGCGAGACCAACCACTAGCGCGACAAGGGTTCGGCTGAGAGAGATATCAAACACTACATGATCGATGAACGTCCGATCTTGTAAGCAAAAGTCAGGGTTGCTCTGCGGTCAATACTGAGGTGATGGCGTGGACGCCCTTCCCTGTCCCGCATCTGCCAACTCTATCGATTCATCCCGCACATCCAACTGCACCGTTTTAAAGATCTGCAACCCCCGCGCATCAGCAGGCCGATCGATCATCGGATCGTCCTCCCTCTCCCACCCTCTGACCGCACACGCCGAACTATGATGACCCATGGGTTTTGCAGCCGGGCCCGCAGTCCCGGAGGAGAAGCGCTTGGATTTCGAACGAGAGGTGGACGTCCCGTCGCTGTATGAAAGGGTCTTTTTGTCCACGAAGACGACGATGAATGACTTGAGGAAGGCGGCGATGAGACAGACGACGCTGATTGCGATGTAGACCTCGGTTGTGACGGTGGAGTAGGCTCCCAGGAGCACGGGGTCGGTCGATACGATCTGTTGGTGCATGTAGTAGAGTCGGATGGCGGCGAGGGGAATGAGCCTGCAAGACAAGGCGAGGCGATGGGTCAGCGGCGGGGTTGAGAGGCAGTGTAGATTCAGTTCGGCCGGGGGAGAGGGGGTTTTTTTTATTTTTCTTTTTGGAAACTCACATGATACGGCTCTCGAGGGTGATTCCAATAATGAGCTTTTTGCGCAAGGAGATTTGAATCCTGTGGATTGCGAATCCCGCATAGGCGAAGAGTAAGAGCTCCGTAACAATGTCAAAGACGGTTATCGCGATCCAGCGCGGGAACTGCCGAGGTTTTCGGAATTAGCATACATGAAGATCTCACGAGAGACACGGAAACGCTGTATCGTTTCGATTGACGATACGAGATCGGTTCCTCACCAGACTACCACATTGCGAAGCACTCAGGTCGAGCCACGGTTGGTCACTGCAGCGAACTCCCACCAATACTATAGATAAGACGGTCCAGAGAAGCATTGCGACGAGAACGCCTCGGATGAGGTGGAGTTGAAGTTGGGAGAATAATGTTTCGTAGAATATACAGGAGGTGACTTTGGAGAGGCCTAGGGCTAGGATGGCGAGAAGATCGCCTACGTATGCGGTCTGCATTTTGGTCAGCGCTGGCTGAGCCGTCAATTTTTCGAGAGAAAGCGAAAGAGAAAGCGAGTGGGTGAGTGTGTGAGAGAGTGAGAGAGTGAGTGAGTGTGAGAGTGAGAAGGAAAGTCGGAATGTGCCGACTGACCTTGAGCATTGAATCATCGCGAGATGAATGAGTTTCTCCATGCACTCCCCAGCCCAGGCGGACCTGAGACAGCACCACGCCCGTCTGAGCAATGGCAACGATCTATGGACGGTCATTCATCAGCGGCATGTCAGATAGACAGGATCGAGGTCTTCGTGTATCGCTGAATATCCTCGTAGAACATATCACTGAGGGAATTGAGGCCATGCGCATCAATTCTGATCTGATCGCTTCCCGGCGGTGGTGGAAGACTCACCACCATAATGGCAAAGAGCAAATCATCCCGCTGGAAGATATGTCGTTGACACGCCGAGTATATCCGCGCTGCCATAGAGGACAAGATCACGACCAAAGCCAAAGAAGTCCAGATCACTATCAATCCGCCGTGATTATCCGTGGTGTCTATCGTGAGCGGCGGGGATACACCCGGCGGCAGTGACGTTGCGGGTGTCGCCGGCATGGCGAGGTCGAGTGAGGATATCAGTCCCTCCGGGGCTGGAACTAGTGCCAGGAGGAGAATGCGGAGGACGAGAAGAGCAGACACAAGGAGAGAAGGGTTGGATCAGATAATGAGGTGTTGCGCCAGGCTGAGACGGGGAACGAACTATCGATACATTTGAGAGGAGGAGAGAGAGAGAGAGAGGGGGGGGTTTGTTGAGTGATTTGCGACGCTAGATTGATCGATTCCTTTGCTCCGTCTTGGTGGACGAGTCTTGAGCAAGAAATGCTGGCCGAGGCAAGTGAGATAGCCTCAAGCAACGCTTTGCCACAGTCAATTTGGGCGCGAACGGTGGGGGGGTGCAAGACGTTTTAATTGGGACTGGCTGGGCGAACAAATCGAGTAAAAGGTATACAAGGTGTCAAAGGTATAATAATTAACCCTCGTGGGGACGAACAGACGACCTGCAAAGTGGTCAATGATCAATGATCGATGGATCGAGGACTCGAGCCCTGAAAAGGATGAATGATGACAATGTCCCAATGCCACCATGCCACCATACCACCATGTCTCCCTCCTGCAGATGGCCAGGATTCGCTGCGTCCGCCCTTCGACCCGGCCTCCAAGAAGGGTTATTCTTAGACCCGATCTTGGCTCTTGACCGAAGAACGCTCCAGGTTTTCCCCCTCCCAAAAAGGACAGAGTGCATCAAGGGGCGTGGGTCGAGAAGGGGCAGGGGGTTAGTCTGGGGGGAGGTTACGTTGTGCCGCATGGGCTGTCGTCAATAATCGCCAGACCTGAAATATGTGGCACGAGCACGAGGAGGAGGAAGAGGAGGAGGATGTTGAGATCGTGGAACTGGAGTCCTTCCCCGGGTGTCAGATCCATGCTCCGACGTGCGCCTCTTCGGGGAAGAGCCAAAGCATGGCTGCTGGACATGGGGCCGGAGATGGTCGCTGCCTCCGCATACCGTTGGCTGAAACAGTCAGTCTATGCGCTCGACTATGCAGTCACAGACCGCAGACTACAGACTCCAGACACGGAGTCCAAGATTGACAGGTGCAGCTTGAAACGTGCCCCGATCGACAGCTTATGCATGGGTGAGTGCGTATGAGAATGCTATTGTGTTTGGGGTTGCATAATTTTGCTTTTCTGGTTTCAAATCTAACGCCTCCTCGTAGTATAATACCTGACCTATGAGTCTACGTACCAGGGTAGTCAATATCATCCACGGAAAAAGAAAAAAAAAATAACAGATCCTATGATGTTGAAACACGCATGGTATTCCCTATTCAACCTCTTTCCGTGCCCCGTTGGGCCCTGGACACGTGAAAAGTCTGCCCTCTGATCATGATTGTTTATCCCTGCATGGACCAGTGGGCAGAGGCCAGTTGGTTCATCGGGGAGGAAACTCGAGGGAAGTGAAGAGTTGGAGGTCGACCCTTTCGAGGAGATACGATCGAATGTAGAGTGCGCCCGCCCAGTCTTGTTGGTGGCGCCGATCATGTCTCCTTCCAGCACTCTACATCTGCAGGGAGGTGATGCAGCTACAGAATACCGTCGTACTCGACTCGCCAGTAGGGATGCATTGCCAAGACGTGAGGAATGCTCGCATGGTAGCGGAGTCGACTGCTAAATTTGTTCAGTCTTTAGTGATAGTAGTAGTGATGGTGGTGGTGATGGTGGTAGTGATAGTGGTGGTGATGGTGATGGTTCGTAGTAGTAGTAGTAGTAGTAGTAGTAGTAGTAGTAGTAGTAGTAGTATACATCCTCGACCGCGGTGCCCAGCCACTCCAACAGTAGAAAGATCCTGCACGGGATGAATCACGAGACTCGCGTCTCTGTAGTTCGGTACATGACCTTGATGACCTGACTAGGTGCAGGGGAAGACTAGGTACGTACATATTTGTGAGGACCTCAAGTTGCATCATTCCAGGCAGACGCGGCTGGAAAATAGGCGGTCGTCAAAGGTCGTTCAGTCGTCTGCACACATGGCCAACACGCGGTGACGATTCCCCCCGGTGGTTCGTCGGTGGCTGCAGTCGGGAATGTGAGATGATGATGAGGACGTCGCCACGGCGTGGATGCCACTCACACCGTCCACCCGGTCCGGACGACATGCACCGATGTTCCCGTTCTCCCGGCCATCCCACATTTCCACCAGCCTTGCACCACGCAACAAAATGCTCGATTTCTGTTGAGGCAATACTGAGGAAGAAGTCAGTAGTAGTACTTCCAAGTAGTACCGACGTACCGAGTACAGCCTCTGCAGAGGCTATTCCGGTGCTAATGCCAAACTCTAATCGTCGATGGCCCCAGTTCGGGTCCCAGAAAGGTGGAAAGTGCGCGGATCAAGGAGGAATGGATCCATTTTGGCATCCACAAGTGGAAAAGGCTGGAGGTCCCAGCCACGGCGGGTAGGCCCGCTGGAGGAGATTCTGGAATGGCGCCCAGAACGTCCCAACGTCCACCCTTCAGAGGATCGCCGTGGTGGACCGACTACAAGTCTACAAGTACACCATCTGATCGGGGCATGGAGGAGTCTCGAAAAGGCAGTCGCGGCACGACCCCATCAATACTACATCCGTCTTTGCTCCCGACTCCAGCATAGAGGATCATCAATCCTGATCATCCCTGCTGATAACTATCCCCGACCGAGTGCGATTGTCTGCATGAAACTCGCCAGCTTCTGCATCCAGACTAGTGGCAGAAGCCGAAAGATGCAACAACGGTTGCGCAATTACCCAGTTATGCCTGGAGAAGATCCTATCCCGCCTCGATGAGAAAGAAGAATGCAACCCTCAGCAAATGATCATACCGGAGTCGTGCTGGAAGATGACCCACAGCTTCATCGCCTGCCGAAGCCCCGAGGCATTCTTCCAAGGGCAACCTCCCCCCATGCGTGATAAACTGGAACTTTATTACCTGATCCATGCCCCCCTGCCGTCCCGCATCATCGAGGGCGCATGAGGGCACATGAGGGCGTTGCTCGTGGAGGGTATGACTATGGATAACTAATAGCTTACCGTCTGCTGTCGCGTGGTTTGCTCTGCTGTCCACCACCTCCACTACCCATCACCACCGGGACGCCCTTGATTGCGCCTCGTCGCCAAAACCTCCCCCCCCCCCAGTCGACGGTCTCTCACTCACCGAGAGGCTGTAGTATCTGGACAGCGGTCCAGTCCGCCTCTGTCCGGACGGACCCATCTGCGGCCATGGAGATGCAGACCCCAAACAAGTCGACGCAACTGGAGACGATGGACGTCGAGTTCCATCCGCTCGATCGTGATGTGCCTCCACCTCAGAAAGGCACCCTTCTTGATGATCATGACATGCAGCGGATGGGTAAAGTCCAGGAGCTCAAGGTGTGTGAACCCTTCTTTTCTTCTTTTTTTTCTCGTCTTCTCGTATGGTCTTTGTCTGGTTTTCTTCGGCCAAAGACGCGCGGGTGCGTCGATGCCCGCCTTTGGAGGCCGTCTTCGCTTCTGACATTCCGGGATCAGCGAAATATGCGCCCAATTGCCGCCTTGAGCTTTGCATCCATCCTGCAGGCAACGTGGGAGTTCATCTTGATGTAAGTCAACCATCACGTGAAATCGGTCTCAGTTATATCAACTGCATCTCAAGAGCGAAGATAGGTCTTTCATTCGCGGTGGAATGCGGAGACTTTCTGGTGGAATGCATGGAGCTGATCTATCTCGAAACTCGATCACAGCTCAAACAGCCAAGGTTTAGAAAATGGAGGTCTTTCGGGCATGTTCTGGTCGTACATGTGGACGTTTGTCGGCTTTGGACTGATCATCGCTTCGCTCTCGGAGATGGCCTCTATGGCACCGACGTCGGGTGGGCAGTATCACTGGGTCTCGGAATTCGCCTCCCCACGGCATCAAAAATTTCTCAGCTACGTCACGGGTTGGATGTCCGTGTTGGCCTGGCAAGCGGGCGCAGCATCGGGATCCTTTTTGACAGGCACGATCATTCAGGGTCTCATCAGTGTCCGAAATCCGAATTATGTGCCCCAGAATTGGCAAGGCACGTTGTTCGTGTTCGCCATGGTTTTGGTGATTTACATTGCGAATGTCTATGCCAGTGATTTGATGCCGGTCTTGAGCAACCTGCTCATGATCCTGCACGTGCTCGCGTGGGTGGTGGTCTTGATCGTGCTCTGGGCCATGGCGCCTCACCAGTCCGCGAGAGCCGTGTTTGTGACCGGATGGCAGAATGGAGGGAATTGGTCCACGATGGGGTTGAGTGTGATGATTGGGCAAATATCAGCCATCTATGGCTCATTGAGTACGTGTCTTTCCAAATGATCTCCGGTTTTTCGAAAAGATGGGTTGGTTGGTAGCTACGAAGCTAATGTTTCGATAAAGGTTCTGATGCATGCGCCCACATGTCCGAAGAGGTCAAGGACGCGGGTCGATATGTCCCGGTTGCCATCGCCTGGGGCTACTTTAGTAACGGCATCATGGCGACGATCCTGCTCGTCACCTTTCTGTTTGCCATTCCCTCGGTGGAGGACGCTCTGAGCGATGACACGGGATTCCCGTTCATTTACGTCTTCAAGAACGCCGTGTCCATTGAAGGTGTCAACGGCTTGACCTCTCTCATCCTCTTGCCAGTCATATTCAGCAACATCCTCTTCAATGCCTCTACATCACGACAAACCTTTGCGTTTGCTCGAGACCGAGGCTTGCCCTTTTCACGCTTCATCAGCAAAGTGGACCCGAAGCGACAGATCCCCACAAATGCCATCGCCCTCTCCTGTACAGTGAGCTGTGCGCTGGCGCTCATCAACATTGGTTCCACGACGGCGTTCAACGCCATCATCTCCTTGAATGTCGCGGCCCTCATGTTCACATACATCATTTCGATCGGCTGCGTCATCTACAAAAAGCTGCATGACCCCGGGAGTCTGCCGGCGCGACAGTGGGATATGGGGCGATGGGGGCTCACTGTCAACATCATCGCCTTGATCTACTCCTGTTTTGCTTTGTTTTGGTCCCTCTGGCCCAGCGAGCGCAGTATCACGGTGGATAATTTCAACTGGTCGGTGGTGATCTTTGTGGCGGTCTTCTTCCTCAGTCTGTTCATGTATCTGGTCAAGGGACGGTTCGAATACGACGGGCCTGCGGTGATTGTTCAGCACTGACCAGCATCACTGATGGACTTGGCGTTAGTGTCTATAGGGGGAAACCAAAATTCTGAAAGTAATATAGATGAATATGGCATCAAGTACCCAACTATGCAAGGAGAGCTAGGAGCGTCCGGAGCTCGATCAAGACTTACATTGTCCGAGGTCAGCGTCCGTCAACTTTGGACTTGAACGACACACGGCCATTCAGCTTGCGACAACTATTGAAAGTATCCCAGGCTGCGAGTGTCTGCACGAGATGCGCTTAACTCTCCCCAGGCACCTGGCACTACTACATCGGCTGTCAACGTAGCCGTAGGAATTGAAGATCTAGCCAGTCTAACAACTCCACCCGCGGGACTGACCGACAGGTTGTCAGTCTGCGGCAAAACCCGCCTTGTAGGGTGACCACAGACCACGCAGGTTACTTATTTGTAAGTTCAGACCCAAGCTTTTAGAGGGAGGATGGGCGACCTGGGGAATAGGTTGGCATGATACTTAGGTGTATAGGTCGGTATCTAGTACGCGAGGCTGAATGGAGGATATGCGATGGGATTGGTTGATCAAGCTGGATCCATGCGGACATTTACGCTTCATGGTCCTTGGGCCGTTTCGTTAGTCTTGGCAATGGTTGTTATTCTGAGGATGTTTTCAGTTGATCTTTTCAACTAGTAACTATAGTATGGATGGTCCGGTGGCTTTTTTATGTGGCTGGAATGGATGACCTTTCACATGATCACTACAAGCCTTGACTGACCGAACTGATGCCGTACTGCACTCTCGGACTTTCTGGGCGCGGCTTATGATACATCGTCGGTTAATTACCTTTGCCATCAGTCTCGAGTGCGTCAGCCGGCCGGGGAAACTCCTGCAACACTGCACACCTGTACGGTGATGCTATGCGGCTTCAGGCGAGATGACCATCCGTCTAGGCCCGGTGGGCCGGAAACTGATGCTGGAGATTGGCGGCGAGGTCGGCCTGTGCTCTCTGCGGACATGTTTGCGGAGTTTTATGCGGAGTTGGGCTGAGGGAGAGTGATGAGTTCATGCGGATGGAGCTCGATGAGGGGGGATGTTGGGGTGGAGGGCTCAATGGATGGGAGCGAGGGACCTGTACATTACTATTAAGTTACGTGCAAGCGATGCTAGTTACTGTAGTTACCAGGTAGGTAGGCAAGTCGGTCTTAGGCATTCAATTGCCTCTTCGAGCTGATATCTTCATGTGAGGTACACACATTAGATACGGTCCATCTGTAAGTTACATTTAACACTGTACATAGTCACATTACCTTATACAATAGAACATATAGTCCGTTACTACTTAGTACTTACTATAATCATTCAATGATTCAGTGACCGGTGAGTCTACCAGTACACGACCTTTTCAATGTCACTGATGTGCGACCCTCGACGAGCTCAGTATATCTGGCATACCGTTTAAACACGCCATTCCAGTATCGAGAGACTCTATACGTTGTGGTAGTGCCAGAGGGGACGTTCGAGACAGCCGTTGCTGGCAGCTGGCCCCGGCCTCTCACCGTCAACTGAATTTGGGGTAGCGTAGGTGAACGCGAGAGGGGGGCTGACGGTCTCGCTTAACGCCCGATCCTCGGAGTGGACCTCCAGTTGACCTCCAGTTGACCCCCAGTTGACCCCCAGTTGGCCGCTCCGACGAAGACTTGCGTGGCCTCCGGTTCATTTTCTAGCACCCACGCTAGTCAACCGAGTCGCCGCCCGTCAAACCTTCGGCGGAGGACCCCATCTCGCCATCACCCAATCTAATTTGGCCCTCCCGTCGTCCCAACGGTTCCAAGGATCCCCAGGCGGATCCGCAGCCGTCTCGGGACTCTCTGGACTCGAGATATCTGACGAGCTCTTTAAACTGAACCCACATGGGTCCGGCTTTCATTGACCCCTCGTCTCTTTGCTTTTGGCACTCGGAGAGCGTCTACCCTTGCCTCTGGCTCTATCATAGTATGATGGTCCAATACGCTGCGATAAGAGTCCCCCCCCCCCTCGGCCGAGACACACTCCAATAAATCCTCACCTTCACCCCCTCTACACGACCGACAAGTGCCTCCGATGCCCCCGAGCATTCCTGGATCCGATTCCACCCCAGTTCCATGATTTCTCATACCTTTCAGTCGTCGGGACCATGTCCATTGCGTATCTCCGCTCATCGGTCTCGCTCGATCATGGCTTCTCCGGGCGAACCGCAGGCCGGATTGAAGAGTCCACAGACCGAGGAGAGGTCTCCTGCGCGGACGCCGCGCTGGTTGATTAGCAATAATGCGACAACCTGAATGGATCATTGCGGTCGCAGGACTGGCACCTTCTGACGGGGTGGCCCTTTCCCGGAGAGAGTGCTTCCTCTGGACGGGGGCCATTTTTTTTTTTCTTTTTCGCTATTCGACTATGATGGCCGATTCCCAGGTGATCGGTTAATAAGAAACAAAGGGCAGCCATTGCAGACAATCAGCCACCGCAATCTTCTCATATTCTCCTGGCGGACCTGAAACCGGTTCGACCTATTTTCTTTCACCCAGTTGGTCTCTCCTCCAGGACCGGGTCACAAAGCAGACTCATTTCCAACACCCAGCCTTTGCTCTTTGGCGGACACTTTTCCTGCGCAGATTGGATCTGAAAGTCAATCTGACTTTGTTTGCCTCTTCGATCCCCTCGCCGGTTCTGCCATCGCCTCCGTCCACATCCGGCGCTTGGTCCAGCCCTGCTTCATCAGCGTGCTCGGAAGAACTCCCCGTCTTTGGAACGGCCGCCACATCGAGTCAATTAGACAAAGGACTCGATCAGCTAACAGAAAGGGGGTGGATGCACTTTGTCTCGTGAGGCAGCTTGTTCCTCGTACACTTAACCTCAAGTCGTCTCAAAATCCCCCATCTTACCAATCTCAATCTTTTTTGTGATCTCTGTTCTACGACTCGATTCCTTGCAGTGCGACTTTTCAACAGTGACCACCCGGGAGTTGCAAGCTACCGATTGATCGCGTGCCTGTGCCTCGCTCAGCGAGCTCAACCCCGGTGCTCGTCCTCGTGCAGAAGACAACGAGGATAGCAAGCATCACCATTACCCTTCATCACCGCCACCACCACCACAACACCACACCACCTCCTCTGCTGAACCAGCAAGGCAGCCCTCCCATCATGCTACCTCCAGTGCCTTCCCTGGCGGCATACGGTCTGTCGCCGGAACACGGATTCCTGCCGCCAGAGCTGCCGCTCGAGACCTTACCTGACCTCTACTATGCAAAATGGGAAGCAATTGCGGCAAACCTGCAGCCGTTGCTACTCAGCAAGCGCATTCGACCCGTGATTGATCGACTTCCTCTGCTCTCCACAGAGCACCTGCAGACGGAGGCCGAGTGGCGTCGTGCATATGTGATCTTGGTCTTTCTGCTCCACAGCTATGTCTGGGGCGGGGAGCGCCCAGCCGAGGTACGAGGCCCCGCAAATACACCCTTTTCATCTTCCTATCCACCGTTGAAAAGATAGTATAGGAAAAAGCCATCGACGGAGACTGATTTCCTTTCACAGAGAATTCCACCGCAGCTTACGGTGCCCTTATACCAAGTCTGCGAGCGCCTGGAGGTGCCCCCCGTAGCGACCTACGCGGGAGTCTGTCTTTGGAACTATAAGCCCATCTTCCCCGACGAGCCTGCCGATAGCCTCGACAACCTCGCCTGCCTACAGACATTCACAGGCTCTCTCGATGAGCAATGGTTTTATCTGGTATCTGTGGCGATCGAGGCACAGGGCGCTCCGGCACTTCCCCTGATGCTGCAGGCGATTGCGGCCGCTCGCGCCGGGAATGCGAGCCAGGTCACCGCCTGTTTACAGCGGCTTGCCGAGATTATCGACGAGATTACCTTGCTGTTGCAACGATTATATGAGAATTGCGACCCCCACGTTTTTTATCACCGGATACGGCCCTACCTAGCCGGCAGCAAGAACATGAGTGAGGCGGGCCTCCCTCACGGTCTGCTATACGATGACGGGACCAATCCCCCCGAGTATCGCCAGTACGGCGGTGGGAGCAATGCGCAAAGCTCACTGATTCAGTTCTTCGATATTGTCCTAGGCGTGGAACATCGTCCGACGGGGGTCGGCCCCCACGACCAGAAGAAGTCGTCGTCGCCGTCTACTTCAGGAACAGCAAGGCCGCGTCACGGGTTTATTCACGAGATGCGCGAATACATGCCGGGCTCGCATCGTCGGTTTTTGCAAGATGTCGAAGCTGTTGCCAACATCCGCGCTTATGTCGACGCTCGGCGCACGGATCCTGCCTTGCGGATTGCCTACGATGCCTGTTTGTCGATGTTGCGAAACATGCGCGACAAGCACATCCAGATTGTTTCCCGCTACATTATTGTTCAGTCTCGTGGGAACCAACAAGCACCACCGTCCAGTATGCGTCCTGCGGCCATGAATCTAGCTACCGTGGTCCCCACGGACGGTAAAAAGCTACGTGGTACGGGTGGTACCGCGCTCATTCCTTTCCTCAAACAAGCCAGAGATGAGACAGGTGAGCCTGCCATCGATGCGTGGGCGCGACGACTGCTCAGTAATACACCCGGTGCAATGGACTCGGCCTCGCTGAGCAAGGTGGGAGAGCAACCGGATGGACATCTTCAAGTGGTTGGCCTCTGCGGGACGTGGACGGCCGACGACAGCGAAGGTGGCATCTGCCACTGGTGAACGGTCCGTCTGGGCCATTGTCACCCCCACCATCAAAAGAGATAGATCGTGCATTGTTGCCTACATCTTGATCACTCCTCCTTCTCTTTTATCATGATTTATGACCATTATAGGGCATCACATGAAGCCAGCATACTGTTGCCCCCCAAGGCTGCTGGGACGGATTGCAGTAAACAGGGATCCAAGTGGGTTCTCCACTGTTGTTGACATGAGCGAAGCGAATCGGCTTCTCTGACTTGTTTGACTCGAGGCTTTTTATCTCCCCTAGTATTGTACGTAGCCTCCGCGATGACCTTTGATGTATGGTTGCAATACATATTGAACTCTGTTCATCCTATGAGACGACAATGCGAGGCACACCTTGGGATGCCGAAAAATCAACAAGCCTTGTTTTGTAACGCCATCTATGGCATCATTGTCCCCATGTTGCGCCAAGCAGGCGACAGGGCCAGATCTGACCCACCACGGGTGACGGAGCAAGTCCCAACGATTTGACAGACTTCTACGATCTACCGGCAGCTGTCAGTCCCCGAAAGAGACAGAGAGAAAGAGAAAGAGAGGGGCACCCATGCACGTTATGACGTGACGTGCAGCGGGTTCTTCCCACGCGCACGTGTACCTTGTTCTTTCAGAGTCACATGACATGACATCATTTGCAATGATGATGATGATGTCACTGATTGCTTGGGTTTGCGTGTGCCTGGACATCACCACTCAACGACCCTCGAGAGTAGAGAGTAAACCTCCTAGTCGCGTCAGAAGTTTATAAAAGAATCAAACCCCGCGCGGTGATCCCAAATAAACAATCCGTTCTGACTTTCAAACCCTCCAAAATCTCACACATCTCAAACCCCTCCCAAAAAACCCTCTTCCCTCCCATTCAAAAGGAAACCACATCCAACCATCATCATGTCTGAGAGCAACAATAACAACGCTTCCACCCTCGGTTCCTATGTGAACCAGGCCACTGGCGCCGCTCAGCGTGCCTTTGGTGCCGTCACCGGTGACTCGTCCAAGGAGGTAAGCTCTGAACACTCGTTCTTCAACCCCCATCGCACCACTCGAATCCTGAGAATCCGGATGGAAGCACACGGGACTGACATATCGATCCTTTTATTGCCGCACAGCTGAAGGGCGACGTCCAACAGGAGCAGGGCAAGGCGCAGAACGAAAACTCCCACACCACCGCCAAGATCGGCAACTTTGCCGCCGACCCCAACACCGGCGCCGTCGCCAAGGACAACTCCTACCGCACCGAGGGCTCCTGGGATCAGACCGTCGGTTCCGCCAAGGAGGCCATTGGCAATGCCATCGGCAACCAGGGCCTGCGCGAGGCCGGCGCCAAGCAGAACGCCGCGGGCAAGGAGCAGGAGGCCAAGGGCCAGCTCAAGGACTGGGGTCAGGGTGTTGAGAACCGTGCCCAGGGCCACCTCGGTGCTGTGGGTGCCGCGATCACCGGTGACCGTGCGAAGCAACAGGAATACGAGGACATTCACGACGAGGGCAAGGTTCGCCAGCGTGGTGCCGAGGCCGATATGGCCAGGGACCAGGGCGTTTAAGCACTGGGGTTTCGACACTGTTGTTGCTGGGAGTGATCGGATTCGTCATTTGTTTTTATTCTTCACGATTTTAACGACTGCATGATAAATACCCCCGTATGGGCTTTCTTTAGTACAGAGTGGAATGCATATGACACTGTTGAATTATTTCTTTCGATTATGAGACGGAGATTCGGGGACGTCAAACACCTTCTCCATTTGCTGAGTCAAGATGTAACATGACCATCAATGGAACACCACTATACCTCCAGCGAGACTTGAAAGTTCTGAGGTGTCGCTAGAAGGTACCCCTAGAAGATGCCTGATAGGTAGACTTGAGCGTACGTCCCTCTTGCCGTTGAGGCTATCTCGTTTCTCACCTAGTCCGAAAGACCTCCCATGGGTGTTTTCGCTCCTCGGGTTCAACAATCAACTATATTTGGGTAGGTCGTCGGAGGTGTGTATAATGTGTGGTGTATACACCATACAGTATACTAGCCACCAAGAAACAGATCCAATCAATGAGATCGTAACCTTGACATTTGTATTCCACCGAAAAGAACGAGGGTATAAGCAGATAGATCAGAGACATCGATGTAGACAGCGGACTCAGTAAAAGGTCACTCCAAACGTAGACGCGAGACAGAGCAAGCGCAGAGACGGACGGGCCTGAAGTACTACTAACTCTAGTCACAAAATGGCTCCCCGTGTTGACGAGAACTCCGGCGCATTCTCAGATCCCCCCCCGCCAAAAAAAAAGGCAAAGGCAGACATTATCATCAGATTCGTTCCGTTTCAACCAGCAAAGAAAAAAAAAAAGTACTCCTCTCTTTCAAACCACATTCAACTGCTCCTTCATCCGATCCTGATAATACCTCAAGGGATACGATCGCACCTTATTCGGCATGGCAGGATACACCGCCGTCGCAAAGCCCATCCACGACCGATACAAGAACCGCGTGGACCGCGTGGACCGCAAGCCATACGCATCGCGCAACTTGGGCGGAAGCATTTCGACCATGACGGCCTTGAGAAAAGGTTTCAGCCTCTGCACCCAGCCCGGCATCTTGGTGCTCTCGTGCAGATCCCGTGCAAATGCCGCCGCGTCCGTGGACACGGTCAGTCGGGAGATCTGATCATCCCAGTAGGACCAGAACGCCTGGCGAGTCTCGGGCCACATGCCCGGGGGAACCCCAAGGTAGCTGATCAACAGGGTGAACTCGGCGTATCCATGCTGCGCGGTCTGATAGTCGACGCGACCGTAAACGCGCTGGTAAAAGTCGGTGGCGGTGGCGTAGAGGGTGGCTGCCATCCAGAGTTTGAGCTCGGGGTGGTGCGCAAATCGATTGTTGCGGCCTCCGTCGAGGCCCGGTGCATCGCCGCGCTGTAGCAGGGCGATGAGGGCCTTGCGTTCGGCCTGGGTGCCGAAGACCAGGGTCGAGATGTAACTGATGTGGGTTTGGAGGGCCTCGATGAGTTCCGTGGCGAGAGCCTTGTGCCCGCCTTGGGGGTGTTCGGTTTCACGGATGGCGGGCCACGCAGCTTGTAGGAGGAGAGCGGCGCCCGAACCTGCGAAGAGGATGCCCTCGTTGAGGATTTGGGGGAGAATCTCCAGTTGTTCCAGGGCGTGGAGACGGCCGGAATCATTGGAGGCGGCGCCGTGAGAAGAGGTTGCACCCGTGGCTTCGAATTGTTTCTCATCCACGGGGGATGGGGGTGAGGATGAAGATGACATTGATTGAATGTGGTTTATTCGAAGTATGAGGCAGTGGACAAGAAGGTTGATTCAAGCAGGGGAGATAGGGGGGTCGAACAAGTGAAGATAGACAGTAGAAAGTTCAGATGGTTTCCAACTCGCCATTCGACCACTACTAAATGTGCAGACATTCTACCTGGTCCTTTTTTTTCTTTTTGGACTGCTCTTGTCAGACTACTGGAACTGGACGCGGACCCCTCATGACGATCTCCAAGACTGTCAGGCCGGCAAAAGTCTGGGGAAGCTCAAACCTCCTCCGTCCGGGGGTCAGCACGAAGCACACGCGAAATGGAAGTCTCGGTCCATTGAGGAAGGAATCCATTTGCGTAAGCCTTTTTTCCTTTTATTTTCTTTCGATTTTTTTTCTATCGCATTTTAAGGTTTTGTGGTCTTTTGTGGTCCTTTTTTTCGTAGAAGACCGGGACTGAATACTTACTACTAGAGTCACGAGACTCACCACTGACTGGCAATTGATATCACGGCCATTCCACATCTTCCCTTAGAAGGAAATCGTCTCCGGTAGATCTTGACGGATTGTGTCTTTGCCACTGACCTAGAAGCATACTGTCATGGCAAACTATCACCGACAGTACAGTCCTACCCTTCTTTCTCTCCTGATACGTCGATCATTCATGGAACATGCCTCAATATCTCATACCAGAGACCCCGACAGGTCTCCGTTACCAGCATGATCATCTTCTCCCCACCAAATCATGCGACAATCACAAGCATGGCCGGACACCCCAAAGCGATGCTAGTTGGACAACCGAGTCTCCATCTGCATGCGCGCCATGACCAGTCGGGGCGGGATTTTTGACTTTGGCGCCAGCTACGATCATCTCTCGCCGATGCCGAACTATCATGTGATGAATGTGACAATGGAGGAGGTCCCTGGAGATGGAATTTTGTTGACATTCAGTCCAAGAAAGTCCGGCCAATGCAGGTTGCCCTCTTTCTACTCTGGACCGATTACTGAGCAACTGAGTAGCCTACTGACCTACAATCCTAGTTGGCGCACTCGACCAGGCAATGCGTTGATCGGTGATCCTACCGTCAGGGCGGAAAAGCAGCGTGTGACATTGTTTTTGCCGATCGCGGCACGAGGAGACAAAAGCAAAGGACGAATAATCCAGCCACGGTTCCTGGGTCCTCGACCCTCCACCATCATCTCGGCCTACCATGAAATCGTGCTCGGCTTCAGTGGACTGCCCACGTGAAAGAAGCCGGTGTGATCGTGCAGTAGACTTTACTGAGTAGAGTCACTAGTACTGACTCACTGAGTACGAACTACAGTACGAACAGTACTGGCTCTACTAGTAGTCTAGTACTACTGTACTTGCCGAGTAGCCTCCTCTCTTCCCCCTTTCTTCTACAATCCTCCACCCTCGTGCTGCATCTGATTCTCCATTCCCCTCGCTAGCAGGTGCCAGGCCTAGTCCAAAGCTTCCCCTTCAGCCGCGGTTCGCAGCAGATCGCCAATTCCCATCCCCGTCAATCCTTACTGCATTCATCATTCCTCCCCCCGTCCATGCCGGCGCTGCGTGTGGATCTTATCCCAAATGAGGAATAGTCCTCCGGCGCCCGCTCAGGGCGCGGACCACCCGTCCGGCTCCATATGTTTACATGGCAATTCGACGAGTCAGCTCCTGGTCCGGACGAGTGCTACTGCAATGATTGCAGTGCAATCTGCGCCCAGGCGGGAGGAAACCCAGGGGCTCGTGGCTCGTGGCTCGTGGCTCCGGGGCTCGGTGCTTGACAGGCACAGACAGGCCTGGAGCTTCGCCTTGGGCCTGTCCTGTGATTTTGTCTGTCTCTCTTGATGGAAGTCGCGGCGACCCCAGCGTCGGATTTGGGACCCCTCCACGGAACCCTGAACCACTAGTCTTGTCACTGTGCACGCCTAAACCGTACAACATACAACATGCATGCTCAGGTTTCAGGCAGTGATAGTCCTCCATCCATGGCCTGTGGCGTCAGCCCATCCAGTCCCAAACAGGGTCTGGCTTCGATGATTCTGGGGGAAGCTCCCCTTCCCCCCCCCCGCCGCCTCTCACTTCACTCCTCGCGCTCGCGATGATCCTCGGCCCACCTCCTCGTGCCATTGACGGTGACGAGATGGAGTACTGCTCCATCGGTTCCAAACAAACAGAGGGTTGTGCGGTGCTTGACACCTTGAGGCGATGCAGGAGAAGGCCCGGACTCTACGAAAGAAGCTCATCGCCCTCCAAACTCTACACGAAGGACCTGGGCATTTTCTGGGGTTGTGGAGTAACCCGCCGTCGACCACAGTGACCCACGGAAGATTATCTCCCTTTCAGGCCATTGGAACTCAGTCGCGCCATTCGTCGCTCGCGGACGTCTATCCTTTCCCGAAGACCCCGATGTCTCCAACAATGCGACTATGCTACTGGACTACTACGAGTACTGCTACGCGGCTAGTGGTAGTCTTGTACTAAACATCACCCATGTACAGCACTTTCAATAAGATGATCGACCCCCCTCCCTTCAAGAAAGTTTGAAAGCCCAGGAATGTTAAATAAGACAGTAAACTAGTCCGTGCGCTCGGCTTCGTGCGAGGTACTTCCAGCGCCATTCCATCATCTAGCCTTTTGACCCAAGCGGCCCGATCTATGTTCGCGACAGTGCGCCCATCTGTGCCGCTTAGTTTAAGAGAACGGCGAGCTGCTTTGTCTTGGTCGAAACGTGCCGTCGCCTAGTCAGTCCCTTGGGTGAAGTTGCGTCTCTCCACATCCACGCCGCCCCCCTTGGTTCTCTTCGCCCATTCCTTTTTCTTCCTTGGACTTGGAAAAAGTCAAGATGGGCAAGAAATCAGTAGACGACCGGCCGGCCTACTTGAGCTCCGACGATGCCAAGTACTCTCTCGGTGTCAATCGAGGACCTCTACCCACCGGCGGCGATGAAAACTCCAAGCTGGAACAGGTCGACTCGGCCGGCGGAGTCTCTCTCGCCACGACACATCGCACGCGTCGACAACGAATGGCGCGGCACTGGAAGCGGTTTTGGTGTTGTTATCTGATAGGAAACATCATCTTTTTGGCGATTTTCCTGCCTATCTTGTAAGTGCAAGTTGTACCAGTATTTGATGGCCTATTGGAAGAATCGTTATGGGGGGTGTTTACAACTTGAACACTCGATGTCTCGCGAGAACGACTGTGATTCAGGCGAAGCGAAGGAGCCTGTTGTGCGTATGCGATCATTGCTAACACTTTCGGCTTGCAGCTTCCTCGTGGTTCTTCCCGCGGTCTCGCAATTAGTGGTCAACAAGTCTGACCTCGTCCTGGTCAATGCGTCGGTGATGCAACCTCGGCCTGATTCGATTCTCTTGACGCTGGAATCCGCACTGGATTTGAAACTGGCTCTGCCGGTGCGCATCGATCCAATCACACTCGATCTTTTCAATCGTGATACGGGCGTGGACAATTCCTTTGCCAATATCACGATCGAGGGCAAGACCATCAAGGGAAACACGACACTTGGAGTCCAACATCAATTCACGCCTCTGATGAATGTGTCTTCGTGGACCAGCTATGTGCACAATGTGGTTTTCCAAAAGGAAACTGCATTGTCGGTTCACGGATCGACAAATTCCTATCTTGGAAAGATCAAGTCTCGCGTGACCATGGACAAGGATATCGTGTCTCCAAGTGAGTGATCACAACTGAAGGATCTGTTCAAATTCAATATCGAGGAGAATAAACTAATTGTCGTCCTTTAGCACTCGACTCATTCAATGGGTTCAGCATATCCGACAGTACATTGCTGCTCTCCGCGAACGGAAGTAGTAGCACTAACCTCATCGGCAATGCTACGCTTCCCAACCCATCGATCCTGACCATTGAGATTGGCTCCATCATCCTAGACATCTACAGCGGAGACCTTGTCATTGGTAATGCCACTCTGGACGGTCTTACGCTGAAGCCAGGCAACAACACAAGTCCCATTCAAGGCTTTTTAGATTTGAAAAAGATTGTCGCCAACCTTGGAGCGGTCATCAAGTCCCAAGCGGCCGCCCTCAAGAGCGGCAACTTGGCCCTGAAGACGATTACTCGGTCTGTCGTCTGGAATGGCACAGAAGTACCCTATTACACTCAAGTCATGCATCAGCTTCCGCTCATCGCCGAGGTTAGCCTGATCAGTGTATTGAAGAATACCCTGCATCACCTGCTTCATCCCGACGGCTCCAGCGGCAGTGGTGGCGGCATTGGAAATCTCACCTCGATCATCTCGAATCTCAACCTGACCTCTGCCGTGAACCAGGCCAAGACGAATCTCAATTTGACAGACCGCCACTCCGTCTCAGCTGCACTGAAACGGAATGTTCATCTATTGGATGTTTTCAAGGACGAGCACCCGGTCAAGCGGGATGCCTTGATCGATTCCATGGCGAAACTCTATGTGGGCGCGTGATGCGTGTATTGAGAACGAACGCGGCCGGGAGTCATAGCATGCGTGCTAAATCGCCTCCGTTGTTTCCCGGCCTGACGTTCTCTTACAGCCCATGAGTCAAGCTTGCGCCATTACGCTCGCTGCTCTGTTCATGGCGTTACTCATCCTACAACTCTCCTGCATTTTCCATCGTTAATGACAACTTTAGCCGGGGATCTCTCGGTTCTCGTGATATCCTAATCGGGCATGGATGAAATTTTAATGGTGACCTTGTTTCCATGTTGAAGGTCACGGCGTTTATACTTGGAAGGCACTCGACTACTTTCTAGGGCGGGGGTTGGGTCTCCGTTGTTTCTTGATCATGACTTCGTCCGAACACGTGCAACTCAAGCAAGTAGCGTTGAATGTCGGGAGAACATTGACCTGCACTAATATAACGAGACACATGAATAACACATTTTATAACGTCACCCTTCCAATCCCGAGACACACTGGGCTATTTACCCCATTCAATAATCTGTGAGCTTCTCTTTTAATCTCACCTAGGTTGCACGCAGCAGTCGAAGTCCACGGGCTTTATCAGCACGCATCAGAGAGACCTTCCAGACAGTATTATGTACCAAAAGCAAGGTTCCTCGTTCGAACTAAACCTCCTTACCCTTTCACTAAGACACTGACAGGAATTGGACGATAATTTTCCAAGTTGGGAACCGTGTCATGACTTTATAATCACCAATGCAATACATGCCACTGTGCTAGCGTGCTAGGTATAGATTGGCTCCATATGGCTCGATCGCGCAATGTAGAAAGGGAGCTCTTATCACCCCTAGAAGTATGCAAGATGATGTCAATACAAGGCTTCCGCTCGGTAGCGGGGCGTAGCCGCTTCTCGTTTCCCGCACTCCGAGAGGGTTCCCTCTCTACCTGGAGGTTAGCAATCAATCCACGTAAGCACAATAGCACAGTCCGCTCGCGTCCTGCGGGAACTCCGAGAACGAGAATGCAGATTGTACCAACCTCAATCTGTACAGTTCCTTGTACTTGAATATTCACTAGAATCACGTAGTACATTCGGTGATTGCCGAACCATGAGAACCATGTCCCTGGCTACATCGCGTCACCCTCAGAAGCATTCAAACGCCTGCAAACTCGGTGAGATTTGCATTTTCTTGGTCATCAGGAGGGGCATTTGCAAGCATCAACAAACATTCTAACAATCCCGAAGAAATGAGGAGCCGCTAGACTCGATCGGGACTAGTGTTTCGCATAAGGTTACCGAGATGAAAGATCGAGCCTGCGAATTGGACCGCCCGCACTATATACATGCATCTGGAGTAGTTGCGTGATTCCTTTTTCAAGGCTGATAGAGTCATCGCTGGCATGAACATTCACAAACACGAGATCAACATGATTCGGGCGAGACCGGCCATGAGCATCTTTACTTGCTCATGGCAGTATTACAAATGATGAGGCGACTAAAAACATTGTAAATCCACTAGGTCAATGTTCCATCAGAGGTGGTGGCAGGTGGGAGTGGACGTTGGACTCTTGGATGACTAACGACAAGAAAAAGAATAGAGACAGAAACCAAGAGCAACGTTCATCGAGGAGAAGGGATTTAAAAGACCTTGAATTCGATCTTTCCGCAGTCATTCCTGGCAAGGTCCATCCGACGCTCAGATTGTCCGGCAAGTCTGGAGTCCTCAACAGTGTGATCTGTTGCAGCTGCTAACTAGTAAGTTTCCACTCTCTGTGTTTCCATTAGGCCCTGCCTGCAAGCCTCTTTCCCCCATGCTAATCTCAAGTCACTCCGCAACTTATGGACGGTTTACTGACAGGTCGATCAGCAGCGTGTATTCGTTCTACCTCTCGTGCTGATTTTGTCAAGAACGAGGTTATTCCCAGCAAAATTCGTTGCCAGTACTTCTAATTTTCACCGCCTGGCCTGCAGCTACTACTATTTGACTTCTTAAAACGCCTAAACAAGCTCCCCAATTCCACTCTTGTGCAGCAGTGCCGCCTGCCCCCCGATTGGACACATCGGCTGGTCAATATAAGGTTATTGTGCCGTTGCGGTCTCGGTCGATCTTGAGACGCCATCGATCACCGACCTCTGTGATCATGACTCGCAATCCTGACGGCCCATCGCATTTTCAATTCGTGCAAGGTCCGTCTCTGGACCGTAAAGCACGCTCGGCCTTGATCCGGCGCCGAATCTCTGAGAAGCGCGATACATATCGAGAAGAGGAAGAGCTTAAACGACAGCGGCTCATTGCCCATCGACAATCGCAAATTTGGTACTCGACAGCACCGGTCTGCGTCTGTCGGCATGCACGTAGCGGCGACGAGATTCCCAGTCCGTCGCTGCCGCAGAATCTGTTAAGGACCCGGTCTCCAGCTCGGCCCAGATCAAGCTACAATGTCTGTGGTAATTGTGGAAGAATTCAACCTTTTTATGATTCGAGAGATCGCAGTATTTTGGCTGCCTTAAAAGTCCCTTACCCCACCCACATGCCAGATCCCTTTCTCACAGCTCTTTCTACCCTTGGCCCTGACGTGAAAGAATTGCTTCAATTTTGTCAGTATTTTTACCCGATCATTTTATCAACTCCCTTTCTCCAATCCCCTTTACTTTGAGCACAAGTACTCACAATCTACATTCTTATCCCAGCTGTCGTGCACATATTGCCGCATTTCCGTGGCTCAGACTACACCGCAAGATGCTATCAGTCCTGGGTTGTCGATCATCTTGACGACCAACTAGTGCTCTATAGCGTCTTCTGGTCAACGTCCTGTCATCGTGAGACATTGCGTGTCAGCTCTGGGTCCGACTCCGACGCGGACTCCCGCGTTCAGTTGTACTACAAGGGTTGCTTGCTGAGGCTGGTACGGGAGCACGTAGCTGATTTCCACCAAGAGAAATGGCGCGATGGGATCATCATGGCCATCTTGTTCATGGCGATCAATGAGACCGAGCGGGGAAATTTGAGTCGTGACCCAAATCCCTTTGTGCCTCCCTTTATACATCTCCAATCTCTGTCGTTCTATGGCAGTCGCGATTATCACCAATTACACTGGAATGTGGTGTTCGACATCATCACTAAGCTGGGAGGAATTGATCGAATCCAGTTATTCGCCCTCGGGTGGTTGGCATCTCTGTAAGCGTGTCTCTGGCTCTAGTGTGTGGTGGCTTGAATCATTTCCGAGCATCAACTGAGCGACTTGGCAAATATGCAGCGCAGATTTAATGCATGCGGCTCACACGCTTTCGAAACCGAAGTTTCCCATGATCGATCCTGATGGAAATGTGAGTTTCTCCGCACCGACGGTCCGGCCGTTTCCTATCCCTGTGAATGTGCCCGAAAGACAGGGTTTCAAAGAGCTGCTCTTGGTCCACCCGCCGATGAAAGAGAGTATTGTGGATGTTTTCCAACGCCTCAGTCTCTACTCGACCTTGATACAATGGGCTTCAACTCGTCAACCCAATATCGATGAATTGGATCGGTTGGGAGATTTCCGTTATGTCGTCCACCGCACGCTATTAAGCCTTCCTAATGAGCACGACCCCCTCGAGATGATCTTTGATCAAGGGGAAACAATTGAGGATGACTGTTCTGGAGCGCATGGACTGTACCTAACCTACCGATTGGCGGCGCATCTCTACGCTTTGCACGTCACGTATCCTCTGCCGCGGTCTGCGTTGACCCGCTCAATGATTCTTCCACGCCTGATCAAAAAACTGGACCACACCATTCAGACTGCACAGCCGAAGTCGACCCCATTGCTGTTATGGTGTGCTGCTATCGCGGGTATCGCTGCAGAGGGATCGGATGACGAGCCTCGATTCACAGACCACGTTAGGACTCTGTGTCATAAACTCTACGTGGAAGCATTCGAGACGTTTCATGATATCCTGCGACCATTCGCATGGGTGGAGGTTGCATGTTTGCCGGGATGTCGGCGTCTATGGGACAGGCTGGATATTGACGTCGAAAGATGACGTAGCTTGTGAATGTGATTGAATGTGTATATGCCAAATATGAATTATGATCACTTTGACAATGGGATAGAGTTGACGAGATAGGCTGGCAAATGCCTGGTTTAAAAATTTACTTTCGAGGTGTGATCATTGGCAACTGTCTGTGTGATTGATGAGAGTGACGTAGAGAATAGATCGTGTCCGGTCGGCATATGACCAAAGACCGACCAAACCCTGGGATATCGGGTCATCGACGGGTACATGGTTACATACTAAATGATGATAATCTCATGCAGGTGGACCTGGCTCAGCGAGACGTAACCTAGGGAAAGTGTCATTTAAGGGGTTTGTTTCTAGCTCATAAAAACGAGAACGGCCCTAATTAACGGACCAGTCACTGTCGTGTATATGCTTGATTTAGGCAGGTCCTCGGCAAACTAAGATGGACCATGTTCGGACCGAAAGTGTACTGGAGGCTTACGAGTTACTCAACCGACAAAGATCGACACGTGTGTGTCAGTGCGTAATTTCTCCCGATACGATGCCCATTGCCCAATATGCTCAGGTAATATAGTACTTAAGACGTACTACTGCGCGATACGAAGTTACTGCATGCTGCATGCGGGCGGCCCCATCTTAGCGGATTAGATTCACCTACTAGTATGACACTCAGATCTGACTGAGGGAGGTGAGACAGCGTCTCAGTTCTCTATCGTTTAGGGAGATATCCGCAGAATGAGCGAGCACGCCTATGTGACGCTAATGTGAATGTAGATGACTACGGCCGTTTCTCTCAAGTGGCCGGCGAACTCGCCGGTCATCCGCCCTGGTCTCCAGTTATGTTCGTTTGGAATATGGACCGCCCGTCCGTAGAGTTACGGCCCCATGTTTGACACAACCTGATTGATCGCAATCGAGACATCTGATCTTATCCTAGGCGACAAGTGCATGGCACGTGTTTCATACCGGTGTCACATCGTAATTGAGCGGTGCCAAACTACTAGATTGAGCACGTCTCATCGAGTTCAAGACTGGAAAAATGAAAACTGTGAATCACGCAGGAAAATTAGGAGATCTGTAAATCCATGTATATCCATGGAAGTACTAGATTTCCAGTACGTAGGATACCATCCACTCTTGTCCCAATCAATGAGCACATCAGAACTCCATTTCCGTAGGGTGGTCTGCATCGTGAAAAGTCATGTTTTCTCGTGAATGATCGCCGTGGGTGAAGGTCGGCTCGTGGCCTCTGGAAACGGGGGGATACTTAGCAGCGTTGAGAACTACGCTCTAACCCGTAAGCCACCGTTATGAGCATAATTTAGCATCATGTCTTTGTTAAGATACTTCTCTGAACCAAATGAACCGTTCAGAAGAGGATCAGCATCACGTGTCCCCAAGAAATCATCCAGAAGCGGCCTTTTGCCCATGTCGCCAATATAACTTTGGAGATGGAAGCCGATTAGAGGACATAGCAAGTCAGTAACGTCGAAAGGTATTCGCAAGGAGCCTTCTAGTTTCGCGCAATATCGGCCTTATCAAACTTTGACTCTATTGGAGGCTACTGGGAGATCGTAGCAGACCCAAAAGAGGGGAGAAAGGAATGGTGAGATTGAATCTGGTGAGAGGTGCCTATCTAAGCTACGAAGGTGGTGTGCGTGGGCGCGCACCACACTGGTGACACGCCTGACCACTAAGCTATCTCAACACCCCCCTAGACCTCGATCCACTAATCTCACTCAAAACACGAAAAACATGAAAAGTGATTATACAAATATATTAATAACGCCTTAATACAGCTTTTTAAGCTTAAAAAGGTGTTTAAACCCTTAGAATTAAGCTCGCTAGAAAGGCTATTAAATCAGAGCTTTTTTATGCCCAAAAGGTATAGAAACCTCTCGAATTAGACTCGCTATAGCGGCTTAGTAAAGCTATCTACTATCTACTCTGTGGTAGAGATTTTGACGAATTTATATACCTGTGACGCATAGGCAACAAGTCAATAGTTAACTAGCTAGTCGGTTGACCAGTTCGTGAACAGACTTAGAGTGTGGAGTTGGTTGGATGAGTTAACTAGTCAGTTACCGTGAACTGGTAAGTTCACTGACTAGTTGGTCAGCCGACTAGCGAGTTAGTGTTAACTGGTAGGTTGGTTGGCCAGTTGATGGACGTGGACTTAGGGAGTTAAGGAGGAGATTATATAATCGATGTTTACGTTTATAAGATCAGATATTTACCTATACGTTATTAATAGAAGCCTCACGCGTATATATACGCTAGTATGACTCCTAGGTAGTATAGCTACGATAACCTACGTATAGAAGAAGGAAGGTGAAGTAACTATATCCTATATAACGAAGAAAACTAAGACGAAGGAGAAAAAGGAAAGGAAGAAATAAGGAAGGTGAAGTACTACCTTAAATATCTATCGTGGGCGGGGCTATAGTAAGGCGGTAGAATCCTTATAGAAAGTCCCGGATAGAAGGTTCCTCCACAGAAGTAAACCGAAAGGTAAATAATCCTTAGGCTCTAGCGTACACACACGCGTAAGGCTTCTATTAATAACGCGTAGGTAAATATCTAATCTTATAAACGTAAATATCGATTATATAATCTCCTCCTTAACTCCCTAAGTCTATATCTATTAACTAGCTAACTAACCTACTAGTTAATACTAACTCGCTAGTCGGCTAACTAACTAGTTAGTAAACTTACTAGTTTACGGTAACTAACTAGTTAACTTATCTAACTAACTCTATACTCTAAGTCTATTTACGAACTAGTCAACCGACTAGCTAGTTAACTATTAACTTATTACCTATATATTATATTATCCCCCGTTTAGACTCGTGACTATCCTTAGGTGTAGTAACGTTACGGTATATTATTATCTAGGCGTACTAGTAGCTTCTTATTAAGAGCCTCGTACTCTAACTAATAGTTAAGGTTTACCGGAGGTCTAGGGCGGGATAGATAGGTTTTATAATATTCCTAGAGTTTCGAAGCCGTAGTCCGGAAATTACTAGTATTATACTATATTATATTATTCTCGAATCCTATCTACTTTACTTAATACTAAAGCTTCGACCGGTTAATTCGCGAAGTAAGGATTATCTCTATATTATACTCCGGCTCTAGTATAACCTATATCGCCGGTTTAGGGATAGGCTATCCTAGAAGTAGATCTATACTTATTATATAGTATAACTTCTCCGGGTTAAAGATATTATATCGTAACGACCCTTCTAGTAAGTCGAATCTACTTAAGGAACTCTCCTATTCGGCTTCCTAATACTATACTTCTAGCTCTAGGTTATCCCGGTTTACTAAGAGTAACTATTTAATTAAGTTACTACTAATATAGAGTCGGTTAATTCGAACGGTCTTATACTCGTTTACGATCTAGAGGTCTAAATAGGATTCCGGTAGTAATATCTAGCTCTCTAGTTCCCCTTATTATTTAACCTAGAAGCGGGATAATATATCCGTAAGAGTATTTTATTATCCTAGTCGGTAGCGGATAACGAAATAGTACTAGGAAAGTTTTAAATCCTAGCGAGCTTAATAAGTATTTAGAAGTTTTAATAATATAAAGTACTCTAACGCCCGGTAATCTATTAGGATCTCGAATCTTTCTTTATATTATAGTCCCGATAGCTTAGCCTACTAATTATCTATACTCTCTATAATCGCTAGTATCTCCCGGTTATAGATATCCTACTTCCGCTTCCTAGGTAATATAGTCTTAGAGAAAAACCTAATAGGGTACTATAACCTATCCTACTTCTAGGATAGTACTCCTATAATAATATCCTTTAAGGTATCTATTTCTAGTCTTATCTCCCTTTCTAGATAGTAGTATACTAAGATAGGCGCCGAAGAAAGAGTAGTTTTTAGTTACTAGAAGATATTTATATAATTCTTACTCTATATAAATATATAGTCCTTTTTTATAAGTTAGTAGAGTAGCTTCGTAATATAACTATAGGCGGTAATAAAATAACGATAGAAGTTATAGAACCTAAGAAAGGACTAAACTCCTTTAACTATTATAGGAGTTTACTACTTATAAATAGCCTTAATCTTCTTAGGATTAGTCCTTACTCTATCTACTTCTACGATAAAACCTAAGAACTTAGTCTCGGTTTAGTCGAACTTATACTTATAGATTACTATCTAAAGTCCTATAGCTTATAATCGTTAGATTATAGCCCGAACATATTTAATATACTTCTCGGGGTCCTCGCTAAAGATTAGGATATTATCTACGAATATAATAGTAACTATATCTAAGAGATCTCTAAGTACCTAGTTAATATACCGTTAGAAGGAGGTAGGTCTACTATATAACCTAAACGGTATAATCTTATACTTAAAGATCCTATATCGAGTTATAAACGTTATTAGATCCTCTAAGTCCGCCGCTATTCTAAGTTAATAGAATCCCTACTATATATTAAGTTTAGTAAAGCATCTTATATAGGCTAACCGGTCTATTATCTTATTAATAAGTAGTAACGGATAGATATCTTTTTCCGTAACCGCGTTTAGTCGTCGGTAGTCTATATAGAAGTATAGTCCGCTATCTACCTTCTTCGCTATTAGGATTAGAGAAGTAAAGAGGTATCTCGACGGAACGATAAAGTCCTTTTATAAGTTCTCGAAAAGGTACTTTCGAACTACTTTAAGCTCCTCCTAGTTTATCTTATAGAGGGGGTAATAGCCTAGTCTCTACTCTCTGTTAAGAAGGATCTTATAGTCGAATAGGCCCTAATATAGTAGTAGAATATCGGACTTATATTATAAGAAGAACTCCTATAGATTATAGTATATCTTAGGAATTTACTATTAAATAGACTCCTTCTCTATAACTACTTTATTCCTAGGAGCTAGTTCTGTAATTACCGCGTCGATCTTATTAAGAGTAGTAATAAATACTTTAGTATCCTTAGCCCGTATATAGCGTTTAAATCCTACTTAACTAATAAAGGCTCGAGTAGGACTTAGAAATATAGTATTTA